TAGCTATTTAGGCGCTAAAAATTGATTATATTATGCCTCCCTTAACCACCTTATATTGTATTACTAACAGCTTTAATAGTATTGTGTTAAAAATTGGGAAAATTGGCCAAAGTCCACTTGTGGAGCGATATATGTTTAAATCCCTACTGTGGGTTGGTGGTGATTGTATCTATGCGGACTTTTCCCCAAGATAGCGCCGCAGTTCTGGATCACACCCTAAGTGGCTAGCCCACTTAGTTGCCAACGGGGATCTTTAACCTTAAGGTTGTATTATATTATGTCTAGAAGAACCTAGTACGACTATAAAGTGCCTATTTATTTAAATATTTTCTTTAATTAAAAGACTTATTTATTATAATATACTAGTTTGTCTTAGATTACTTTTAAAAGAGAGAAGAAACTCTCTGTTTTTAGAGGGTAGGCTACTAAGGATATAAATTTATTGGTTGAATTCAAAGTCTCAACTTGGTATATTGGTCAAGCTTTTTGTGACGACGGCTGGCTTCATATGACTGGATACCAAAAATGTGTTAAATAGACTTGTAGAAAGTCATAATATAGGACAATACTCCCGCCCTAACTTATTAAAAATGTGTACTAGGACGTCTTCAGTCGCCAAAGTGCAAACTACCCAAATTCACAACCGGACTTCCTAGCAAAGAATTTTCAATAATTCTGCTTATAGCACAGCCTTACTCATATAACAAACCATACATACAATCACTTATAGACAGTGTTCAACACGGCTCCTCTGGAAACAAGCCCATTGCTATTATTGGAAGCGCCTGTCGGTTTTCAGGGTCTCTTGATACACCTTCGAAGCTCTGGGAGGTCCTGAAAGAACCAAAGGAGCTACTGACCAAGATCCCGAGGAACAGGTTCAACATTGATGCGTTCTATCACCCTAGTGGATTGCATCATAGTACCTCAAACGTTACAGAATCGTACATGCTGGCCGACGATCCGCGGCTTTTTAATCCGGCATTGTTTAATATTAAGCCCATAGAGGCCCATTGCGTTGACCCATAATAATGACTGCTCATGGAGGTCGTCTATGAATCTCTTGAAGCTGCCGGACTGCCTTTAGAGTCCCTTGTCGGGTCGCAGACGGGAGTCTACGTGGGCCTGATGTGTGCTGACTTTGCCAACCATTTGCAGCGCGACGTCGACGCGACGCCAATATACATGGGGGACCGGCACCGCTCGAAGCATAATCTCTAATCGAATATCTGTGACAAGGGCTCAGAAAGAGGGCTTAGAGCAATTTTAGCTCAATTCAACTAATAACAGTCTTTGGTATTAAAGGTCCTTGGTTTTCCTTAAGGCCTTAAGGGATTAAAGCTATCTATTTATATAAGAAGTTAGTAAGAACTTTTAGCTTTAAGTTTTATAATTATAGCCTTTATATAACCTGCGATTTCTATGTAATACCAGCTTCCCCTTTTTCTAGCTTGCTTTTAAGCTGTTATTTAAGTTAGAATATTAATATTTATAATATTAATAATATTAATAACGTTGATAATATTAAAGGTAACAGCGACGATAACAGTGACGGTATCGGTAACGGTGTTGGTGACGATAATGACGGTAACCTTTAGGACCTTTTGGCCTGGGCCTCTGTCTTTCAACGATGATAATAATAATGTTAATAGTAATAGCAACGGTAACGGTAACAGTGTCGGTGACGGTATTAGTGACGATAATGTCGGTGACGATGATATTGATAACGGTGACCTTCAGGACCTTTCTAGGCCTGGGCTTTTATCTTTTAATAATGTTAATAACAGTAACGTTACAGGACCTTTCTAGGCTTTAATTTTTGTCTTTTAATAATATTAATATTAATAATATTAATAATAGTAACTTTTAGGACCTTTTAGCCTAGGCTTTTATTAATTAATAATACAAGCTTTTTTTAGATAAAGCTTTTATTATTAGTTATATTCTTTTTAACCTAAAAAAAGCTTTATAAAATAAAAGGGTTTTTTTTAATAAAAAACTATTATTTATAATAAAAGCTTAAAAAAAAAGCTTAAAGTAATAGCTTAATTTATTTAATAATAGTTTTTAATATTAAAAGTTCTTAGTTTTCCTTAAAGCCTTAAAAGACTAAAAATATTTATTTATATAAAAAGTTAGTGAGGACTTTCTGCCCTAGGTCTCGTAACTGTAGCCCTTGTGTAACCAGCGATTTCCGTGTAACACACTTGAACCTTGAGACGGCGATGTGGCCACTTCTTGATTAACAAGGACACAGGAGGAATATTATTTTCCTGCGACGTCTTCTCTGTTTCTTCCATTAAGCGGCGCCAATTTCAGCCGAGGATAGGCAACATGCTCATTGGCATTCTGAGGGCTTGGTCCTGCCAAAACCGAACAGTGAAACACAGAGGCAATAGTTCCCGCTCCTCCTCAAAATCATGCCATCGGCCCTGATTTTCGTCGGCCAACTCTACTCGCCACGCCACAACCGTCTCAATGACGTGCGAAGAGACTATTCTGGGTGGTCGGAGCATCAGGGCGGGCATTGTATGTACGCATAAGTGGCTGGAGTGGCCATCAGACTTGTTAGTTATGTGGCTGTGTACCACGGTGTGTCCCTAAAATACCAACATGGACCGACAGTGGCCTTTTTTTAGTGAGCTCATCTCAATTGGCTGGCTACGCTGCTCAGCCTTCCACTCCCTCTTCCTCTTCCGGTGATCATACTTTTACGTAGTGCTTCTTTAATATGGGTACACTCTTCCTGGCCTGATTCACGTCTAGCAGCTTGGCTCCATGTCTTTAGTCAGGCCCCATTTGCTCTATCCATTTGTTGATTCTGGTAATTCTCGGGTGAGTGCGACATTGCCGTTCCAGCAGCCGCCTAATAGTGTTGGGCTAAAAAGAGCAAAAGTGCAGGTCTACTGAAATCTTTCCAGCCGCTCTAATAATAGCCTAGTTATATTCTACGCGACAAATGGTACTTCGTATATTGCCCCCAAGACGTCAAAGCTCGCCATATTGGAGTCAAACGGTCACATGCTCAAGGAGAAAAATACAATGCCGGGTTAGCGTTGATCCTTGGAAATGTACTTTTGTTCTGAAACAGTGGGCTAGCAGTGAGGAGCAGTTCTGGTTTGGTGAATATCATGGTGCACAGCGAATCGATTTTATTGGAGGCCTGCGGGGTCGAAATAGGGACCGGCTCTAGATACATAAATTGAAGTGACGCTGAGTATCCCAAACTCCGCGGCTACAAAACAGAATTACAAAAGGGTTGTTTTTCGGGACTATTGTCTCGTAGCCTATCAATTCAATATGAGTCAATATTGCCTAGATGCACTTTTCCGTGGGGTAACTTAAGTACCTACTAGGTAAGGGAGTTATCCTGTAGAGGATAGGTTAAATTTAGCCCAAGGCTGTGTTATACATTACTCGTGCCACCTCGAAAGCTCACTCACAGACCAATGCGCCACTGGTTGGTAACAGTGCGTTCCTGGTTTACCCCTGCAAGGCAGGCACCCCTGCTCCCATCTCACCCGTGCGTCTGCCAAACCAAATGCTGACTCCCTACGCTCTCCTCTCGTCTTCTCTATTCCTGTTTTTCCTCTCTCTGTTCCTTCTTCTCGGCTTTCCTACGTGGAGGCAACTTCTTGACAATGTCGTTAAGCCTGGCTCCTCTTTTATCTACTTCGTAGTGAGTGGCTAACGTTATACAATCCATGCCATGTACGTGGTGTGGCTCTGCAGGCGACAAAATAACTCTGGCAAAATATAGGGTCATATAAGCTGTCTGCCCAAATATGTAGGTGGAAAGTATGTGAATATTTCTGGAGTTCATATGGTGGCACAATGGTGGCACAATTGTTGAAAGTTGATATTGCGCTGTTACAGCGCTCGGACTGCCTGGAAAACCCTCTAGCGAGTTGGTTCAACTACTAGTCCCTATGTTGTTTACTATCAAGAAGTAGAAGAAAGAAGGAGTCTAAATACGCTGTGGCATTATGAAGGCGCCTTACATCTTGTCAATACGCTTCCATATAAGGTTCTAGAATCAACTTGCCATCGGGAGTTGGGGATAGGTGGCACAGCGTTCAAGAGGCTTGGCCCGTTACAACTCAGTCTACGAATTTGGTTGCAGATATACAACCGCAGCCTCAGGTCAAAGTTCATATCCAGCTTATGGAACCTCTTCACCTGTGTCAACGTCGTCGTCAGCAAAAGCTACCCCGCTGCCCTTGCCAAGCCATGATTCATTTGGTCGCTTTAATACTTTCAACGCCCATTCGGTTCCTACATTCAGAAATAAACCCGAAAATAGGCGTTCTAGTTCCGCCGACATTGCTGGAATGGACAACACATCTACGGCCTAGACTTTCGAGTAACGCCTCTTCGACGTTTTCGTAGCTGCAAATGCCATTACAGAAGAAGGGGACAGTGTACGGTTAAGACCTAGGGCATTAAGAGTCTCTAACGGCACGCTGTCAAGCTGCGAAAGCACATCAAAAGGTTGAGAAGCCATTGTGTTAGTTTATTTGTAACGGTTCTAATGGGTTTTAATGCGTCTATTATAGGCATGAATAATGCCTTAGTGTGCAATGTGACGCAAGTAAATATGGATAGTGGCGTCATTTAGCATTGGCATAAAATCGACAATTATCAATTGATGCAATGCTATCTAATAACGGGTCTCAAACTCTAATTCAAAACGTCTTAGCTGTGGCCTTTAAAGCAAGGGCGTCATATTGCGGGGCAGTTCAGCTTGCATGTAGGTGCCGAGACGAAACTTGATTATTGTACAAGGCTAACAGGGGTGCACGTTGACTAGTAACCTAGCCCTACTAAGTTTCTGGAGTCTTACTATGCTGTGGTTCTTTCCTTAAACGATATTCGGTCTACCATATAAATAACATAACAGCATCCAATATTTTGAGAGCTTCTTCTCGCCAGAAAAGCAAAGAAAGCCGACTCATGCCACAGAGATTTATGTCTTCTTTGATCTAAGCCAGTTATTCATCATGCAAACCTTCGGCCGATTTCTTGTCTCCCTTGTGGCCGCCAGCAGTCTTGCTGCAGGTGCGCCAAAGGAATCCTTTCCATCTAAAAATGGAAAGTTTTCAATTACAGCAAAACACAACGTCAACTTCGAGCGTAATGGGCCACTCGCTTTGGCCAAGGCTTACAATAAACTCGACAAGCCTGTACCCCAGGATATTGCCGACGCTGTTACCAGAATTCAACAGAAGAGAGAGACGGGCTCAGTTACAAATACCCCCAACAAACACGATCAGGCGTACCTCGCTCCAGTACAGATTGGCACACCACCACAAACGCTTAACCTGATATTTGACACAGGCTCTGCTGATTTCTGGGTGTTTAGCAATGAGACAGCTTCCAACGAGGTCAAAGGTCAAATTCCATATGACCCCAAGAAAAGCTCGACGTCGAAACGGATGAGTGGTGCCTCTTGGAGCATTGAATACGCTGATAATGGGACCAGCGTAAGCGGTGACGTCTATACGGACATCGTCACCGTCGGTGGCTTGTCTGTTAAGTCACAGGCATTTGCGTCTGCCAAGAATATATCAGCATACCTTAGCAGAAGTTTGGCTGCTTCTGGAATACTCGGCCTGGCATTTAGCAAGGCCAACAGGATTAAGCCTCAAAAGCAGCAGACATTTTTCGATAATGCGAAGGCCACGTTGGATGCACCATTATTTACGGTCGACCTTAAGCATCAAGCAGGTACGTTTAATGAGCCTACGTAAAGTATTACAGCCCCCGTGCTAACTACAAGTATAGACGGGAAGTATAACTTTGGATATATTGATTCCTCTGCGCATACTGGACTTATCGCTTATACCTCGGTTGATAGTACTATTGGCGGGTGGGGCTTTACCTCCCCTGGCTTTGCTGTCGGTGACGGAAGTTTTACGAACTTATCAATTTCTGGTATTATTGATACTGGCGCTACCCTGCTTCTACTTCCAGACAATGTTGTTAAGGCCTACTATTCTAAGGTCAAGGGTGCTAGCTATGACGAGTCAGAACGTGGTTATACTTTTGGCTGCTCTACTACCCTCCCCAGCTTTTCATTCTGGGTGGGGAACTCTACCATCACCATCCCTGGGTCGTATATGAACTACCAGGCAACTAATGACTCTGGCAAGACATGCTTCGGTGGTCTGCAGAGCAGTTCGGGTTATGGCGTTAGCATTTTTGGCGATGTCGCGTTAAAGGCAGCATTTGTTGTATTCGACGCCGGTAATAACCGGCTGGGATGGGCCGCCAAGAATCTCTGAGGAAGATATATTGCAGGATGCAATAAGTGAATAGCAGCAAATTTGGGGTTTGCTTCCTTTACCAAGGGTTATTACACTGCTCTGATAAACAAGTACACCGTCTCCTAGTACTTTAATATTAGGTCGTATTGCTAGGGGAGCTCCTTGCAGCCTATCTTCTCTCGTATTCGTTGAAGATGCTGGGTTATAATATGTTTAGGTATAACCTTTTAGCTGGGTTTAAAGTAAATATTGACCGCCGTGCTATACAAAGTATCCCATGCAATTCATTCCATTAGTTATGCGAAACTGTAAGTTGCTCAGTTTCATATTGTGAGAGACAGTTGCACGGCGCTCATATGATGACGAGACAGCAGCTCAACCTATCTCGGCTAAGGAAAGGGGGATGTCAAGCTCGAGGCTGTCCTCGAACTAGCCACCATCTAGTTGCTGCGTCACAACTTAGCAAGTCGGGTACACAGCGTCAGCCGTAGCCCGTGACCCGGAAGGAGGCAATCGTCAAGAAAATATGTTGTATTTTAATTTTATGCGGAATACATATTGATTATGGAACCATGCGAAGCTGCATCAGATGTCCAGCAATAAACGAGTAGTATAAAGGGGAAGGGAAGAAGAAGTCGCCATGTAAACCGAGCATGAGTGCCACTGCAAGCGGGGCGTGTGGAAATACCCAAGAACGGAAGGACCATGCCTAAAGCGGTAGTCGGGACGAGATCGGTTCAGTCATTTGGGCCTTGTTTGCGGCTCGGCATGAAGTGGGACTGCCGGGCATTTCCATACCACATGGCCGGCTTTGTTTGTGGCTCGGCGTGAAGTGGGCCGGCCTAGCCATCTGAAGTAGAGGTACTATGCCTAGATTGACAATTGGGAAGAGATCTGGTTTAGTTTTTTACAAGGGGCATCTCCAACTAGGCCACACACAGGCTATGACTAGGCTAATAGCCTAACCTGGTTTCGGCACCAAACCCGACCTCGGGAGAGTTTCTCCCGAGTTAGGCAGCCTGAGTACGTTCAAGGCCTACAGTTGGTTCAATGTTGGCATACCCCCAAGTATGCCCCTGGTCTACTAGTATCACGCTAACAAAAGCGTATAATCACCCTATTCTCCTTGTAAATAATGCAAACGGAACTCAGAAGCGACGTTACGTTTGTGATGGGATCACAAGTAAGTCGGAACAGGTTCCTCTTCTATCCCGGAGCTGCCGCTGACAGGGCGGATTTTCGCCTTGGCGCGTTTGTTGGCGTGATCCCACCTAAGGCTGCTTGATCCGGCCGCATTGCTCAACATGTCATAAGAAGGGAGCCATGCTGGCTGTCGGCATAACTGTAGAGGATACTAAAGAGGTTTATAATTTGGGCAAGTATAAAGACCGCGTCTGTCTGGCCGCTTGCAACTCCCCGTTAAGCGTGACCCTCTCAGCACTGTCAAGTCTGCTCTGGTCAATTCAATGTTGTTAACCCCGCCGGGAGACAGTCACCTCAGCACGCCGATATCGAATATTCGATCAATCAGATGTTCCGTCGGCACCTGATGGAGGCCCCGCCGCTGCAGCATCTCACCAGATGTCAACTGCAAGTTTCAACATTGAATTGACCGGACGTTTACCATGGGTCCATGACCGGCGCGAGGACAAAACGCCACAGCATATAGGTCCCAATCGATATTACAAGACAACATTGAAAAGCACGGATATTATGTAGTCAGCACTTTAACTGTAAATGGCGTTCAGTGAATAAACCGACGCCTTGTTATTAAGTTTTATTATTTGTGAGACGGGATGCAGAGCAAGTGACATTGAATTAATATAATATACTGTCAATTAATTTATTGTCTTTGTTGCCGTTGGTTACTGATATTGGAGATCCGTGAGCCCAGGAAGCTGCACCAGATGTCAATGTGAGAACTACATGTAGCTTTGATATATTGACCCTATCCCCGTACTCCAACCCTGGTAGACAGCTGGGAAACTAGACAAGGCCGTTAATTGTTGGGGCCGTCATCGCGTTTAAGCCGAGTTGCCTGAAGTACTACCGACTTTCTCAACCCGCAAACTCTGTCCTACGTATTTCTGTCATCGCCACTAGGACTTTTCCACCATGTTTTCGAGCGATCGCGGGGCGAGGCTTTCAAAAGAAAGCGTACAGGTGGGCCATCTTCCATAAGTCGAGACTAGTCGTTGAACATTCTCAAACAACAGAGTGCTTACACTAAACAGGACCTGGTGGCCGTCATTCCTTCGTTGCGCTCGGTGGATCCCGGCAAACTCTCCAAGCATGTCGTCGCAGATGGTGATGGACTCGTTAATCGCAGAGAGGCAGCAACTATTTGCAGAAATGAGCTTATGGATGGCCAGTGCGGAAATGGAGTCGTGCGCGTTAGCCGCCTCGCATACGGCGTCGAAACTGGTTCGGAGATTTCGGTTCCTGCTGGGAACGTGGCCGATGCTTTTGGCCAGCTGGAAAATTTGACCCAACTAGGCAGAGATGTTGACCTTGTGGCCATGGAACCTTTTGCTGTCCCCGATGCTGGCAGCACATTCGAGGGTCTGCCGCAGGCGACGAAGCTGCTGGCATTTGAGAATGACACTTGTGGTGTGTCGTCTTAGTAGACGATAGATTATGGAATTGAGTCTCCTTATTGATGGAGGGGATGGGTATTAGAGGAAGGAAAGAGGCGTTTTATTAGCGCCCTTGTCTGTTCAGCCAGTTTGCGAGGAGGCATAGCCGGATCGCCTGGGGGAAGTGTCATTCACAAAGCTGGGGTATCTCAGTCAGTTTCTATCTACCCATGGCAATGACAGTGGTACTGTACCAGGCTAGGTCGTTGTCTCTGAGGGCCACTAGGACACGCGGGTAGCTGAGGTGGCTTCCAAATATCTACTGTCGATCTACGCATATTGGTTCTATCCGCAACCGTGACACTGCAACTGTTCATTACGACAAAAGTACAGGTTCACCGCAAATGTGCCTCCAATTATGGAGGTCAAGCGTCATGGCATTTAATTTTTGGAGGATGGGATGCCGCTTTTGGAGGACGACTTGCGAAGCGCCGGGGCTGACTTTGGTCGGCCCCCCCCAGCGCTCCTTGTCAGCGCCACCCGGTCCGGGACCCACAGGTAACTCATTGACTATTCGTGGCTAGCTAAGTGGTATATCGGGTTGTAGACGGCATGGCAACCGGTTGGTCATCCTCCTTTGACAATTATATCAAACTGCTCTGATACATTATGCAGCCTACGGTCGGAGCCGTGAGGTGCGGCTGAGTGATCCACTTGGGCGTATGTACCTGTCGAGATTATTAGGCGGCGCCACCTATGTATGCCTGAGGTATCCAGGTTGCTAAGTTCGGGGGCCAAATCAGGCATCAATGCACAACCCATCTGAGTAAGCTCAGTATCATCCCATCGACGATGTGGAATAGTCTTGCGGAGCATGATTAAAAGCATGCGATGCCAGAATTCCCAACCCCCAAAGTTGCACAATTCATCCATAGTTGCAGCATTTTCGACGACGAGACCTTACAGTCGATGCTCAGAAGCATGGGAGAGGGAATGAAATGCAATAAGCAGGCACTAATTCAACGACAAATTTCGAAGCAGCGCATTCCTGGCGATCGCGAGCACCGTTACAATGACGGCTCTACGACCCTCCTGCCGCGAAGACTTTGAGATCGCGATTATTTGCGCTTTACCACTCGAGTATAATGCGGTAGCCCTCCTCTTTGACGAGTTCTGGGACGGAGATGGAGACCAATTCGGGAGAGCAGCCAGTGACGATAATGCCTACAAGACTGGTCGCATTGGCAAGCATAGCGTTGTACTGGCGCTGTTGCCTGGCATGGGCAAAGTCAGCGCTGCTGCCGCAGCCGCCAGCATGCGATCGAGCTACGTCGCTCTACGACTAGTGCTCCTGGCGGGCATCTGTGGCGGCGCGCCTTATTATAACCGAGATGAGATCTTGCTGGGAGACGTCATTATTAGCAAGACTGTTATTCAATACGACTTTGGAAGGAAATATCCAGATGGGTTCGCGCGCAAGGACAAGACCGAAGGCAATCTAAGCAAACACAACAAAAATATCCGTACCTTGTTAGCAACATTCGAGACGGACTTGGGCGGAGACGGACTTCAAAAAAAGACTTCTCATTTTCTCAGACAGCTCCAGGCAAAGGCTGGGGACCATCGGACTAGATATAAATATCCCGGCACGGCCGAGGATAAACTGTTCGAGTCAGGCTATCGCCATAAACACCGCATCTCGCCGGCGTGCATCTGCAGCAATTGTCATGGAAGGACAGACCCAGTCTGTGCTGGGGCTCTTGCCTCGGCCTGCAACGATTTGGGGTGCGATGAGAGATACCTAGTAAAGAGGAATCGACTAAAGGCGAGACGGAAGTTGGAGCAAGGTGGTAACAACGAGGCGCAAGACCCTGCCATCTATACTGGGACTGTTGCCTCCGGCGATACGGTGATGAAGTCAGGAGAGGACCGGGATAGCATCTTCCAGAAAGAAGGCGTTATTGCGTTTGAGATGGAGGGAGCTGGAGCATGGGAAGAAGTGCCATGTATCGTGGTCAAGGGCGTGTGCGATTATGCCGACTGCCACAAGAACAAGAAGTGGCAGGATTTTGCAGCGGCAGCATCCGCATCGGCAGCGAAGGCGATTCTAGAACGATACATCCAAACAGACAAACGTCGGGGCGTGGTTGTGGAGGAACCGCCGTGCCATTTTCTCGTCCCGTTTGGAAGGAATCAGAGCTTCGTTGGCAGGGAAACGATTTTATCAAAGCTTCTGGGGAGAATCTGGCCTGGCACGAATAAGGACGATTGTCAGAGAACCGCCGTCGAAGGCCTCGGGGGGATCGGCAAGACGCAAATCGCACTAGAGGCCGTCTACCGTGTTCATGAAGAGCACCCGGACTGCTCCATTTTCTGGGTTCCGGCCGTGGACGTAAACACCTTTGAAAACGCTTACCATGATATCGGCAAACATATGAAGATTAAGGGCATTAACGAAGAAAATGCTGACATTAAACGGCTTGTTAAAACTGCGCTAAGTGACGACAGCATTGGCAGCTGGCTCCTGGTTGTTGATAATGCCGATGATATTACGTTGCTCTTTGGCGTCACTAGACTGTCAGACTATCTCCCATTTAGTCGAAAGGGCTCCATCCTGTTTACAACGCGGAATCACGAGGCCGCCGTGAAGCTCGTTGTCCATAAGAGCGGCATTGTCCCCGTACCAGAAATGGACAGGAGCGAAGCCTTTGATCTGCTACGGAAAGGGTTGAACGAAAGCCAGAGGAGCGACACGAAAAGCACCGAGAGGCTACTTGATTTTCTAGCATACCTGCCGCTGGCAATCAGGCAGGCATCCGCATACATGGACAAGAACCAGATATTAACTTCAGAGTACCTCGAGCTTTGTGAGTCTGAGCGCGAGGACATGATCGATCTTCTAGGTAGAGACTTTGATGACCCACATCGATACAAGGAGATTCCAAATCCAGTGGCCACAACATGGCTTATTTCATTTCACCACATCTCAAGGCATAATCCACTAGCGGCGGAGTACCTGAAGTTCATAAGTCTTCTAGCGGAGAAAGACATCCCGAAGTCTCTTTTACCAACGGCTAGGAAAATAAAAGCCTTGGAGGCAATCGGCACGCTAAAGGCATATGCATTTATTACGCAACGTGAAGGACGAGATTCATTTGACATGCACCGGCTTGTGCGTCTGGCGATGCAAAACTGGCTAGAGAACAAGGGACTGGAGAGCTATGTATCGTCTGCGATACAGCGGCTTGATCAAGCGTTTCCGTTTCCGAAGCATAAGAACAGGGACATGTGGATGAAATATCTACCCCACGCACAAGCCGCGCTGGAGTTTCGGGAGCACCTTGAAGGTGGAAAGGTGGATGCTAGCCTTTTATTTAATGTGGCCGAAAGTTATTACTTACTAGGACAATATCAGAAGGCCAAGCAACTGCACCAGCAGAGCCTCCAGCTTCGTGAGAAGGTGCTAGGCAAAGAGCATCCGTCCACACTTTCCAGCATGAATAACCTCGCAAATATGCTCTCAATTCTAGAGAAGGATAAGGAGGCCGAGCAGATGTATTATCAGACACTTCAGCTGAGGGAGAAGGTACTAGGCAAAGAGCATCCGTCTACACTTGACAGCATGAATAACCTTGCAGGTGTGCTCTTGGATCTAGGGAAGTATAAGGAGGCCGAGAAAATGTATTGTCAGACACTCCGGCTATACGAGAAGGTGCTAGGCAAAGAGCATCCGTCCACACTTTCCAGCATGAATAACCTCGCACTTATGTTTAGGAATATAGGGAAGTATGAGGAGGCCGAGCAAATGCATTGGCAGACACTCCGGCTATACGAGAAGGTGCTAGGCAAGGACCATCCAAACACACTAACAAGTATGATGAACGTCGCGATTGTGCTTTCAAAAACCGGGAAGTATGAGGAGGCCGAGCAGATTCATTGGCAGACACTCCAGCTGAGGGAGAAGGTGCTAGGTAAGGACCATCCGGATACACTATTTAGTATGAAGAACGTTGCAAATACGCTCTTAAATCTAGAGAAGTATGAGGCGGCCGAGCAGATATATCGGCAAATACTCCAGCTAAAGGAGAAGGTGCTAGGCAAAGACCATCCGTCTACGCGAAGAAGTCAGAGGGATCTCGATGACTGCTTAAGAGTGAAGAAATAGCAAGGAGCCGCAGCGTAAATTAAATATTTTTTGTCCCCATAGAGCAAAGTGACGCGGGTGTTTGGACCCAACGCGCCGGGCAGTTATGCCACGCCGTCGCGAACGCAGTGGTTGATCTCGCCTCCGTCTCGCGGTTACACGCGCCGCCACCAGTCTTGATTGTGCAGGCACTGTGTGCAATGCCCGCCGAACATGGAGAAAAAGCAGTCTAGAAGTAGAGGAGGTGCTTGTAACCAACTTGGCATTAATTCTTCATGTACCCGTGCAATCAGAGAGGAAGTTACTCACAACCCTCGGCGTGATCCAGTTACCTTCAGAAAATACCTTGACGCATGTTAGCCTTAGCGCGCACACTCCAACAACAAGACATGGAAGGAACTGGCCAGGCGCTCACTAAACCTGCGAGGTAGATGAATACTATTAACAGTCTTGCCCTTCTGATAATCACTGGCATCGGTCCTGTCGCCAAACAACGATTGTCAAGAAAGCACAGAACGCATACAAGCCAACGGAAATTAAGAATCTAGTAACGGTATGTAATTTCACCATCCGCGATCTACCCCAATGTGCGCCTCTTCGTGCCCACGCAGCCAAACTTCATCTGTTCCGTCTCCTATGCGACGTGCCTAAACTTTCTAACCACTAAGTTTTTCGCCTCTTTGATTGCCTAATCCCCACGTAATTAGTCGCACGGCAGGAATCTGGCGCTAGTTCTTGTGCCTCAAGATTTCTCGTTTCTGTTCACGAGTAGCGCTCACAAGCGGTTATGGGATAGCTTAATGGTAAGATTCTAGGTGATCGCGGTGCGGAAATTCTTCATCGACGACGTGCTAGATCCGCTAGCTGGGCTGGGGACCGGAGACCAGGCCAGGGCTCACGAGGCCATGCCTGAAGAGGCACCACAGTACTCGCACAATGGCAACCGGCACAGCGCAATAGAGCTGGGAATGGACGTGGATAGCGAGGGCGCCTACGATGACGCCGCTGATGGGCGCGAGGGGGACGCGGCTCTGCTCTCCGAGTCCCCTGAGTCCGGAGACGTCTTGATCAACCTTGCGCGTCTCATGCAGATAATCACGATTCAAATCTACCGCGTCCGTTGCCATCCCAAGAACCCGGCCGGAGAGTATCCTTGCATCGACAAGATCCACGAAACGCAAGAGAATCCCGCAGCCCAGGTTCTGCAGAGCACCTCGGAGTTCACGGGGATTTTGGAACGATTTTGCACGTCTTCCTCGTCGTACATGCCTACGCCTTCGCTATTCAGCTCGGAAAGTGGGAGTTTGGGTGCCGACGCGGCAGACTCACTGCCCAACGGGCCACCGCTACGGCAAGACGACTCTTGTTCGGCCAACACGGGACCCGTTGGCACGCCTGCGGTGCTCTTGATCCTCTCTTGCTACCTCCAACTCTTGCGGCTCTACGACGCCATCACCAATCGGATGCTCCAGTCGCTACGGCAGCTGCAGGACGTGGTTGGCTTTTTCCAGACGGCCATTGAGCTGCGGATCAGCGGCCTGCCTTCTATCAAGGGATACTTGTACATCAAGGTTCTCGTGCAAATTATGGAGCATCAGATCAATGCCATGGAGAAGCTGCTCGGTCTTCCGGCCGAGTACCGTCTTTTCGGGCGGACCGCATCGACGGGAATACTCAGCACCGTCGAATTGTCGCGTCTGTTGAAGGTCGTTATGGCCCAGGGGGGAGGTGGTCCGGCAAAATCAGGCAGCTCGCTGGTAGATTCAATCCAGGAAAACTTGACGAGTATCAAGGAACTACTGCAGGGCTAGAAGGGAGTCTGTCCTATAACGTTGTCTTTATTTCCTAACGTGGTGATTTCCCAAAACTAAACTAGTGTCAAGTTCAAAGGGGGCAATAGTAGGCGTTGATTCTTGCTTTGCGGTGAATCAAGGGCTTTTCGTCTCGCTGCCGCGTGACTCTCATGCACTCCGATCAATCACATATACGAGCTTGCACCCTGATACCTCGCGCCGACGCAGCCTCTCCACGCCGTCAATTATGCCATCCAGCCCATCCTCATGGACGATACTGGGATGAGACCGAATCTTGCCCTCGCGCACCCAGCTCTCCACGCGCCGGAACAGACGGCGCCCCCAGTCTCTCAGCTCTGCGTTGGCGGGATACCCGCAGCCTTTGTCGAGGACAATCTCGCCGCCAGTCAGGCGTATGCCAAGAACCCAGCTCGCCTTGATCGTCTTCCGAAGCGCCGCGAGTTCATCCGGCACGAACTCGAACTGGACGTACCGGCCTCCCACCCGACCCATGGCTGCGTAGCACAGCTTGAGCGACTTCGCATCGGCAATAATATCCATCACGTACTCGAGGCTGTTGGCTGTGTACGCGCGAATGTCCTCGGCAGCGGTGGGAGAAGTATAGTCGAATGCCTTTTCCGCCCCAAAGCCTTCCACCAGCCCGAAGTTGTGCGGCGAGCACGACGCCAGCACCCGAAACCCCAATCTAGACGAAGCAGGATATTATAAGATGCGGCCACGGCCTCATTGCGCAGTCAAAGTCTACCCACAGCTTCAGGAGCTGAATTGCCATTGTTCCAATCGCAGTGCTTCCCCCGTGGACAAAGACAAACTCAGACTTGGAGCTCGGCTCCTCGGGAGTCCCTGGCAACTCGAGGTTCTGCCATGCCGCCATGCCTACCGTCCCGATGCCGCACAGCCCGATTGCCACGGCATCGGTCCACGGCATGGCATCCGGAATCTTCCATAGCTGGCTGGCGTCGACGGCGCTGTACTCGGCATAGGCCCCGGACGACGGATCGACGGGGTTGTTCGCGTGAACGGCACCAGATACCCTGTCGCCTTGGGCGAGGTGAGTGACGCAGCTGCCCAGCCTCACGACGCGCCCGGCGTAGTCGGATCCGCAGCCGGCGCCGGGGCAGGGACACGCCGACAACATCTTCCAGTCACTGGGGTTGAGGGCTACTGCGGCTGTCCTGACAAGGACCTGGTTCGGACCCGGAGACGGCACCTCCCTGGCGAATGTCTGCGTCAGCGTGCCGCCGTGCTCTGACTGGATAATGGCTCGGTTGAGCCGGGGAGTAGGCCTTGGCGTCATGATGCGGGCATATGACTGGTAGAATTGTATTTATTCAGGGCAATGTTTCTTCGGAAATGTGTGTCAATTTGCTGCGTCTGGGCTGGTGTTGGCTGCAGAGCATGTTATTCTTCTGCTAAATAGGACCCTCAGCATGTCCCTTTTTGGAACATGCTAAAATCTTATGACTTGGGGTAGTTGGGGGCAGGCCGGATTTCGGCCGGCATGTTTCGGAGGGTTTGGAGTCGGCTCCGATGCGTGGTCCGGCCGCGAGGCCGTTCGGGGCTAAGACCACTCCGACTCGGGCACTTGGTCCTTGTCAACCCACCAGACAGGTTAATGTACTCCCTTGTGGCATTCCAAAACGGAGGGTGCCGTTGGGTCACTGTCGGGTCTTCAATGTTGTGCTGCAACATAGGTACCCCCAACCAGGCCACAATCGTCCATCTTCCTCGTTCGTCGAACAAGGCCGAGTTGCCCTCTTCCAACCTTCTATCCAATTTACCCGTCTGCGAAATCCGGCTACAGCCTTTCTGAGTTGCCAAGTAATTCTCTCTTCGCTAGCCTTCATCCATTTCCAGCAATGAAGCTGCGTTTGACGTCCTGGACCTCGCTCATCGTCGCCGCATGGCTGGCCAACGCGGTGTCTGGGCAGTTGGGTCAAATACCACTAGACACACTCTTTTCTGAGAACTGGCAAAAGAGTCTGAAATATCATGGCCAATACCCGTCACCATGCCAAGTAAGCCGCAGCACGGCGTTTGAGCAAACAGAAGGGCCCGTCGAATTTTCAGAGTCACCCACGGAGCATCTCGAGACACCAAAGCTGTCAACCATCAACGCCACGGCATGGGAACAATGGGAGTTTGACGGAACCGCCGACTCTGGAATGTCAGGCATTATTTTGGCCTTTTCACGCGATGCATCGTACCACTTCTTCGGCCAGGGCAACCTGCGCGTCGAGTTCTACATGATCCTTGACGACGGGACAATTACCCGGGAGCTCGACTTCCTTGAGCAGTCTACAGTCATCACTTGCCAAGACTCAGTAACGGGCATCTGGAACAGCACCGGCCACACCTACGGTTTCCAGGTGCCGAGAAACATGAGCCGCGCCCGAGTATGGTGGTCCACGCCCAGGTCCAAGGGCAACTTTGCCATTGAGTCGGACACGCTGCCACATTTGGCTGAAGGAAAGCTGTGGCCCGACGAGAAAGGAAGCGTGCAAATGTCTGCATCACTGTTCCTGAATCAACCCATTGCTGGCGGCCGGGTGGTTGTTGAGTACACGCTGGGCAAAACTAGCTTGAACTTCACCGGCCACGGAGGCCACGGGAGAGTTTGGGCCAAAGATAGCTGGTTTAAAGTGTGCGACGCGTGGAACATCATCCGCGGCTTTGCGGGACCCTACTACATGGCGCATTGGAGGCCTGTCTCTCGCCTGAACAAGGGGGTGCCATATTGCTGTGCTCAGCTTTTCAAGGACGGTGAGCTACTTTTTGGTACGGCCAAGGGCGAGGCTTTAGACACGGATGACTACGTTCTTTTCACCAACAACCTTTCTGGAAATGTCTCGGGCAGTCTGGCAAATCGGTCTACGGGCCATTTTATCGAGTTTGTGTCCCCGCAAAAGGGCAAAACCTGGCGGTTCAAAGTTGAACATAATCGGGTCAAGTTCAACATGGGCCTTGGGGGCGGGCTCGGGCTGAGCGGCTTCACGGCCCGAGTCAGTGGTGGCGAAGAAATTCCCTCTTACAGAATCCGCTAATCACTGGTGGCATAGAGGGAGATGTTGATGTATTTGTCCCCAATCCGCAGTCCGGCTTGCTACTCCAACTCCAAGGGATAAAGGTGACACCACTGTCGGAACGAAGCCCCGAAAAAGATCGACAATTATTCTGCAAGCAAATATGGGCTCCGGCACTACCAGACGGATTATTGGCAGCAGATAATCGTGCATCAGCTGAGGACGTACAGCTTGCCGCTGATTTAGAAAGAATTTCACTCTATTACATGAACCAAGTTAGCAGAGATACTCCAGAAGACAAGCGCGACACTCTACCTTGGCATCGCAAGGCCATGTTTGACTGCTTCGGTCATGTCATCCATCACAGTCGGATTGGAAGGCAACGATTTACGGAGAGAGAGTGGCTCAATGATACATGGGAAGACATCTCACCAATTATGGATAGGTATGCTATTTTCTATTACAAATTCATGATGATTCAAGTATAAGCTGACGATTATTTAGATACCCTGACAGCATTGAGATCAAACTAACTCGTACAGTGGGCGAGCACCTCACTGCCGCGGTGCGAGGTGAAACAGAAATCCTCCAGCACCTGCTAGACGATGACTTGCTTAACCGGTACTACGTTGAGGCCATGGGGCTCAAAGATGCTACCAGCTTTCTTTCCAGAGTAATAGCCCAGATTGCCCATCGTTTTCCTCACATGGACATTCTGGACATCGGTGCGGGCACTGGAGGAGCCACAAAGACCATCATGCGAGATATCGGGCGGTCTTTCGCTTCCTACACCTTCACTGATGTTTCCAGCGGGTTTTTCGAAAAGGCTCGCGAGGTATTTGCCGCTCAATATGAATCGGAGAAAATGACTTTCAAGGTCCTTGATTGCGCAAAGGATGTGGTAGAGCAAGGCCACGAGGAGTATTCCTACGACCTAGTCATTGCCTCCTTGGTCCTACACGCCACCCGAGATTAACCCCCATTACTTTCACTGTTGCAAACCCGAGAGATGTGGTAGCGATGGGTGGTTCTTACGAAGCTGGCACCATTGTCGACTGGAGGGCCACTGCCTTGGTGCCCGTGAGACTCACATCGGCCAATGATCAGATCCGATTTGACGAGAATAAAACATATGCTTTGTTCGGGTTAACGAGTGATTTGGCGACTTCGTTATGCGACTGGATGTCCTCCCGGGGCGCTCGAACCATTGTTCTCACCAGTCGGAACCCGAACATTGATGAGAGGTGGCTTGAAGAGATTTCGAGGGCAGGAGTACACGTCGGAGTATTTTCCAAGTAGGAGAGACAATCTTGCACACTTTGAATGTAATAAGAGCACAAGCTGACGAAACAATTAGCGACATCACGGATCAAACTGCTGTTGAGGAGCTCGTCGCAACGATCCGTCGAGAATTCCCCCCGATTGGCGGCATTATGAACGGCGCAATGGTGCTTCAAGATGTCCCATTTTCGGAAATGTCATTCGAGATTATGGAAAAAGTCTTGAGACCCAAGGTACTGGGAACGATGCACCTGGACCGGCTATTTTGAGATGATAGTCTGAACTTCTTTGTCATGTTTTCCTCCATAGCCGCCGCGGCAGGCAACCGCGGTCAGTCCAACTACAGCGCCGCAAACATGTTCATGGTCGCTACCGCCATGGAACGCCGCCGTCAAGGTTTTGCAGCCTCGGTTCTACATCTCGACGCCGTCCTGGGCGTTGGATATATCATGCGAGAGTTTGATGAGACTGTTCTTCCCACTATCCTCCGCGGAGGATTCATGTGGATGGAAGAGCGCGGATTCCATCAATGCATTCCCGAGGCAATTCTTGCTGGAAGACCACAGGCCGGACGCAACCCGGAAATCATCACAGGCTTGCGAAGGATTAATGCCGATGTTGCAGAACCTGTGCCCTGGATAAGGAACCCTCGCTTTCAGCACTATATAAACTGGGGTGGTGATGGAAACTTGAAGAAGATGATGCAAAATGCTGCTGTCCCCGTCAGGGCCCGGCTGTTTGAAGTCAGAAACTTGGATGAGATATCGAAGATTATACAAGGCAAGTACTTTGCTGAGACATTCTCCAATCAGCTAGATGCGAACTACATACTGATTCATATCAGATGGCTTTGTTGGCAAGCTCCAGGCCGCTTTGCAGCTTCAACAGGACGACAATTCTGAGCAATTCAACATGTCGAATATGAGCGCGGATGATCTTGGGATTGATTCCCTCGTTGCAGTGGAAATACGCTCTTGGTTCCTCAGGGAAATGGATGTCGATATGCCAGTACTGAAGATCCTCGGTGGTGCCTCTCTCGTGGACTTGATTACTTTTGCGCTTGAGAACATCCCTTCCGAACTCATTCCAAAGCTAGCAGCCGTGGAAACCCAGCCAATGGCTTCCAATGAGTCGGAGCTGCAAAAAACGCAGCTCATGCCCTTGGTGGCATCGTCGGGCTCAAATGGTTCTGTCCTGGCAAGCATTGACAACCTCTCTAGGTCTGCAGAGTCAACTATAGCCAGCTCCTCGTCTGAAAGCCCACTGCCGGAAAGCGAAAGCGAACCTGGGGACGAAGGGCTAAAGTCGCGTTCTTTTGAACACAAGTCAGTACTCCCACATGAGGTTGAAAGGTCGGTGCCCATGTCAGCGGGCCAGTCCAGATTCTGGTTCTTAAACCATTTCGTGCAAGACCAAACTACTTTTAACATCAAATTTTCCATCAAGATCAATGGAGAGTTGAACGAGCACAAACTTGAAGCGGCCGTAAAAGTATTGGGTCATCGCCATGAAGCACTGCGAACCGCCTTTATCACCGAAGGAGACCAGAATCTACAGTGTGTCCTCAAAAATTCCCTTCTTCGTCTTGAAAAGAGGGCAATACGGGATATATCTCAAGTTAATCGAGAGTTTGAATACCTGAGGGACTACATCTACGATATTCAACACGGCGAGACAATGAGGATGCTTCTCCTTTCACTAAGCTCAGAGCAAAGTTTTCTCGTCATCGGGTACATGCATCCTGCAATTATAATCCCAATCCAGGATGTACCCCTGACCAGCAACGGGAAGCTTGACCGGGCAGCTATTGAGAAGTTGCAGGTTTCAAACGGCACTGAGCGAGCTACAGGGGCGGCCAAGCTTGGGAACGTGGAATGTGAGCTTCGCGAGGCGTGGGAGGAGGTGATTTCAGAAGAAGTCCTGCAACACTGCACCATCGACCGGGGCAGCAACTTCTTCCATGTGGGCGGTAACTCATTGCTGCTCATCAGGCTACAGCACTCGATCAAGACGCGGTTCGGAGTAGCCCTTCCGGTGGCCACTCTCTTCGAGCAGAGCACTCTCTGAGCCATGGCGGCCGTCATCACAGACGCCACCTATCTTGAAGCCGCGGAGACGGACTGGACGGAGGAAACAGCCCTGACCAAGCACGTGGTGGATGCCGGTCCCTTTATCTCCGCCGCAACAAAGTCGACAAGGGGCGTCATAATCATGACGGGCGCCACGGGATTTCTAGGGCTGGAGCTGCTCAAGGAATTCGTCGAGTCCCCCAGCGTGACCAAGGTTCACTGCATTGCAGTCCGCAGTCAGGGAAAGCTAGGTTTGTTTCTCGGCTCGCCCAAGGTCACACTCCACCAGGGCGATCTCAGTGCTCCGCGAGCAGGACTCTCGGTTCAAGCTGCAGAGGCAATATTTGGCGAGGCTGGTGCCACTGTCCACAGTGGTGCTGATGTGTCCTTCCTGAAGACATCAATACCAAACCCTCCGACCAGCTAATGTCGAGGCAACCAAGGAGCTCGCCAGGCTCGCTCTCGTCCATAATGTGCCGTTCCACTACAATTCCACCACAGCCACGGGCCGTCTGAACAACATGGATACCTTGTATGAGATTTCGCTGGCCGAGAATATTCCTCCTCCAGGCTATTCAGACGGGTATGTGGCTGGAAAATGGGCCAGTGAAGTCTTCCTGGAGAAGGTCCATGAGCGTCTCGGGTTGCCCGTCTGTATCCATCGCCCGAGCAGTATCACGGGCCCGGCCGCAAGCGACCTGGATGTGATGAACAGCGTCATCAAATTCTCTCGACAGCTCAAGGCCGTACCGACCTCGTCACGATGGCGTGGTTCACTCGACTTCATCAGCGTGGAGAATGCGGCCAAAGGCATAGCCCGAGTAGTGACGGGATCTGATCAGGAGACGAAGCTCAAGTATCTACATCATTCCGGGGACGTGATCATTCCCATTGACCAGCTTGGACAGCACATGCAGGAGGAGGATGGAATCGAGTATAGGGAGCTGAGCTTGTGGGATTGGACCGAGTTGGCAGTTGGGTTGTAGATGAATGTGTTGATTGCAGCATACCTTGCTGCCATTGACGAAATGGACCTGGATGTTGTTTTCCAGAAATTGATGAAGCGTGAGACGGGGGAGGGATGATGGCTAAGCGTGTGTTTGCAACGTCTACTTGATCAAGCATGTATTAAAACACAATTTGAGCCTGGGACTTTCTTTACTCTTCTTATTTGTCCTGGATGGGAATGTGAGAAGTAGTTCAAGCATCGTCTTTTGAGATACATAATTGTGCAACCGAATCATGTTCATACTTCACTTTAATTTTCTCATGCATGCTCCTGTGATATCACACCAGATACAGCTACATCTCGATGCACTCGAAGATGCTTGTCGAAGAATTGAAAACTCTTCTGCGGAAGCAATGCCCAAGCCCCAACCTTTCCAGTCATTCCCCCTTCCCCGATACTCGACGGTATCCAAACCTCCTTTTCACTCTCGGGTACCATTTTTAGTGCATTATAAACAGCAACGGTGCCATCCTGTGCGCTGGCATAAAGCGATCTTGACGCACCAGTCAGTAGGACAGGGCACTTAATGCGATCCACGATCGGTTCATCTCCCTCGCGATGGAGGGAAAATTCCCGAAACCGCCGCAGTGTATTCCCCGGCGTCGCAGTACCCATCATGGCCATACCAAGACCAAACTCCCAGCGCGTGGTGAAGTCCATCCTCATGCCGAAGCGGACCAAGGCGTCAAACAGCCACTCAGGCAGCCATCCTGACAACCACAGAGACGAGTACCAGCCTGGCATCCTCTCCATGGCTACCTCCCACAAGCTGTAGAACCCATCAATGGCAACACAGGCCTTGATACGAGGGTCGACGCAGGCTCGGAGGGAGTAGTACGCTCCCATCGAAGCCCCCGCGACGCCGATGCGCTCGAGGTCCAGCCCCCATTCCGGCTTTTGTTCCGAAATACGTTGTAGATAATCCAAAACTTTGCGAGTAACAACTTCGTAGTCTCCTCGCGCGGAAACCTTGTCCCGTTTAAGCAGCATACCCTGACCCGGTCCCTCAAACGTCACAACCGCGTAGCCAAGTTCAGCTCCTGCGCATACCAGAGCGAAATACAACTCCTCTTGCGTCGAGTCGGCTCCGCAGCAATTGACGACGACTGGCATCTTACCGCCAGGCATGCGCCTCGACTCCGGCGGCAGATACAGGTATCCGGGCATGGAGACGTCATCCCGATACGGCATGTCCAAAACAATAACCTGGCCGTCCATGTGGACGAAAGCTTCCCTGAACAAGGAAACGGCGCGCTCTGCCGTTTCCAACACGCGTTCATCACCGGCCATGAACATGTACCCGCTCGCGCGGGCATAGTTGGACGAGCGAAGGAAGCCTCTCTGCGCGGCGGAGGCGTGACCGTGTTGGGCGGCTTCGCGGGCGATCCGCTCTGCTCGACGGGACTGCTCATGCCAGGCGGAGAACCAGCTTTCCGGGTCGTTCTTTTTGATCTGGCCCACGGCTTCGAGAAATTCGGCAACATCACAGCCGCCGGAGCTGGTGCTGCCCAGCAAGCGGGTTAGCTCGAAGTCGAGGAAACTACTTTGCAAAAAGCTGTACATGTCTTGTTGGGTCTTCTCTAGGTGTAGAGGACTTCGACTATACGAATAGGTCGGGGGCCTGCTACACTACCGTTCGTACGGCCTAGAGCCGTCTGGGGATTTGGGTATTAACTGTTTAGGCTCATTTTGCCACACATGCTGGTATGCTGCTTCGATACGGGGCTGGGAGTTGCTGTAGTCGGTTGCTGAGTTTCGGCATGAACCCTCTGAGCCGAATCGATCTCAACGGTGCGAGTGGCATCGTCTGATCCGGAGAGCAGTGTACCTTCGGAGGGTTTCTAAATTTTGGACGCCGTCCAATCGGGTCTTCGGCACGGAAATCACTTGCAACAAAATATTGTTAGGCGCGCTAAATTACTGCTTCTCGTAGAGGCCTGATCCTTACCACCATGGCGAGGTGCCTACTCGACACGCGTTACTCGCACGTCGGATTTCTGTGGTGAGTGGTCTTCATTGTTTTGTAGCCGCTCATAGCCACCCACGTACACTCGGCCTCAATCGAAATGACAGTCTACCTGGCTTGGAAATTGTGTTTACCTATGCAAGACGCTAGATAAATAAATGTCTTGCCCATGTAAAACGACGTTTGGCGGTATTCCCTTCGTCCAAGTGCGCTGGATATAACTCAGGTAGTGTTTTGCTTCTGCGGATCTGGATCCTTGACTTCCTTTGCTTCCTCTACATTCTCCTCACGATCCTTCTTGTCAACCATGCCAAATTCAGTCTCTAGTTCTTGCCGGAGAGGCACCTCTTTCTCAAGGAAGACAAGTAGAAAGCCTAGTGCCGCAAAACCTATTGCAACCTGCCAAGTGCGTTGAAGACTCATTTCAAGGACACGGGTAAACTCGTTGCGAGTTGCTTCGGAAAGCGTGCTGCGAAAGGCGGCCGTTGCACTCTCGTATGCTCTCCCGCCAGTCAGCCTGCTCCGGAGGACTGGGTCGGTGATTTCGGTCTCAGCCAGCTGGTCAAAGCGGTTGTTAAAGATGGCAGCCGGGATGGCCGTACCCCAAGTTAGGCCAAAAGATCGAAAAAAGGCCCAGGTTGCGGCGGCGAGGGCAGTGTCGGACTCGGCCAGCGGTGCCATGACGGCGGGCAGCAAGGTTGGAGCAATGAGCCCGGCGCCCGCGGACTCGACGATCTGGAGACCAACCCAAGTACCCGTGTTTGAGTTCTCGTCAAGAAGGGTGAACAGGCCGAATCCAAGCACCATAAGCGCGTGGCCCGCCTGATGGATGGCGCGATAGCGGCCCAGCTTGGACATGAGGGCGCCGCCCGCGGCTGCAAAGGGGATGAGGATGAGGATGGTAGGCAGTAGCTGCACCCCCGATCGTGACGGCGTGGAGCCGAGGACGCCTTGGAAGTAGATGGGCAGAAAGTAGATAGCCCACATGGTGACGATGCTGTGCATCAAGGTGAGGAAAAAGACTATTGCGCTGGTTCGATTTGACAGCAGGTGGAGAGGAACAGTTGGATAGGGCGCGAGGGCCGATGCCTCGAAAATGACGAAGCCGACGAGGCCGGAAAAACCAACGATGAGGGGAGTGAGCACCTGGTACGATGATCATGGATGTATGGCGCCCGCCCAGGACAAGGCAATGAGAATCGAGCAGATGGAGCTTACAAAGATGACGTTGCCAACCCAGTCAATAGTGGTCAAGCGGGTAGCGAGCGTCTTCTCCCTGTTGTGCTTCACATTGAGAAAGACAAGGAGCAGCAGCAGCGCGAAGCCACCTACAGGAAGGTGGAGGTAGAAAACCCAGCGCCAGCTCGGGTACGTCACAATGAGCCCGCCAAAGAAAGGCCCCAGGGCCGTCCCAATGGCAACGAGGCCAAAGATGATGGCAAAGTAGGTGCCGCGCTCACGCAGAGGAACCAGGTCGCAGATGATAATCTCAACCAGGACGTTGATCCCGCCAGCTCCGATGCCCTGGACAACCCGGCCGGCGATGAGTGTGCCCATCCCCGTGGCACCGCCGCAGATTCCGCTGCCGAGCACAAAGGCAGCCGTGGCGCAGATGGTTGGCCACCGGCGCCCAAAGACATTGACCAACTGCCCAAACATAGGCTGTAGTGAAGTCCTGTATGAGTCCAGGGTTAGTTCGCTTGCCGCCCGGCCGCGTCGTCGGGAGTTGACCTACATGGCCAGGAAGTATCCATTGACGGCCCAGATGTAGAGGTCGCCGCCCCCCAGCTCGGCGATGACAGTGGGCAGTGTCGTCGACGTGATGGTGGCTTCGAGCGCGCTGAGCAGTCCCGAGAAGCCAATGGCCAGGAGGATGGCCCAGAAACGGAGATCCCTGTTCAGTGCCGGAGCAGCACCGGCGGACTTGGCCGGCGTTGTGGGGCCACCGGTCGGGCTTTCGGAGCCGCCTGTGGGCCCGTCCGAATCCCGGGCCTCCTGGCTCGTCGCCGTGCTGCCGCCCGATGCTGTCCCTGCTTGCATAGTGAGATGAGGTAGTGGTTGGGTGACGATGGCGAAGACATGCGAGTACGACAGAAGATGGGATATCAAACTCTGTTGATTCAAAGTGCAGGAAGCAGCAGAGTTGGGGAAACATGTACTAATGTACCGACGAATTCGGATGCTTGTTCATTCGGCTGAGCCTTGATTTGTTTTCGGTGTGTTGGGCGAAGCATTTTCGGCATGTTTTTTTCGGAGGGTTCTGGCAGCGCCACTTGCGCCATGGCCCATCTTCGGGTTTACGGCTGATCCCCCTTTTCTTTGAACAATGGACATGAATTGTTATAACTGACAACAGGGTGATTGCTGGGGTCAATCAATCAGGGGCCGTTAGTTGGTTATGGCTATGGAACATAATACTGCGTTGGCACGTATCATTTAATGAGGCAGGTACCCGGAACTAGTGATGCGTCGGGACCCTGCATCGAGTGAAAACCCAGCTTGTAATGCATGCACACACACACTAGAGTGATAATACAAAATTCTCCATTTTCTTTTTATTTATTCCTTTTTATTCTAATTGGAAGCCAAGCAGAGTAAATTATGGCAGCTCCCCCACAGACCAACATTCGCAACCTCACCGGCGTTTGGCGCATGGTAAGCGTTGTGAAAATAAATAATTTGGCGCGTACCTAGGCTGACGTGAACCAATAGAGCAAAACGCTATCTGATGACATGGGCCCATCCCTCGCAATTCAAGGCATCCCCTGGATCGTTCGCAAGGCTATCTCCTGGGCCACCATTACCGGAAACTTGACTCAGTCAACTGACAACGCCGGCAACACAACAATTACTGTGGCACAAACCGCATCCGGCGGCATCAAAGGCGAGACGGAAATATACAACCTAGATGAGAGAGAGTACAAGGCAGGTTCCGCCATGTTCGGCGTCCAGCGTATCCGTGCCGGCTGGGTGGACTTGCGGCTAGAGAAACCGCTGAGCCTGAGCGGCAGGCCCTTCGACACGTATCTTTCCGAGGGATGGATAGAGGAGGATGATCCAAACGTGGCTGGGCATATCACAGCCTACATAGTCAGTGAACAAGCCGGTTGGTCAGTAGAGCAGGTCTGGGGGTTTAGCACAATAGATGAGAAGAGGTACCGGGTAATCAGGTTTATTGTAAGGAAAGGGGAGGAATCTGCTGCCTCGAGGGTTATTTGCGAATGGCTAGGGGGAGACAACAGAAACTAAGCGACGAGGTGTAGGAGTCTTCTGAAACTTGATGAATTTTAAAAATGAACAACTCTTAATTAATGGAGGGCTAGGCTAAACAGCCACTCTGAGAAGAATAAGTTTTTAGCCACAGGTCCCCCGCTGGAAAATCTTGTCATGGCTTCAATATCTGGCGGATATTTGCGACGTCTTTCCAGGCACTGGAGTTTACGGGCACATATAAATGAGGCCAATATCAACTCATCAGACATTCTTCGGCAGGTAAAGACGTCGGCCGCCCGGTCACACGGGCTTCGTTCACGGGGATTCGACACGACGGTAAACTTTTCATCATCGATTGTGAGTTTGCCTACCGGTACGTAATGCGTACCAGTTCCCATTTTGCCCTGGCCTTACATTACGATGAATTGCATGCTCATACTGGGAAGAACCGAAATAGCAGCTTGCCGATTTCGTCGCCTGCCAGGTTCTGTAGACCTGGTGGACGAAGTATCTGGACACGCCAAAACAACATCGGCTTGGGAATAGAACGAAAGTTTCTCAAGGCTGTAGACGTAGCACTTCATTTGGAAGAATAGGACTAAGTCATACCGTTTATTACACCATCGACCAAGCTAGTAGAACACAGGCACATCCCAGTCAATATCCCAACCGTACTCGCCGCACTGACTATATCAAATTACATCCAATCATAAAGGTCTTTGTTTTAGTCGAAGAAACTGAGGGCCCTTCTCGACTACTATTCTAGCTTTCCACTTGGTCCAGTCGAGAGCGTGGTCCGGATCAACCGACATATCAAATGCCCACACCAGCCTGGCAATAATGAGTCTCAATTCGGCCCAAGCCAGCCCCTTGCCGGCACATCCCGTCGGCCCTACACTAAAAGGCCTACTAGCGGCATGGTTATCACTGGCGAATTGTCCAGGGCGTTGATCTGCGGGTAACCAGCGCTCTGGATGAAACTCGTGCGGCGCTTCAAAATATCGAGCTGATGTATGAAGAATGGCCGGCCTAACCGATATTTTCGTCTGCGACAGTCAGAATTAGCCATAATTTTAAAAGAACCAAGTATGACATACCCCTCCGGGGAGATAATGACCAGAGTATGTCTCGCCGCCGGCAGGGACAACACGTGGCAGGAGGGCTGGAATTGCAGGACATAGCCGAAGCCCCTCCTCAATGACTGCATCCAAGTACGGTATATCTTTAGTTCCATCAACAGTAATGTCTTTTTCGCTCTGGAACCGCTTCCGAATAGTATCCTCCAAGACGGCCAGCTTATCAGTATTTCTCGTTAGGCAATGAAGCGTTCCGCACATTGTAATAGTAGTCGTGTCTGACCCAGCAATGATAAGAATGGCAAAGTTGGATTCAATCTCGCCCCTTGACATGTTCTCGAAATCGTGGTTATCCTTCAAGAACGACGTCATGAAGTCGGGGCGGGTGGTTTCGAGGTTCAGACGGCGGTTGACCCTTTCCGACACAAACTCGACATGCTGCTTTTGCTGGTCCATGACACTGCGTGGGATGAGAAATCTCTCAACAAAAGATCCTACCCACGGGTATATTCTAGCCACTCCCGCGAAAGTCATTCCCTTCAGGAAGGTACACAAGCTTCGCACCCAGTCATGGTATTCACCATTTTGCAAGCAACCGAATGTTTCGCCAAGCGCGAGATCGCCAATCACGTCAAAAGTGAAAAAGCTGATCCAGTCGCCCATGTTGACCACTGCCCCTTTTTGTGCCGAGTCGGGAGCCGATGTCATTTCACGTAAGCGGGTAATAAGGAGATCTGCATAGCTCTCGATGATGGAACTCTGGTTGCTTATCGCAGATTGGGTGAATGAACTACTCAGGCATCTTCTCATTCGAGCGCGCACCGCTGGGTCAGGCGTGGTGAAGACATTTTGGGGTGCTCCAGATGGTGCTTTTGATGTAATGTCAGCATATCATCGATCAATGTCTTGCGCTACCTACCAATGTACCAAGTTGCGTCTTTTAGCGCTTCCTTGTGGCCTGGTCTATGCCCGTATATCTCTCTCCAGGCTTCTTCAGATGCAATGGAAATCTCATTAGGGCCAACGCGAACGACGTCGCCGTATTTTTGATGGATTTCTGCAAAGGATTGGACCAGGTTGCAAGTAACTATGCCTCTAATGTACGGCAGATACGTAGCTGCCCATGATTTTGGACCTGGAAACTTGGACAAGGGGTGAAAATAAATGTTATGGACAATCGAACCGATGGGATACTTCATTCGCCCGTTAGCAATTACCACATTTCCACAGAAAGGAGATGAGCGCACAGCAAGAATGAGACCAGCAATCACTACAAGCTGTAGCGTGAGGCTGTTGGCGATGGCGCTACTAATCGACTGAATGGGGGACATGATGACATGTTGTGTTTGTGTCGCGCAACGGAAAAGTGCGTAGAATGGCAGATTCGAGCCGCCCTTGAAATTCAGGGGGTTAGTTATCGTGCGGCAACTTGAGATTGGCCTTCATCTCGAAATAATGTGGCTGGCCAAAAACGTCAGCGGACGTCAGCTACATGGGTCTCTTGGACGACCATTGGACAAGGCATTCGGATGCATGACCTAGAACGGTCCATCTTCTCCATGCGGATCGCGTTGGAGGGGGGAGAGGGGTCAATAGCAGGACCTGACGAGATAGGATAGATTTGAGTTGAGAATGGAAGTGACATAATATGTGATGAGCAATTTCCACCACGTGACTGTCGCAAGGTCAGAAAGAAGGAGCAGAAGAGAGACAACTTTGACTCGATCTCGTTGACGTTCAAGAAGCCGAGTTCAGACTCCTGTACGATGCTTGACCTCCTGGCTTTGTGGCTGAGGAAGTAGGGCTATCTTGTTACACAAAAGAAGCTGCGGAGCAGTGACGGTACCTTATTCGACCCCTTTGAAGTCGTGCAATGCCGTCGCGGTGGCCAAATATGTTCACAAACTATACAACCATCAGACTTAAGACAAACATGGGACACGAATAACAATGGCCCTAGTCAGCAGTGAGCTTATCGCGGAACTGGGTGTTAGAACATTCGGGACAGAACCAAAGTATGCAGGGTTTTCTTCATCTACAAGGGGCGACTCATAATTGAACAGGCGGCACATGTCTCACCTATGGCATCGACACATTACGCCCACAGCAGCTGGCTTTGACGAGGACGGAGACTGGGCACGAGTTGACAAGACGGCACCTAGGAAGTAAGTGTCCCTATTGTCAGGATTGCCACCTCCGGATTGTGATCCGTCCCAGTTCTCACATCCTCCTCGACATGTTGCTGCATACTCCGTGGCTGGCTTCTTACCCACAATGCTCATTGCAAACTGGCAAGGGACAGCTCCAGAATCAGCTGGATTCAGTAGTAGTATGAACGATCTCTGCGGCCTGGGGAAACTAGAGAAGTATGGAGTCAATCCTTTGGCAGGAACATGGCATGTTAAACAAGGGGGAAAAGGATGCACGACAGTCCACCAGACTCCGCACGAACAAATCAATGGCTCACTATTCCGCGCGGTCTACCGTTTCTTTGACTGGTAGGACACCTCCAAGTCACGGTACTTCCACCTGTGTGACGCATAGAAGCCAAAAAAGCAATGTGTGCAGGCTGCAGGATTTAGTCCCACCTGCTCCTCACCGCCAATTGCCTTGGATATGCATGTCTTGGAACATGTGTAAAGCTGTCGAGTCTGAGCGTACGTAGAAGTGCAGCCTTACCTGTAGTTGGAGAATATCCGAATCTGGCCGACTTGACGGTCTGATAAGGGACCTTTTTGGTCACGTAGCTGTTCAAAAGGCCATAGCAAGTATGATGTAATTGGGCTCCGAATTCGAATTATGTCTCCTTGACAAGTGATACACGCTTCATACAAACTGCTAGTGTACACGACCAAGACGGACGACTTTCGGCCTAGAGCCCTGATGGACTGCATAGACAGTACTTTTTCCATGGCTGGGGGCTTGTAACTGACCAATAGACAGACGAAAACCGAGACATTTTACAGAAGTGTGTTGGTCAATACAAATACCAAAACAGCCGTATCCCAATTCGATTTCGGACGCAAATGCAAGGAGTACTCCACGTATTGTCGACCCTGTGCGATATGCTGCGCTGCCACCATCTGTCATTGCCGTCCAACCAATTCAACAACCACATGCTGGGACCGTCTCTTTTGAGCCACCTGCAGCTCGAAATCGGACCAATGAAGTTCAGATAACTGAGACAAACATCGGTATCCAAGTAAATGAGAACCATAATCAGGCGGAGTGGGAAAGGGAGACACGTATAAAGAGGTTCTCTCCTTTCTCACTCCTGATAGTTTTGCCAAAAGTCATTTCGGCCACAATTGTGTTTACCACAAGTCCAGTTAATTAGAAGCCAATCTACAATGCCTATTCCAACAGAAATTGTCGGCATGTCCACCACGGAAATGCTGTCATGTCGAGCCATGCACTAACTATTCTTCAGGATCTCTCCCACGGCCATCTTGTATGTGGCGACATGGACGTACTAGAATTTTCAAAAGGCCTAACATTCCACTGTAGACCTTCAACAAGCCTTTGCCGACTTTGATGCCGGAAGTATATCTCGCGATGAGCTCCAAGCTGCGCAAGATAGGGCCTCTAAAGATAGCATCGAGAGGTTGGAAGCGACTGGTGAGGTATTGGTCACTGACGGGGAACAGCGAATTAGCAGCTTTGCAACATATCCCGTCGTCGAGTTAGGTTGCCCACCTGTCTGAAATAGACGGATGAGACTAATTGCGAAGCTTAGAACTTTGACGGGAGCAGGACTCGGAAGCAATTTTGCAGGGGACGGCCAAATGTTTGCGGTTTTCGATGACGGACATTCTCGCCAACTGCCTCGTCTCGTATCTGGGCCCTTCAAATATGCCACCTACGCCTTTGAAAATTTGAAAAAGTCCGCACCATACGCTACACGAGGATTGAAGCAGGCTGTCATTTCACCATCTATGCTGTACCTGCTTTATCCTCTGGAGGGCGAAATAGCGGGATATCCGAGGAGCGCCTTCATGCAGGACCTGGTCGACGAATGCGAGAAGGATATCCGTGGCTGTTTTGAAGCTGGTGCCCAACGGGTCAGTATTGATTTCACCGAGGGCAGATTGGCCCTAAAGAATGATCCATCGAATCCTTGGACCGGCGCTGCGCTGCTCGACCGCTTCATTGACCTTATTAACCGGGTCTTGGCGCGTTTTTCGCCCGAGGAGAGAGCCAATATTGGCCTTCATACATGCCCGGGCGGTGATTGTGACAGCGTACACTCTGCCGACGTTCCGTACAATCAACTGCTACCCAGTCTCTTCAAAATCAATGCTGGCTACTTCCTTATTCAGCTTTCGAGCGAGACAGACAGGGAATCCATGTATAGGATAATTGGGGAGTCGATTCGCCAGGACGCCGAAGGTGTGAAGCAGGTTGCTTTCATCGGGGTCATCAGCCCTATAAACCCGAGGATTGAGACACCAGAGGAGATTGCGGACCAGCTGGTCATGGCGTCCCAGTATATTCCTATTGATCAGATGGGCGCTACAGATGACTGTGGTTTCTCGCCTTTCTCCATCGATGTGAAGCCGAAGCATGGAAGCCCAGACTTGGCGAGAGACGTTGCGTTCCAAAAAATAAGCAACAGAGTCCAGGGGGCTAAGATGGCCAGTGAACGATTGGGTGTTTAGCTGTGTCCTTTTTGGAAGGAAGATGATGTTGAGACGTCTTGCAATGCAGCGACAGCGAGTCAATGACGTTATAAAAGTATCTCAGAGGCGAGGGACAAACGAAATTGTCATCCGGCGAGAGTATGAATTGCATGAAATAAAAAAATATCAAATATTCTTATTTCCTGGTTTGTTATTCAGACGCGCTAAACCAGGCAGAAGATGAGTGCCAGCAGCACTGCTGTGACAAGGGCTTAAGCTTGGAGCAATGACTCGATTCATCTAATAATAGTCCTTGGTATCAAAGGTCCTTGGTTTTCCTTAAGGCCTCGCTGACCAAAGGGGTCTTTAAATACAAGAAGTCGGTGAGGGACTTTGCCCTAGTCTCGTGACCGTAGCCCTCGTGTAACCGGCTATTTCCGTGTGACAACTGCTCCTTGTATCTCCTCGTTCGATTTGAGATGCCTAGATATTAGAAATTCTTGCAACTTGAGTGAAAGCCTTGAGATTGGATAGGATATTTATTCAATGAATTTGGTCGCCCTCGCCGAGAAATACCTCATCTAGCAGTTCTATCGACGGCGGCTAAAACACATGGAAACGGGAGGATGTCGAAATAACTCAGCGTCCAACAGAGCATATTTGAACATCTTGAACAAGCCGTGAAAATCGTTCTCAATAATGCCAGTTGTGTCTTGGTCAATCCACCCTCTTGTATAATTTATTGTTACCCTTGTCAATTAGAATATTCTCGGCCTTTGCATGGCCCCGAATGATGCCTTCCCGATGACACATCTGCAACGATCGCTCAACCTGGTCGACCCAGCGGTTCTTGAGCTCAACCTAGGCTCTCTTAGCTCTTCCCTGACACAGGACTTCATTCTCGTCAGTGCAAGTGAACAACATTCCTTCCAATTCATCGTCGTGGCGGAAAGCGCCGTATAGACGATAAACCAGTGCATCCGGTGGAGGACGAAGGGTTGCCAGAGCGACGTCGACCCTTTTCAGCTGCATGAGCTCCTCCTTCCAGTGGTCATGGCCAAATGAGATGTTGAGTGTCTTGGAAATGTAGTCGGTGCGACTGTCCTTGCCACCGACTGCCACTCTTGGGAGGTCCGATGAGGACATGTTCGGGCTGGGCGTAGCATATTTCGACATTCGCTGGGTGATATTACTGTGTCCGACGGTCCAAGTCGGCTAGGACTGCATCATCCACACAGATGCTCCGACTTCCCCAGCCATGATCGTTTGCATCGCGAACATATGGCTCCGGATTCTCTTTGGCAGCAGCTAGGCCGCAAACGAAGTAGACGGGGGAGAGATATTGTAATAATGCCAGCGATGCTTTCATAAGGTCTGGGAACTCTGGGTTCGGGGAGGCGAATCGAACAATTCAAGGCTCGAATGCCTCGGAAAGCTGGTCATATGGGTCTTCCTCATAGACATCGTCCATCTCCACTTCTTGCGACCTCAAGACATTCAGGTACGTCTCTGTAACCGGTGGGGAGTGGCGGCAATTAGGCTGGGGGATTTGGCAATAAAAGGCTATACCAGTGCTTGTCTGAAAGACTCAATCGCAGTCGTCTTCCCTCCGGTGTATCTGCCAAGCAGCAAAATCATACTGCAATCTTTTTTAAACTTCAGAAGGAAAGAAACAGACATCATCAGCCGTAATCGGAGGTAGTAGCTAACATAGCAAACGTCTCTCCCGTAAACGCCTTTGACGGAGAAAGTCAAGGCTGCTGATGGAGCAGCGCAGTGAGGAACCCGTGCGCCTTTTCCGGCGCTGACATGGACATGCTTGCCTGAGCGACGCGTGATTGCGGGGTTGAGTGACAGTTTCTCACGGGGTTCCATGATTACTGATATGTTATCAAAAGATATAGAGTATATTAAGGTTAGGATTTTGCGATATCCTACTTGTAATATTACGAAAGCTTGTAAGGGCCATGGTTAAAGCACTGGTGTACTGCAACTCCAACAAAAGGGCTAGAGACACACTCCCTGTCCCCATTAGTGTGATAACGCTTCAATGAAGAAAGGCTTGAAACTGTGCTCGTATGCAACTGATAATCTCCTTTGATATGAAAGGTCCTTGGCTTCGTCCAAGGGCCTCGGGATAAAACCCCCTGCTTTATTAGAAAGAAACGGTGAGCCTTGGGGCCTGAAAGCCTGAGGCTTCCACTAGGTCTCGAGCCCTTGTGTAACTATCGTCAGATTCCGTGCCGCGTTGCTACGTGGATTCCGTGTAAGAATTAGAGTAGAGAGATAAGCCACCGGTTTTCACGCGGATGTGGGCCTTTATACATGAGAAAGGGTGCCAACATGCATTATTAATGTCACGCTTCAAAGTTCTTGGCCAGCTGAGCCAGTGACAATGGCCCTGGCTATGCGGACGAATCCTTTTACGTCGTGAAGCATAGTCCCTTCGGACCTGGCTCCGGTTCGAGACCTTGCCCAGAATTGGCCAAATTTCGTTATCCAAGACGTATGTAGTTCGGTTTGAGCGGATTTGTGTCTCATCACATTGCCCTTAGGGCACATACATAATTTGACGCATCGCCTTATAGTTATATTTAATACGATGCAATGGAATGGTCTTTCGTATTCAGTATTTCTTCATAGAACAGAGGCAGTTGAGCCGAGTCGTCCTCACCCTGTCATCCGATCAGGTGATCTTAAGGAATCTACAGCGATCCATGTGACATTTGGCGCTTTGGTCGTATCGCAAGGTCGCATTCTAATTCCGCTGGGGCAGCATTCCGAGATTCCATCTGCGGAATGCCGCCGTCTTACTCCGTACATGTTGACCGGCTTGCCATGTTCAACGTTTCTCGAGAATTCAACAAGGGCTCTTGAAGAGCGGCAAAATGTCGCTTCATGTAGATTTCCTGTATGCTCAATGACCGTGACGCTTGTCTGGTGTAGGGGACGATGTATGCCTTGCTATTCAAGATGTGATCTTAAGTCGAAGACGCAGATAGCTGCCTGGCTCATCATAGTGAATAATTGGGTGATGCTTGCCAGATTACGGCAACGATTTAAGCACGTATTGAATCTTCACCAGGTCTTCTGATTCGCATCTAGTGGCTGTTCCTCAGCCAAGAAGCAGACCGAGAGGACTGTGAGAGGAATCGTCCTAACCATGTAGCCACAAACAGACCAAGCGGCCAACTGCCGGTTGACGCGTTGGGGTACGTCGGTTACGGTTTGTGTCTCTCTCTCAGCCTCATGCATGACATCGAAGTGCTGTTGCATGACCCCCCTAATTTTCATTACATGACTGAAAGCTTCATGTCTTGCCGGGTAACTGGTACCGTCAGGAGTGGGTGTCTGAGTGGACTGCACCCTGCATGAGTATTCTGAAATTTAGTCATGTCTGGTACTTGTCCCGACTTTCAAATGAACGCCAAGCATGTGGTTGCCTTATTAGAGTTGCCTATACAAAGTGATTAGCCAGATATTTCTCAGGCTGTCCAACTGTTTTGTATCTCTGCGTCTCCCCTGTACTGCGGGTTGGATCGACGGAATAGGAAACCGGCCGCAGCCAGCCAAACTACACATCTCCAGGGTCACGGTTCAGCTACCCTCTCTTTCGCCGTTTCCTACGTCCCGCGCCTTGAGCTCATTTTAGGGTATATAAACGTAGAATTCTGTTCAAGAATACGATGGATCCTCGCCTGTATTTCCACAGTTCGCTACTTCAAGACCCCCACTCACGCTGTCAAGATTTCCAGACAGAAGAGCGCGCTCCGCCCATAAATGCCTCAGTATCAGACTCCCTTCTATGGTAGAGATAGCGGACACCCCTTTTCTCTCTACCCCTATGCGCATTCGTCCATTGTAAAGGTACTGGAGATATGGAGCGGTTGGGGATCCGGGGATGCCAACGGCCATTGGGTTATCAAAGGTATCCAACTCACGTGGTTTACTGGGGAAAAAAAGGGACTCTACAACCATCCGGTCGATACAGACGTATATTCGAGATATGAATTTGGAGGCAATGAGAGAGCAAGTTTTAGCATACGAGCAGGGTGGCGCATTCACAAGTTCGGCTTCCAGACAAGTACAGGAATTCTCTGGGATGCAGGAGGTGACTCCGGTAATCTGTTCTTAGACATTGCAAACGGCTCCATTGTAGGATTTGAGGGAAGCTCGGGCTGGGAACTTGACTATCTCAGAATGAGATTTATTTAGAGGCCGGCTTAACAAGTCTAGTACGGTGAGTGCCATAGTGTGGTGGTAAATGATGATGTCACTAATTGACAAGCTCAGAGCGAGAAAGCTGCATGGGTTGCCCTTGGAGGCGGTCATCCGGAACATCTTGCCTTGGTATAGGTTTTTATCCCGCAAATTGAACTTTATGGTTTTCCCTATACTATAATGCGAATGCAAAGGCGCTTTAGTATGTGTATCAAACATTCAAATTAATTCACATTTCTCTTTGAGGTCTCAGGTGAAGCGCGTAGACGGTAACGACTTGTTTAAGTCGCTCCTGACCCTTTTGCCGTGTCGGCTCTGGGGACGGGATTGTGCTGATTCTCACAATGGCCCTATTGGTCTAGACCTTGTCACTTGTCAGGTTTCGAGTTCTTTTCGTTTTTCGACCCGTCCAGATGATCGTGTAAGCCCTACATCAGGTAAGACCCAGTGAGAGTCGCAATGTGCCTGGCCGTACCCCATCCAGAGAACCGTAACAGACCATGTTACATAACAACAAACAAGGCATCACAGTAGACAGTTTCTTCTCCAGCTAAATTAAGCTAATAATTATGCTTACAGCTCCTAGTAAACTTACTCACAAGGAGGTGCTTTCTATGCGTTGCGTGTCGCACTCTTGCTGCCGTCGGACAACTCGTGTGGAGGACAAGATGCGATAATTTCATACGCCAAGAGATTTGAGCAAACATTTCCGCCAAAGACACCCCATTCTTTGGATTCTTGTCCAGATTGCCTGTGTCTTGGCCTCCATTTCGGTCTCCTTGCATATGGTAGATAGAAGGGGGGGTCCAAGGTAACATTAGTTTTCCCTGGACCTCACAGCGTGCTGATCCAGGCAGCCAGTTCCCGCATAAGCAGAACAATAAATATATGAATCATGGCCTTGAAGGTCAACACGCAACGCTTAGACTTTCGTGTTCTTCACCTTTCAACGTACGCCTTTAGCGCATTCATCATCCACGGAGCCTTCATCATGTCTTATGCAATCCTTTACCACTCCAGCCCCTATTATGCCCACCTCTCACAGACCACGAAGGGGCTCAGACCCGGCGACTGGGGCCGATTTTTGGTAATCGCTGCTACTCGCGAAGACATGAAGAGGTTCTTCCGAGGGTTGCAAAAGTACACCAAGATCGGCAACACGGCAATAACCGAGGTGACACCTGTTAACCTCGCCTAGTAGAATTTTAAATCGGCAGGTCAGCTTGACTTGTTGGAGCTTATTCAGAAAATCTACCAAATGGACACATCTTACTACGGTAACATGGAAGAACTCAACGAGAGTTACGGCAAGATCCAAGTTACAGGCTTGACTGATAGGGTAAAGGACAAAGATTGGCCGATACTTCCTCTCCAGGATGTCTCTCTTCGTGACTTTTAGATGCACAACAAGCAGTCAATTTATTGTGCTTCTTTACATGTGCTCATTTTTCTAAGTAGCAAACATAGGCGATATCTGGACAGTGACCTTGATAGGGGAAGGGGTTGGAAAATATGATACGTCGCTTCTTTGCTAAAATACATCTCGTTATTCGGGCTCGTCCATTCTCGTGCCGCGGGATGCAGCATGTGTCTGATGCCCTCCATGTGGCCACTCGTAGGGGGCAGCGCACGAGAACCACGACTCATATCAGAGCTGGCATCCCTCCTAGACTCACGTAGCTTCTGCATGGCATTTCTTTTTTTTGTCTTCTTCTGTTAACTCTTGCATTCGTCACCTGCATATACGAGCGTTGTGTTACCTCTAATTCCGCGAAGTGACTCATTATGTCAGCGCCGTCGTGATATCTGATACGAGTCGTACAAATTCCGGTCGAATGCTGAAGGAAAATATGCGAGCCCCAGTGTCGAGGCAACGAGACTTGTCTCACCCACGTGGCTACAATCGCTACACATCGTAGACTGTCGGTTCCATGAGTAATATTTGATGCACAATTTGACCTGTGTTGGTACTTATTGGACGGGCCAAGAAGAACATTTGTGTGATCCAATCATCCGTCAAACCATGCTGAGCTGATCTAACAACTTTGAGATCGAGCACGATGGACAATTCATTTTATACTAATGCAATATGTATGGATTTGTTTGCCATTGTCCAACGCTGGACGGAGTACACGCGCTGGCTCCATGCTGAAGAACAGCATCTAATGCAAGCTCATGACCTGGTATACACCAATCAATACCATTACATATATATGCTTTTCAATCGTCAGTCATCCCATCCGTTGACGCATATTCCGATTACTTTGTCTTCTGACCATATGCCCCAATGTCAAACTCATGGCTCGGACCTGGACTATTGTTCTTGTCAAACAATCCGTAGTAACCCAATTCCGCAAACGCCCCAACAACCAAGAAGCCAAATACCACGGCCGGAACAAAAGCCAGGACACTCCAAGCATCCGCATCGCCAACATGTGTCTTTCCCAGCGCAAGGCCCCGATTAGGCGAGAGGTTGCCAAAAAAGTAAAATCCCACATTTGACCACCCGTCCATGACAACAACCCAGCCAATTCGCTTGGCGGCCTTTTCAGGAACAGGCAAGTGCACCATCCCGAGTGCCGTCACGATAACCATGAACCCATTTGCCACGGAACCTGTATGACACCGCACCCAACCGGCTTCTGTGCCGGGAACGTTGAACGTGATCAGATGCCCGGGGGATATTTCGATACCGCCCATGATGTGCATGTATAGGCCGAAACCACCTAGTAGGGCCGTCAGTATCATGAGGGCGCCGTGGCCGATCATGCGCCGTCGGAGGGAGTCCTGTGCCATGAGTCCGTTTGTTGGGTCAGGGTTAGGGTTGATCATCGTGCTCTGCGTGTAGGTGTTATGCCGGTGATGGGAGATGGAGATCAACACCCAATAGTGGGATGGATAATACTAATAGATGTTGAATTAAAGTCGAGTGACTTGCTGCCTCGGCGTGGATATAAGCTGTGAGTTGAGTTGCCTTGGGGAAAAGCATTCGTCCGTGGCTCCGTCTCCGTGGCGCTCTCTGTCAAATCCGAGGCCGCGGCCCTGGACTATCCCGAATATGCGGAGTAGTGTGGTGGTATCCATACTCGAACTAGACTAGAAATCAGACACGTCTGGCTATTTGAGTCTTGATTTGATTAGAGCACGGCATAATAACAGTCCATGTTGTGGGAGCTTACGGCAAAGCTGTTGCATTGCTAGGTTACTGGCGAGCAATAAACGGTCTGGTGTTAGTAATTTCGTACTAAAGCTATTATAACTGGCTTGATAATTTATTTTGGCCAAGCTGTAGCTCAGGTAATATCGCACCGGGAACTCTATCAACTAAATTCCACAGTCCGGTCGCCTGGCATCTTTCTTGCTTATGAACTAGGCATAACGGAGATGATAGACGGCCACGAAATGCACAAACTCGTTTATAGTCAAGGTGTAAAGGCGCGGCAAAGAGCAGGGACATGTATCAAGGAAGGCACGTCCAGTGGAAAAAGAACCTATCACCTGAATGTAAATGCCATAAGAGAGCGCAATCGAATTCCCGTTCCTTCGGGCACACCTCCGTCCGCTGTCAACAGAGACTGTATCCGGCACCTCGTTCGGTGATTCTAAGGCGCCACGGCGATACAAAAAATTGTGCAGTACCTGTAGGATCATCAAACATTAGTACGGTTCTCCTTGGTTGTATTTTTCCTTATACTTGACGACATATCTATTTACTTGACGTTTATTTTTGGCCCTTATTAAGAGACTAATAAGACTTAAAAAGCTTTCTAGGAAATTATTAATATTTTGTTACTCGATTATATCTCTTAGTAATTGTATTATTAATAAGATATAATAAGTTATTATTCTCAATTTTGCTGATGCAGCTATATTCTATTAGACTTTAGGAATATACATCTCGGTACGTGGGAGAGGGTAGATATAACATAATATCCCTAGTCGATTGCCGACCGCTCCGGGTGTTGATAACACGGATTCGTCATATAAAGTTAGTAGTGGGGCTATATAGGGGCCTGCTGCAGGCCCCTATTTACGTGTAAGTCCAGCAAATTGCCGGATCCGGCGTATTACTGTAAAATAACTTCCAAGTGCTAGTACTTGGCCAAGTTGTAACGGCTTGCTATTTGGCGAATAAAACGTTTTCGTAAAGAGGGGAAAATAATAACGTAAGTGGCTTAAAGCTTAAATTACTGTATTACAAATTTACACGTAAATAACTGGCAGTAAATAATATAAATTATAGTTTAGAAGTACTTTAACTTTTTATTACTAAAAGTAAATTTTTAGAAGCTTTTAAGTAATAGTATAATTTAACTTTTTATTCCCCTCACAGCTCAAGTTAAATTATCGCGTAGCTGGAACAGCTTACAAAAGAGCAGATATAGTAAATAGAAAAAGTTGATCTAATATTTACGAGATACACGGATTCTACATTACTTAGCCTTGTCTGCTGACAACACTCGCGACACTGCGAGTCGGAATTGACGCTTGCCGTGTCAAGCCTATCCACAATTCGGCCCGTAACACTATTCGCTTGTAAACTGCGTCGGCGCTAGCTTTGGGAGTCTTTGCTTATACTAGTGCGTGCTAGTATGGTAACTATTATCCCGTGTATTCGTAAATGTAACGACTTTGTGGCAACTAACTTGCGACCAAATAAATTTACTTTACACACTTCACGGCGATTCGGCACAGTTTGTAGACAGGGTTTAATTGGGCCAAGATAGCTCGAGTATAATACTTGTGTAGTAATTTTTAAAATTTATTAGTAAAAGTGAATCTTATAAAAATAAAACTAATAAAGTTAATATAATATATTAATTCCAGTTGTTATGTAATACTTAAAAAAACTAATAATACTAGAATAAAAAATATATATATAAATAGGAGCTATATTCGAGATGTAAAATTATTTACACAGCACTCTCTATAAACTAGTCGACTCTCCTAACAAGATATATTATTATTCACGTTTTATTCAACGCAACGTCAATATGAAATACTCTGCGCTCTCCGCTATATCGTTCCTCGCGGTATCCTCTCTGGGTTTACCAGAATTCTACTGGGGCGTGTCAAAGGCCAGCCCTGGTCAAATTATTGTCACGAACAACATGAACAGGCCTGTCCGTCTGGATAAAGTCGCACAAGGGCCATCCGTCGATGGGGTCAAGATAATTCGCGACCAAGAAATTATTCTTAATCAGGGACAAACAGTCGAAGTTTCAGCCACAGAGATATCCGCGGACCTGAAATTCAACGAGCAGCAAGCACACAATCAGGTAGAACTGAGCTATACCAGTGGCGATCAAGACACGTATAACTTCGCTATTAAGCCGATTGAAGGCAGTGGGTTCCCCGGAGCTATTGAGGTAATCCCTCTTTCGCCACGTCCTTCTCCTCAGTGCCATCCTTTGGTGTGGTATCCTGGACAAGGAAATACGGCGCAAGCCACATGCCAGGACCACACTCCGCTCCGCGTCTTCCTCCGTGAAGCCCATCATCCACCAGAATTTAATAAGTTTGATAAATTTGATGGGTGGTACTAAAGAGTACAAACAAATGGCAGTAAACGGTAGCTTAACCTGCCGGCACTTCAAGAATTGCCAGGAATAGTTCTAAAATAGTAATCCTGTGTTAGAGGATAATATTCCATGTATAACTCTTGTTACTTTATAGAGTTTTACTCAAGGTTCTGTATTCTTGGTGGTAGTTGGTTGTCAATATTGGTCCGTGTCCAAAAAGTATAGAAGGAATTTCGTATCGGCTACTGTCTTCAGCTACTTTTCTTCGCTGCTTAAACCTACCAGACCAGACTCTCATTAGAAATATACCAGATTGTCAGAATTTGTTCGTCCTGTTAAGCACGTGTATGTATGTTAACCCGGTTAACTAGTTGAGGGGCATCTTAAAGCCGCTTGAACAGCTGGCCCGCCAGGCGCCTCGCCGCCCAATATTAATAATAATATCGACGGCAGTGATAACAATACCTCCACAAATGCCCAGCAGACGCGTCAAAGTTCTTGCGTGTCCGTGCAACCACGTACTAGGCCGTTCAACGACATGGAAGTTCAATGCAAAATGGCAAGCACCTGAACGAAGGCAACGAGGTACGAGGCTCCTTGGGCTGCAGTTGTCAGCAGTGCCAGCCCGTGGCATCTGAGATCCAGTTTTTAGAGGCGACGGGGTTCCGTTTCGGTGCCGCCACCGTTTATCACTCGGAGCACAAGACGGGAACGCCTAATTCCTGTGACGGTAGCAACAAGCGCTGGCGTCGTAAAGACCGTGAAGCCGCAAGTAAAGGAAGTGACAGCGATAATAAATTCATCCTAACACGCAAGCTTTAAAAAGCAAGCTCGCACCGTCACAGACTGAACCCAACCCACGATCGCAAGCCCAAAAGATCCGCCATTAACTCCAAGCAAGAAACCACGGAAAGGTTTTATTAGCCAGCAGAGTTCAACATCTAGATTCCACCATTGCAAGCTACGAGGAATGGCTTCTTTCAGATGCCGTGCTCAAATACATACGCGATGATGGTACCATGACGTTTCAGATGCATTTAACGCACACGCTCTCACCCTGTGCTATGCGCACTGGGCATCCACCAAGGACTCAAACCAGTTGACATCAATTGATATAACATGGAGTCACCTAAATGCACGGACCAGCCGCAGTTCCACGCGGGAAAGCCCAAGGATCGTAAGGTGCCTAATAAGAACTCTTTGTGACGTATTGACGCAAATTCTGTAAGAGCCCCAGCTGCTTGTGATATATTGCATAAAAGCCTAAGACTGATAGAGATCAAATCATCGTTTCACCGCATGAAAGACAAGGGAGAATGGTATTCATGTAGGCCGGATCCGCCGATGGGATAGTATATGCTAAGCTAAACAGTTGGAATAGAAACAGGGCGTTCCAACACACAAACTCCTCAGTTTGTGTCATTCCGAGGCTGCATTGAGAACAACAATTTACTGACTCGCCAAGTATTGAGACCCATGTGCTAACATGCTGGATCAGGCCGTCGAATAATTCCCGCCGCTCAAGCCCAGAGCATAAAATTGGCCATTAATGGGCCCTCTATATCTCTCACGGAAAGCTAGGCACCTTTGTATTAGATGATACAAATCTCTGTTATATTAATTAACAGCCTTAATTCTGGCTATAGAAAAGAGAAAGTAACGCGCCTTTTTATAAAGAGCGAATTGGCCTACGCATTCCAAGGCGCTGTGGCTTAGGTGTCCTGTATTATATGACCTATCTACCTAAAACAGCCTGAAACCACCTGTAATAGCCTAATTACCTAGGTAGTTATGCACGCTGTGCAACACTATGATGTATCCACTCCACGCCTCCAACTCTATACTGGCAGTGGTCCATTCACAATTGCACGAGTCAAACGTGAAACCTTATAACTACGTATATTTCTATATATATGACATATTATCTCTGGCCTACGTTAGTGTACCCAGTATAAGTGCCAAGCCATAAGCTTAAAGCATTTGTTCAACTTTACGACGCATAATGCATTTCTATTATGCTTCGTATTGGTAATTTAAAGCTAGGTTATCCAGCTATTCTCGTGCGATTTAGACAAGCATATTATACACGTAACAGCAGATATCCACTCTTTTTACGTATAACTAGCATAAAAAGGTTATTATAGAGGATCGGGAACTTCGGGATAAGCCGAGCGGGATACGACAAAAGGATTCATAGATTTATTAGTGACTACTAGCACTATAAATATGAAAGAATCTGCTACTTTGACCAGACCAATCGATAGCTATATAGCTAGCGTTTCGCTCATCCCTGTCATTCCTCAGGTACCACAGGCGTACACCCTATCAATATGCAGCCTCTTATATCTATGGTGCTGGCTAGCTTTGTGCGACTCGGGGCAGCTTTCACAACGCCAGGCCATGTCAGAGATTCACCTTGCGGTGTTGAGCAACCCTCGGCGGCTTTGTTAGCGGCTCATCGTGAGATAGCGGCTACGGAGAAGAATCATTTGCTCCGACGAAACGAAACAACCGATACGCCTCCAGCGATTGCTGTTGATGTCTACGCACACATCATCTCAACTTCAGAAACAGCCAAGGATCACCACGATGTGAGTTTTGCACGACTGCGCGTCTTAGCTAGAAACGTGGTAGATCTAGCGACTAACATGTTACGATTTGCCGACATAGAACAATACTATACATGAGCAAATAGCCCTTCTTAATACCTATTTTAACCCGGGTAATATCTCATTCGTCCTTAAAAATGCAAATTGGACTGTGAATCCATATTTTTCCGAGGGCAATAACACGATGCGTATGAAGATACTACACCACAAGGGCGATAACCGACATTTGAATATTTACTACGGGAAAAATCCATTGGGAGCTACAAATAGCAGAGCCGTCTCTACCACCCCAGATGACCTGGTGGGACAGCCGCTGGGGCTTGAAATGGATGGCATCATGATTCCGGCCTACTGGCTTTATGGTGACCGAAAACAAACCGTCGTTCACGAGGTCGGTCATTGGTTCGGACTGCTTCACACATTCAACGACGACTGCAACGGCAACGGCGACGAGATTGACGACACTCCCGCACATGCAGACGCATCGGAGGGGTGCTCTGCGATGCCACCACTCGACACTTGTCCTGGAAAGCCTGGCAACGATCCCGTTCATAACCCAATGAACTATATACCCGAGTGAGTTTGCCCACACCCTGCAAGACCCGAAGATGAAAGGACAAGTCTTGAAAGACTAATACTTGGGGCGCATATAGTTCTTGCATGAAAACGTTCACGGACCAGCAATTTAAGCGTATGCGGTCGTTCTGGACAAAGTATCGCTCTCAGCCAATACAGAGACCCAGCTACCCGACTGAGCTGCAACCTATCCAGCCTGTCTCCAAGGGAGGGAAGTTACTACCCTGAACCAGCTAATCCAATCTTATCATTTTTACAATGTTCTCCAGACGAAAACGGCACTATTAAAGAGGCGCGTGAGGAATATTGTGGAACTGATCTCTTTTGTGAGTCTAGCCTTCGCGCAGAAATAATAGCCAATGTCAAAAAGGGTTTGGCAGAATTCAGAAAATGCAAAAAGGAAAGGTCCCCTTAGAAAAATCCAAAAACTGGCATCATGTGCATATTGCAAGACAAATAACGTGAACCCTTCTAGCAAGAGGCAAAGAAAATAATCCTAGTTAGTTAAAAGACTTTTATTGAGCGAAGCTTTTCCTCACTCCGATTCCCCTGACCGCGATCACGTGTACCAATTCTATAACTATTCCATACGGGCTCGATAGATGGACCGTGACTACGACTGGTCCTCTTACGTCGGTTGTTACGATATATCTCCTGACATCTGGGACTAGGTTAAGGCTAAAAGCCCGATTGCACAAGTAGTTGCGATGGATTTATCAGCCCTCCCTCTGAATTGAGAACAGAGGATCTGTACGGTGCTGTGGTGAGGCAATATTCTCAGGAGCTTGCCTTGGATGCCATAGTTCCTTGTTAGCTCCTTCTTAATGTGGACGGGGTTGCGGGATCCGGGAAGGCCTTTACCCTCTTTGAAACGTGTGCGCGGATTCAAGAGCTCTGGCTCGAGGTTGGACGGCAGAACCCAGTCTTCCGAGCTGCTCCCACAGGCATTGCCGCGTTCAACATCTGTCACGTTATGAGACTCATGTTAACTAAGCTTCTCGATAAAATCATTATTCTTGTTATTATAAGTGCTGTAAACTCTATTTATAGCTCTTTTTTTAATACCAAAAAACTTCCTTTCGTCCAAATTTAACTTTATCCGACAATATTATCGGCAAGACCCTCCACAGTCTCGTGCGGCTCCCTGTTATGGGGATGAAGTGATCTGTATTAGTCACGTACTATCTAGTATAAGCGCAGAACCCTTTCTTTGATAGAAAATGCCTATTTCTAAGCGCTACTAACAGCAGAACAGAAAGAGATATGTTAAAGTATTCTCGCTTATATTTATGAGTTTTTCTTCTTTTATTAACCTATTGCTATATTACATTTTCTCAGAACTTCATAAAGTATCGCGTGACTACGACTTTGGGAAACTTTGAGCATAAAAGACTTTGATTTTCGAGTGTTTCGAGGCACTACAATTATTGAATTTTTCTTAATACTATTAAATAAAGTTTGAACAGGCATATAAGGCTAAATGGAGATGCAAAAGGCCTAATATATAGTCATGAAGATCTACCTTGTACGATAATTACACTATTCGGCAGGTATAACGTCGAGACTATTATCATCACCTGGGCGCCCAAAGCCGAGCACAGCACAGATAGGCAGCTCAATTCTCAATCCCAAGGATTAACGACCAACTTGGACCCGCTGACTTTACCATCAAACATCAAATCCAGCGCCCGCTGAACAGAACCCAACCCTCCCTCAAGCTTAACTGCAGGATTCGGCCATACTTCACCACTCTCCAAAGCTGCTGGCAGGTAGCTTCTCAAATACCAATCACGGAGATGTTGATTCGCCGCCTCCGACACTAGGATGTCGGAATATCCCGCCCACTTCTTCTGCACATTGGTGGGGAGCGCGTTGTCCTCCGGAGTAGGACCGGTTGCGAAGAACAGGCCTCCAGTATCTCGAAGCAACTCACCCATAAGCTGGGTCGCCTCTGACGAGCCAATACTATCAAAGACGCCGTCATAAGGCCCATGAGCCAGAATTTCTGTAACAAGGTCCTCTCTTGGTTGAGTATGGTCGATGATATACGCGGCCTTGCGCCGTTCCACAAGCTCTCTGTTTCTCGGCGAAGAAGTCGTCACGACGTGGTACCCAGCATCCGAGGCATACTTCACTGCCAGTCCGCCAACTGCAGATGACCCCCCGTATACAAAGATCCTTTTCCCATTCGGCTCCGAACGTCCCGCGACGGGCGGCTTGGACAAGCCCATGTGAATTGTCAGGGCGGAGACCACCGTCGCAAGGTTGGCGATGACACCGGAACCAACCTCTAGGGAAGTCTCTGGCGCGAGTCTCACCAGGTATTCCTCTAGGCCGATTGCATATTGCTGCCAGGCCCCGTATTTGTTTTCACTTGCTGCTGTGCCCCAGCGAGCAACTGCGACTCGGTCGCCTTGTTGTACGGACGTGACCCCAGGGCCGACGTCGACGACGGTCCCGGCAAATGTGAAGCCGCCGACAAGAGGGTAAGTTGATTGGAACAAGTCCAGCCTTGGCTTGAATTAGCAACTGCAGCATATCTGCTCACTTTAAAGTTGCGCAGTCAAACACGTACCTTTGAATCTTGGCATCAATTGGGTTGAAGCTAATGGCTTCATTCCGAACCAAGACCTCGCCATGTCCAGGAACCCACACTTCAGTGGCTTCTACCTCGACTGGCGCATGGCGCGTCTTGATGTAGGCGGCTTTGTTCGATGCCATTATGCAGTCAGTGTCAATGGTAAGACTCAGTCACAGACATGTACCGGGTGGTTGTAAGATGCTTAAGAAGCAATTTCATGGGGTCCGCCTGTATTTTATATAGCCTCAAGGAGTCGAATGAGTTTTTGAGAATATTTGTGCTCAGATGCGGCAATAGCCGGCTGTTCTGCTTCGCGGTGCCTGACGTGGCAACCTTGTTACGAATCAACTCACAGTCGAGCATGCTGTGATACACTGGTGATGCGGGCGAGCGCGCGAGTGCTTACAAATCCATCCTGAGCACCGACTTGAGAATTAAGGGACATGGAAAGTCAGATGCATTGACATGCACATGAAGCTTGCGGAGCAGCGCAAAGTGGCCCAGCGCCTCGCATTGGTTGGGACTCTGATTGCGCTAATTTGCTATCCGTCCCTCCCGAAGTTGGCGATGTAGTTGCACAACATTCAACATCGGGGTCTTTTGAACCAGTTCTCAAGCCCTCCCTCTGAATTGGGCCATACATTTCGTCTCATCGCTACAATTAAGTGGAAATCACCAACCATGTTCAACGTTTATGCTTTGGAGGCCCCAGGGGAGGGCAAGTTTCTCATCCCCAGGCTCAACTCGAAAAAATCCAGGTTTGGCTGTAAAAGATGCAGAGATCGCCGCGTCAAGGCAAGTCGCTGACACTCGCAACCCAGAGACTCTAATCATAGCGCAACTATGGGCTAACTCATCCCTGTTTCAACGGTTGAAAGTGTAACGAAGCAAAGCCCAAATGCCAACACTGCAAACGGCACGGCGCAACTTGCATCTACAACCGGGAGCCCGGGAAGCAGCCTTCGGCCTCTATCCCCTCTCTTACTAACAACAGTAAAAGTCGGGTGAAGCAAGTTGATGATGCCACCGAAAGCCGGGAGCGCCGCTTGCTGGAGGTTGGGCTCATGCGCAATTACGTGACCAAGACTGGTCCCTCTATCTGCCCCGACGACCCAACTCAGTCCATTTTCGCGGCAGCAATATTGGAGCAATCCCTGCAGTTTGATGCGCTGCTATACACTGTGTATTCCATCACGGCTCTGCATCAAGCCTGGAGTAGCTGTAGCCAGGACGACTCTACCACTGATCTCGACGTGCACCGACGATACCTGTCCATGGCTCTACGCGAACATCAATCGCTGCTACGCAACATCACCAGTGAAAACATAGACGCCATTTGCTTGACGTCTGCCTTTCTCCGATTTTGTGCGTATGCCATGCTCCAAGTACGCAAGCTGCAGCCGTATACGCCACCCACGCAATGGTTAATGATGGTGAGCACTACGCGCGCATTGTACGAGGAAGCTTGGGGTGTCGCAAAAGACAAGCCCAATAGTATAGCCTACTTGCACCTAAGCAGCTATTCCATCACGCGCGACAACAACAACCTCAGGGAGCAGTGCAAATTCAGCGACTTGGCGTTTGCGCATGTAATGACTCGACTAGCACAAGATGTTGAACTAGAGCCATGGGACGCGGAGACGAAAGATGCATATGAGGAGGCGCTTCGTTTCCTTGGCAGTGTGAAGAGTGTGGTGGATGACGGTGCGGCCAAGTTTCTAGTTCTCAGACACCTTCTCCGCTTCCCGTTGATCATCCCGACGCGACTACTGGACTTGATTCTCGACTCTCAGCCCAGATCCTTGGTCGTTCTGGCGCATTATTTTGCTCTGCTTGTGCCATTCGCGCAAAATTGGTATATAGGGTCGGGGCCGAAGCAGGAGGTCCTCGCCATTGCCGACAAGATGTCATCGAGTCCTCGTTGGAGGCGCCTACTGGACTGGCCGCTTCAGATGGTCAATGCTTGAGGTCGGACGCCGTGAACCACTTGAGATGAGGGGATGGTGAGCTAGCTAGTTGATGCTATGGATAACTGGGGGGGAACATGGAAGGCAATAAAGGGAGCGGGCGGGCCGACGAGTCCGGGCTGAATGCCACTGCTCGTTATAGAGTGCATGAATGTGGAGAATGGACATCCGATTTCTTCTATGTAATGAGAATATTAGTGCCTTTTTGTACCTTGAACAAGCTACATCAGTGACTGATGGCTTCAATGTTGCTACTGGAAATACCGGACACTATCGTGGTTGAGTTATTGGGTTTCACTCGTTATAGCGGTGTCGCGAATTTGTGAAACTCACAACGAAAGTAAATGCTTCATCCCTGTAGATAGGTCTTTTCTTCTATCCAAGAAATCTCTATTCTATTTAATTAAAATAAACATTCACAACTTCCTTCATCATGTCACTGTAGCTCTACCACATTGACGGGCTAGTACCTACTTGGCTTTCGGTTTCGCGAGTTCAGAATTAGGCTAGCTTCGTTTCCCAGGGTCCACCCCGCCAACCCCACATTCGCCCCACCCCCACCATTACTCAATTTAGGTCTCGGTTTCGGGACTTCCACATGTGGCCATTGCTCTCGGCCGTATTGAATCAGCATGAAACACCGACTGTCAGTCCCGAATTATTCAAGCAATGAGCTTTTCCCTCGAAAGAATCCGTCAGTATGGCATTACTCAGCCACTCTTCTGACGAGAAAGAGTTCAATCCTGCAGCTGGAAACTGTTTGTCAGCGAGAAGTGGCGCCATGACACTTGAATACTTCGGTAACTCGAGTATGCCCGAGTCCGCGGATTCAAACTATAAAAGGGTTTATAACAATCCTTCCCAAGATGCTCATACCAATCTTTAAGTACTCACTTTCCTACTGCTTCAATCATGCTTATCCTTATCCCCGGCGTAACTGGCAACCTGGGCCATCATCTTGCCAAGGCTGCCCTTCATCGTGGCCACCAGGTCCGAGGCATGGGCCGCACCCCCGAAAAGTTGGATTCAAACATTCGGCCACAGCTTGAATCCTTTGTCGTGGAAAGAAGTGGTGTAGATCCGGGGTACGACGCGGCATGCAAAGACGTCGATGCCATTATTGTCGCCTGGGCGCCTAAAGCAGAGTTGATTGTCGATGCGCAGCTCAAGCTGCTACGTGCCGCTGAGCGAGCGGGTATAAAGCGTTTCCACGCCTCGAGTTGGAACTTGGACTGGGAGAATTTTCCCCTTGGCGAGATCGAGACATACGACAGCATGTTGATCTTTGCGACCCACGCTCGTTTGACCAGCACCATCCGCCCTACTTACTCCTTGGTGGGCATCCTCGCCAACACTCTCTTCGGTGTGCCGGGCGCAGGTGCCATGGAAGGGGAGAATGCTATCTGGGCCCGAAACACCGACGGCACTCGACTTGTGCGCGTTATGGGTGACGGCAACACCCGCGTGAACTATTGTTCCGAGTCGGACGCGGCGAATTTCAGCGTCGCGCTTATAACGGGCGACTACGGCGAGACTGGTGGGTTTAATCGGTTTTGCAGCGACAGCTTCACGTTTCATGAGCTAGCAGCTGCGTTTGAGAAGGTCCGCGGCGGGAAAGTAGATGTCACTCAAGTCATGGGCCTTGACGAATGCGAGAGACAGTGGCGTGGAATGCGAGCTGAAAGTTTGAGAAAAGGAGAGTTGCGGCAGAAGTGGCGCGAGTTTGTCGGGCTGCAGTATGCATGGTACACGTTTGGCGGATCGAGCGTCTCTGCGTTTGAGCCTGTTGATGCGGCCAAGTGCCCCGATGTGAGGAGGACGAGTATTGTAGACTATATTCGTGAGAACGAGTATGTCTAGAGTCGTCGTGTGTAGAGAGTGGCTGAGACGACAGTATAGATACTATGTAAGGGTGGCATTAAGCCCTAATTATTCGTTTTAGGTATTTGTACTCTTCTACATGCAGACTTTGTATTATTTCGCTCCTTTACAAGACGTGGACAATCGAATACCTCTTATAGATACACTTCCCGAACCGTTATGGCATGTCACGGGCCACAACCCAATGTACAATCCTCCTTACTCGCTCGACATTTGCGAACGTTGTGTAGTAATCGTTCATGGGACATGTGGTTATAAGCTCCTAAAGCGTTATTACACGGAAAGAGCCCAACAGATCGTGAAGCCGAACAAAGGGGTCTCACCGACAAAGGACCTATTGGCTACACACAAATTGAACACGTGCCCGGAAAAGACCCGCGAGTATAGCCGTTTCTTTCATGGATATATAGTGGTTATTATCCCTTTCTTTCCTCTCAGAAAACCAAGGGCCTTTGATACCCTACTCGATTATCTTTGAATTGAACCTTTCCGTTGTAAGTCCTCGATATCAAGCCCTTGTCACAAGTGTGAAGTAGCAGCAAGGAGGCCACTTTACCCTCGGACCATGCCTGGAATATTTGTTGAAGAGGGAAGCGTAAGACGTGTTACATCCATGCAAGTTTTCGGCCTCTGCTATGTCTGCTTGGTAATAGATAATTAACATGGCCTAGGTTGGCAAGACGGTTGGCCATGTGGCTTCCATCACTTTACCTAGAGGATTAAGTAGGACAATTGGTCTGTACTATCTGGGTAGTGCGTAACTATATTTGCCCTGTTCTCAAAGGACTACGGTGACCGCCTCCTTGAAATCTTAGGAGAATTACCCTGATTAGAGAGAGTTATTGAACAATTTGTGGAGGCTGGGGAGAATGATTAATGATACCGTCGGCACCAGGGAATTTGTTTGGGGCAGCCCTGCGCACTGCCTTCTTGGTCTCCGGCAACGTGATGCCGATTACTGATATCCGAGAGATCGGCCTGACACCGAGGGGAGAAAAAGCCTGGCCGCAGAAATTCTGCCTTTTCTCCTGGATAATAAACAAATGTTCTATGGTGCTTAGCAGGTGCTGGAGTGCAGGCGTGCGGTACATCCTGTCTATTCTTGGCCCACTTGACGGGTTTCTATAGTCCAGTTTCCACTGATGAAGCCTCTGCTACTCTTTAGTGGTTACGTAGCAATCTCCGGATAGTTGTGCCGAGCTCTCATGTTGCGTGCTTGTCTATACACTTCAAACTCGTCGTCTTGCCTTGGATATTGCCACCGTCGGTGCAACTACTGGACTTTCGTACAGATATATTTGCATTCTTGGTCGAATGCTGGTATTGAGAGGGGACATGGGTTAGATGCAATTAAAGTAATTGATATATACATGCGGACTGCTTGACTCATGTTTGGTCATGGTGCAGTTTGCATGACTGACAGTCGGCATTGGGCAATTACATACGAGTCAAAGGCTCAGGCTGTGACAAGGGCTAAAGGCTTGGAGAAACATGACTCAATTCATCTAATAACAGTCTTCAGTATCAGAGGTCCTTGGCTTTCCTCAAGTTCTCGTTGACTAAAGTGGTCTTTAAATACAAAAAGTCGGTGATGGACTTTGCCCTAGTCTCGTGACCGTAGCCCTCGTGTAACCTTTCACATTGGGCTATTTCCGTGTAACACCAGCAATTCAATCATTTATAACTTTTGAAGATGCCCCCACGCCACCTTGGTACTGCAACAAGCACTAATAGTCGGAGAAACAATGAGTCAAGTGTACATATGTACTCCAGTGAAAAATTGACCCGTGTGGAACGCCCTGGAGTCGGATCCAATAAGGATGTGCACCTTATTTTTACGATCTTGGCAATAATAACGTGAGTAGAGAGAAATTTGAACGATTCATAATCGGGGCACTTATCTAAACACTTATTTATATTATATGCTTATTTTGCTCTAGCATCTTAGCCACCCCCCGGTTATAACGCAGAAGAACTATACATGTACAGCAATATAGTAGAACAATAAAATTAGAAACTTTTGATTAATTAGAGACCTTTACTCCGACAGCTGCCTCCTTCAACTTTCACACAGCTTGTGCAAACATCATTCTCTCATTGTCCCTGTCGAACACGGTATATACCGCCGACATGAAGGGGTAGCCCATGACGTTGACAGCATTATCTTGGCCAGCTGAGGCGATGGCGAGCGCGCAACCGCCAGTCTGCGAAGTCTTTGAAATCTCTTTCGAAATAACAGTCCTGGCCAGCGGCACGCTAAGCATGGTCCGTCCTTGGTTAAACCCAAAGATCAAGCTGTTATCGCCCGATGCCAGCTGGCAGTTCACCAGTCCCAAGCCGTCCTTCTCCGAGAACGTGGTGTCTAGGGCTCTGGCCAGGTTTTCCATGGAACCACTGGGTATCAGAATAAAGGAAGAGCCAGTGTTCATCGAGGTGAATCCTTCACTTTGGCCCAGTCCCAGATCTATAGACGTTGATTGACGGGTTCGCGGGCGACCGTTGCGCTGCCCACCACGCGCACCACTCATGGATAGTTGAACAGAGCTCAGTCGGACGACAAAGCCGGAAATCTTTCCAGAGTTGTCTCGCTCCATGGGGACCGTCTGGAGCTGGCCCGTAAACTTGGTGCTGTCGATTCCTCCAAAGACAACAGACCCATTGGCGAAGGCTGCACGAACACCCGTTAGCTACAACCACTTGATGACCGGCGCTACATCTCCATATGCAGCTTAATGATGGTTAGGGGCAACTCGGGGATTCACTCACGTGTAGGGTTGAACCAAACGCTAAACAAGTTTGCATTGATCAAGCCCACGTCCTTCATCTTCTGAGGCAAGTTCGCATATTTGGCGTTATCGACCGTCTGCTCGGCGTCCACGGGCCCGACGCCGAAAATGGGATATTGGGCCGAATTTTGCGACACGCTCCCATTGACTGCCAGGCCAACCTGCGCGGCCTTAATCTTGGCATCTCCCACGCTCACAGACGTGCTGATGTATGGCCCGTTGTACGCGTCGCCATTTTGAAACCCAGCCGCGAACCCCGAATTCGGCACCCTCCTGACATCGCTGTCTTTGGAGGGTTCGTAGTCCCCTAGGGCAGCGTTCGATCCTTGGCACTGCTGCTTTGCGAGTTTGCACGCCGCGCTGCCCGCTCTGGGGATAATCAGATCTGAGGAACTAGTGTCCAAGACGCCCGTGATGACTTGGGATGGGGTGCCGAAACCCATGGAAATCATTGGCTGGAACGGTATTCCCACCTCGCGGTTTTCAGAGTGAAGAACGTCGACAACCACTACTTTTAGTTCTGGCTGTGAAGTTGGCTGTGTCACTGGATTTGGAGTTGAGGTTGTAGCTGAGGTAGTAGTGGATGTCGTAGTTGAGGTTGTTGTTGAAGTTGTAGTTGAACTTGTTGAAGTCGTAGTTGATTTCGATGTAGAGGTAGTCTCTGGCTCTAGAGTCAGTGTTGTAATTGGCTTTAGGGTAAAAACTGGCTCCGGCGTCAGAGTTTGCGTTGTGGTTGACTTGAGAGGTGATTCCGTCTCTGTCTCTAGAGCCAGGGTTGTAATTGGCTTTAGGGTAAAGGCCGGCTCCGGCGTCAGAATTTGCGTTGTGGTCGACATGAGGGGTGTTTCTAGCTCTGGCTCTGGTAGGAAAGTTGGTTTCGGCTGGGGTTTTGAGATTGTAGTTGGACTAAAGGTGAATACTGGCTCCGGCTCCGGCTCCGGCTCCGGCTTGGGCAGCAAAGTTGGCTCTGGTAATGTTGGTTCTGGATTCGGCGTGAATGGCTGTCCAGGATATGGCTGATTTGGAACTGATTCCTCAGGAAGCGGTTTCACGGGAAATGGCTCCGCGGGGGCGGGCTTCGTTGGGGGTTTTTCCTCTGCGGGTGTTTCCACGAGAAACGGGTTCAGAGAAAACGGATCCGCAGGAGGCGGGCTATTTGAGGGCCGTTCATCTGGACGTGTCTCTACGGGAATAGGCTGTGGTTGAAACGGCTCTGGCTGAAACGGCTGATTTGGAGATGATTGATCTGGACGTGGGAGCGACTGGCTTGGGAGCGACTGATCAGGAATAAATGACCCGGGAAATGACGGCCCAGCAGGCGACTGGTCAGGAAATGACGGCCCGGAAAACGATGACGGCCCAGGAGAAAATGACCCAGGAGACAGCTGCTCTGAGAATGGCTCATCATACTGTCTTGGACCCAGCCCCAGCCCGAGAGCCGAGTCTAGACTTGGAATCGTCCTTGGACCTGGACGTATAGTTGCAGATGCCACATATTGGGCGAAGAGGATGGGGGTAATTGACTGATAGCGCATTGTATCGGTTGGCACTTGGGTTTACCTGCAAGTCCAAGGTTCAGAGCATTGAGACTTGTCGCAAGTGCAGCGTTTATATAATAAGTTGTAGCCTTGGATTCCATCGGAGTATATACACTCATCTATCGCTTATCCGTCGAGGCCACGAGTCAGCGCAACAACGCGCCGAAGCTAGTGACAAGGGAGCCGTTGCCCCAACCTCAGCTGACATTCTTCCGCATGGACTTCTCGAAAAGTTTTCAACAGGGTAAATTGTATGTATGTATATACGAAAGATAAAACAAGATCCCTGTCACGGAAGGTTTCTTCAACGGAGGATTGAGAGACCCACGCGGGGTACGGCGTTAGGTCGGAAATGGAACTTGACGGCAGATAGATTTTCGGAACATGCCTACCCCGGTTAGACTTTGCGAACGGGTGTTTCGTTTGAGGACTGACTCGTGATGCTCGAGCGCTGTGGTCATTGTAGCATGCCTCGCTAAGAGACACGATACCGTTGACGATACCGTTCAAATGGCGATGGAGTGCCTGATGAGGATGGAACGTAGTTCCGAAATTCCGTCAATTCCTTTTAAGTTCTGTGGTCCGTATTTTGATGGTTCGCTAGCTGGTGTTGATCATAGCGTAGTCCGTCTGGTAGCTTATACCAAGACAACACTCGGTAACCCGAAACCCGCAGCATCATGTCACTTGACAAAACCTCTCATATACCTCAATACTACGGAATCGCTCATTTCTAGCCCCCAACGACCTCTCATCCCCGTGACTATTCAGATCTCGGGATACACTTTTCACGTTTTGTTTGCCCGGAAGATTTGCAAAGCCAGAGTGCCAAGACTGGCTGAAACATGAACACGAACGGTCAGATCTCACGGCATTATAAGTGCTTGGCAGGGAGCTATGGGCTCTTCCACAAGATCGCCAATCACATTGGCCCCCGTGCGTGGATTGCTACCAAATTCAGCAATGACTATTGCCATTCGGCCCGGCCGACCGTTGGAAATTGAAGAGCCGAGCTCCCCACCACACGCCGTCTCAGGTTTCTAGAACCGTGTCCGTGCGTGTTATGCTTCACAAAACCCGTGGATAGGGCTGCAGAGATTAAAATCGTGATTAGACCTCATGAACTGTTTGGACTGCTCATGTCTGACCCCACCTATCATCCTTTTCCAAGCTCAATCTACACGTGGTGTGGTGGAGTTCATCCTCCAAGGTTTGGCTTGTTGAGTGCCCTTCCGAGGGGGATTTCTACACGGTCTGCATATAATGTGGGTGTACGTCCCCCGGTAGTTGTGAATTTAGCAAATAAGGTACTCTTTACGTCATTATGCAGTTTTAACTTTTTTTGGCCATCGTCACCATCGTGCGAGGTCGGCAGCGCCGTTCCTATCGCGTTGTTGTTGGGCACACGACGCGGGGAATCTGTATTCTCATTCTAGGGTAGGTGTCCTATTGTAGCCAATTCAGAAAGAATCTTTGTATGAGAGAGGAGAGGACAATTTAGCCAAGATTTGTAGCACGCCTTTTTTCATCCGGATACATGTTGTTACAATGTGGCCGGCTTTATCTAAGCTGGAGGCCGGGTTAACCACGAAGGCGATCCCGTGGCGGACCAAAACATGTAGGGCAAAATAGTCAGCACAGCGTCAATGCATCAGTAAGAGAACAAACAAGAGGTTCACCGGACCTTGATAATAGTGAGTTAAGAGGCGAGTGCAAGCTATGCAGAATTTCTCTCTAGATAGCATACTAGTCCTTGTCTTTCAACACTATCATGTCAACGATTCAAAGTTCACTTTTTCGCTTTTGATTTGATCATTGGTCGATATCTGTAACGTATCACTGACTTAACTCCCAGCTAATCAAGTCTTATTTTTTATTCCAACATAAAGCCTGGCCTTATGCATCACGTGGGAGCCGCGTATTTACCCATGTCTCAAGAACATGTGCAGAAAGCATACGCGTGAAGGCCTGCATCCTGCGGCTGACATTGAAGACGTATTAACTAACCCGCTGTTGGCTGTCTTGAACAAAATTATAGCCAACGGCGAATACCATTCGACATACATTCCCGCACAACATTCCAACTCTCCTCAAGTTGAGGAAGAATGGTCGATTGATCGGAACTCAGTGACATCATCACCGATTGTTTATCTTCTTTTTCTCACCAACAGGATCTGTCAGAATTGGGGTCGATAATGCCTGGCGATTGACGCACCGTGTTTTCGTCACAAACTTATTTGAGTTGAAAGTCTGTCCCGCACTTTTTTTTGACAAGGCCAGGGTTATTCTCAAGACGATCCGGTACTTGATGGACCGAAATGCCGATAACCACCTGACTTTAGCTCCTTACCTTTAATGAAACTCTCTTGGCATCATACCAGCTGTTGCTATTGGGAGTGGATTCACCAGCGTTGCAATCGTTTCGACAAACTAGCACCTAGCTTTGGTTGGAATGCTACTATTCCGTCACTGGATGTTGACAAGCATCATTGCCTCGCATTTCCCGTAATATGTGCTTCAATTCGATGTAACAAGCCGATCGCTATCCAGTCAATAGAACTACATTGTCAAACAAAATGAGGGGTCCCTAATTTCCACCAACTACCTAGGTAGTCTTGTGAGTCTTCGCATTTATCCTCCGCGCCTAGCATGGAATGCGAATTCCCTCCCGTGATCCAGCCTCTAATCTTATCTGACGGCGTCGACCTAGCTAGTTGAGCTGCTCTGGTTGGCGTGCGTTACATTGAGCCATTCTTGATGCAGGCCATTATATATGCCTTTCACGTCCTGCATCTTCTTTGCCAGCATGCCTTTTGCTGTTGCATTGTCTAGTTTTTCTATCATGGCTGCAATTGACCTCCCGCTAAAGTAATTATTGTCTCGGTTGTAGAGTGCGCGATGCCGTACTTGGTCTTGCGTTTCGTGTCCCTGAACCCGGAACACCTGTTCGAGGATGTCAATGTCTTCCCCGAAACCAAACAGGTCGCGGGATTCCTCGTGAGTAAAGAGGTAATAGAACTCGTGGAAGCCGGCCCAGGTAATTGCGCTTAAACACAGACTGCACGGCTCGTGAGTTGCGAGGAATATCGTATCGTTGCCTGGGTTCGGCCGGCAAGCTCGGTTGGGAAATGTAACGGTGAAGTATTGCTGAACGCAATTCAGTTCCCCGTGCAGCAGTGGCGAGACGGTCCCGTTGTTCGTGGATATGGTGAGCGGCTGGAGGTTGGAGCGAGAGAGGATGGCCGCCCCGAAAAGCGGGTTGCCCAGCAAAATGGCTTCATGTGTTATGGGTACGATAGACGTCTGGATAACTTGAAGAAGGGTGAGGAGAAGATGGACTGTGTCTGGCATTGTGACGGGGAAAGAAAGTTAACATGTATAATTGGACTGACTTGGTACGGCAAACCAGACACAACTAAACAAATCTTGCACCGCAACGAGGTGGACGTTTAAAGCAGATATATGATTATCGAAGTGGGCATTAAATCCCCATGCCTTGACATGTTGGGTCTGATCGGGCTGGTGGTACATGCCACATAAATACCCTGGTCAGGGGCGTCAGTTGCGGTGAAATGTCAACTAGTACATCGCTGTTAGAAAAGGCATTTAGGGGGGCAACTGACGAATACGAATTTGATGTGACAAGACGATGACCGGCCAATTGTACCAAGTAAGCTCTGCGGTTGACTCATGCCCCAACCATTAGGGAAGTTGTCGGCGGCGATTCCCGGAATTGGGTTCGATCTTTTGACCCCAAGTTCGACGCATAATTCGGCATAATATTGGCACTAGGCTCAAATTAGCAGGATACAACATATAAGTTTAAGCAAAGGCCCAATAATTTATATATAAACTTCCATCTACCCTTGTTCACAATGCACTAAGCTAGCAGGGGCAGCTTTAATACCTAAAAAAAGGCTTAGATACTAAGATTTACGTGAAATCTTTCAGAAATTCTTTATTAAAAATATCAGCAATAGCTTTACGCTAATTTCTTCTGATTAGGGTGATTAATATTCTTTTTTTGCTCAAATCTAGCCCAGATATCGCGTTTTTTTACCTGTCAAAGCAATAAGAATAAGAATAAGGCTGCGATATTTTTACCTAGAAAATTAGTAGGGCAATAGAACAATTAAAGAGATAAAAATCATTGAAGAGTGCTGAAAGCCCTGAAAGCCCTCAAAAGCCGGGAAATGGCTGTGGGACGGTACAAAGTAATATTGTGCACCTTAAATGCGTGGAGAATGTACTGACCAGAGTCGAAAAGTTGACCTCAATTTTTTGACCCGAATTCCGCGCATCACAGCCTTGGTTAAGTTAGTCCAGGTTTGGTCAATCACGAGACCCCCTGTATCACAGAGTCGATTGACGCTTTGACATCACATGCAGGGAGACCAACGCCCAGGAGGTGGTTACATTGGCCCGGCTAGTGCCCGTGTAAACTCAACATTGAAGTGCTCTAGGTTTTTACAGTGGGAAGTCAAAGTATTTGCTCACGTCCTCGTGCTGGGCTAGGCTAATTAGCAATGTGCATGCAGTCTCTAGCCCTTCCCAACTCCAATAACCCTGGCCCTAGTTAGAACCAGACCACCCTTACCTCATGATGCCCTCTTACAAGGTCGGTGTTGGGAACACAAATCCGTAGCTGTGTTACCTCGGAAAACCACGACTCACGGCTCTTCCAGCTCACCACAGACATACTCTCTCTAAACTCCGAGTACTGCGGAGTACACGGTTAGGCATATCCGTCGCTGTTGTCTCCCCTCTAGCCTACTGTCTCAAAGAGTCGACCCATACATATCTAATGCACCAGCGAAGCTGCCGGATGCCTGTCAGAGCAATGGCCAAGGTTCAGACACAAGTATGCTAGAATCCAGCTCGCCTTTCTCATACCACTTCTTAAGCCGGCACACAAGTGCTATTGGATTGGATCTGTGAATACCGGCGGTGGATTCAACGCAAACGAATCTTTGGCTGTCTGTTCCGACCCCGCGCGAAATCAGGGAACTGAAGCTCAGTCTCACATCTAGCCTACTTGGTAAGGATCGTCGCAATTCCCACGCTTGGGGCTACACGAGGCTGATGGTGGCGCAGCCTGAAAGCCACGAGCTGGGTGGGAAGGGTTTGGCTGAAGACGAATTCGCATACGCGGACAAGATGATTCGTGGCGACCTGTCAAACTATTCGCTTGGCATAATCGAAGCCAAGTCATCTTAAGACTTGTTAAGGAGCAAGGCTTTACTGATGAGACACGAGCGGCTTTGCTGGTAAAGAGTTTCTCGATTTTTGATATGGCAAATCACCAACAACGGGAGTAAAAGAACAATAGCGCCAGCTTCGACTGTCGCCGAGGGTTACCTATCGCAGACACGAAGTAGCCGAGGTTAAGAATCTTCTGGACGACTATGCAAACGTTGAGTTGGTTGATGAGGCTTTGCTGGAGTACACACTTGCGTTAGAACATCTAGAGCACTGTAAGCCGCGCAATTGCAGGGAGCAGACTCGTTTGTTAGCTTAGCTAGACACGTTGCAAGTTCTCGGTCATCTGCGCGCGGGGAGGTCGAAGAATATGGAGAGGCCGTCCGCGCGCCAAGTTGCTATAAAAGCAATAGTTGAGAGTTTTCAGACTCTCAATCATTTTTACAAAGCATAAAGAATGAGCCGGACAATTACACTACTTGAGAAGACTAGAAGCATCATGTCAGAGTAGTTATCGGAACCACTAAACATGGGGCAAAATGATGCAGTAATAGCGTCGCCCAGCAGAATATCCCCCATATCTAGCTTATGAGCGCGCCCTATTGACTATCTTCTTCTGTATGGCCTGATACCTTCCCGGTATCGGAGATGCTTCACTCCAGAAGGAAGGGGTCTCAGTAAAGGAGTTAATGGCTATTCTGACATAGTCTGGGAACTCCGGCGGGGCACTTTGGCCGAACTTCTTGAATATGGCCCATTACTCTGTGGAAAAGCAATCTATTGGGCCCGGTGTAGCAGAGGGGCCAGGAGCTGGCTGTGTTGCGCTCGCCCCGGCCGTTATTGGAAGATCTACATGTAGTCGGGTTTCATGCTTGATCAAGTAGGTTGTACAGCCTTGCTTGGTCATGTTTTTTCGACCTCTGCCGGGCTGTGTCCCTGGATCCCAACCGCCCCAACCGGCGATATCGATGAGGGACACCGATTGCGCTTTTACGAGGGGTGGACGGCGATACGGGACTATCAATAGATTGCTATATATAGATGCAACGATAGTACGTACACCGGGACACTGATAAAATAACACGCGAGAACTATCAAACGAGTCTTTTTCAATGCGGAGCAAGATGCGGAGTAACTAGCTGACACATTTTATATGCATTTAATTCAGTTATCTGTATCGTACGTGATGGATTTAAGTTTTGTTCTACCCCTGCGTTTCCATCTTCTCCCGCAGCGATTCCGCCAGGCGCCGAGTATCCTGCGAGAATCGCTCATCCGAGCTGAAGAATGACAGCTGTTCCTTGAAAAGGTTCCATTTATCCATGCTCCATATTTGACGCATCCCATCTCCTACTGCAGTACCCCTGCATTGGTTGTAAACCCACTGACGAGGCTGGTCTGGCTCAAGCCATTGGGCTGCGGCAATGAGATCAGCCTCGATTCGGTTTGGCCCACCCTGGCGGCGCTTATTCAGGTCCGGATATGCGTAATGGGTAGGCAGAATGTATTCCAAGGCGCTAGCAATGCTGCAGTCGATCAGATCGAGAGACGTGAGTCGTGAGATGAAGCCCTGAAGATTCTTCCAACGTAGTTGGAACTCGCTCCCCGGCGTTTCGACTTCGGAAAATGGGTAGGCGAGTTCTACAAGAAGTGAATATCACTAGTTAGTAATAAAGACCAAGTGGATTACGGGAAACAGCATGGCGTACCCTCAGCTTCACGCTGGAACTTTTGCGCCAAGTACTCGACTGATGGGGTACCAAATGGCCACAGGGCGAGCATTCTTTCGAAAGAGGGCTCATTTGATGCTTCAACATAGCTGAGATCTCGTACTTCGTGCTTTGGCATTGCCTTTAGGGCCTGGAAAAGCCCGACGAGGGCGTCCTGCACAGGGTGGCCCGGGGGATATGCCGAGCAAACCCTGGCTATAGCTCCGACAATCATGGAGATTTGTCGGGATGGATTTGGCCCTACAAGGTATATGCTGTCCTTTTCTTCATCCGTAAGGCTGAATGGAGGTTCGCGCTGCTTGAGCTCGTTGTATCTCCTGTTAGTTTCTCCAACCACCCAGTCGTCAATTCTCGCCGCGGCCTGCACCGGGCTTGCCTTCTGGGTGAGAAGAGAATTGATAATTTGCTTATAGGACAGATCCTCGGCGTTGTCATCCTCGTCAAAAAGGCGGGGGTCGAGAGTGGCAACATTATCGGCAGCCATTCTGATTCCTTCTGCCTCGCGAGCTGGTGCTAATGCTACGTTGTCAGGTCGCCCGTCGTCGGCGGCAAGAAAGAGAGGAAGAGAAATGGTTGATCGGCCAAAATGGTTCAATTTGTGCTGTTAAAATTGTGCGCAATCTGTTGGTAATGACTTGAGTCGTTGTAAAGTTTGTATGGGGTAAAAGAAATGCCGCAGGACAAAATTTGCTCGTTGGTGCGATCCGCCTTGACTGGCGACTTAAGCTGTCAATATGATGCTAGGGATGCAAGTATCAAAAATTGTCAACGTGTACAGTTCTCCAATGATGACAAGTAAATACCGTATTGTCCACGAATAGGAGTTCGCTCCGCATGGGCCGACAGAAATTTTCTCGATGCAGGTGAAATGTCCGAGACTCCCCGGATCGTGGATGATTTCTTTGTTGCTGGTTTGCTTCGCCTCTCCAATAGTACCTGATACCCTCGCTGCCGATGCGTCACGAAGGTTGCGCTTCGTGTTATGGAGGCGGAGTCGTCTCGTATTAACACTGGCAAAACAAGACAAGACGTCTTGCACGAGCTCAGCTGAGACCAGGATTGTGCTATATCGAATGGGGCAATAACAATCGTACAAACTAAATCGATGTTCAAAAGGAGAGATAACGGTGATTTATTGCTCGGACGTAGGCCGAAATCTTCACGAGGGACCACTCCGGTAAGGCCGAACCCATGAATAGCAGGCGAGCAAGTTCGCCAGACACCAATTCGATTGGTGGATCTTGCCCTACGACTTATCGAACTTTATTCCATAACGCCTATAGTTGCAATGCCTCCTGTATAATACGATTCTATCGATTCTTAGATGCCGATGTGGAGCAGGCACATCACTACTGCCGGGCGTATTATCGTAATATGCAAAAGATAAGACATGTTGGGAAGCAGACCTGTGTAAGTCAAATAGGTTTTCAATGTATATTTAAACACTCGTATTCCGGACAGGTTTGACAGCTTGCCATAACCTGCATCATCAACGTTCCTCTTACTGACATCGATATACTCAACGCAATGAAGTTTCTTGCTGTTCTTTTGGCTGCCGCAGCCCTGAATGCTCCTGCCCTCGCTGGCCCTGTCACCCGGGCTGATGTACGTTACGGTCTTGCGATTATCGATTCCTAGATGCATTCCAGTCAAAGCTGACACACGTATCTCTAGACGGTTATTTGCGAGCCTCGCCAGGACACTGAGACTGGCAAAATCAAGAAATTTACAGTTGACGTCGGCGTAGCCGAGGATCAAGCCAAGAAGGCTGGTCTTACAACTGGCAAAAGCGGTGATCCGCACAGATACATGAACGGGGATAATATCAATTTTGGTATTCATAACTGCGACAAGGAAGGGGCCATTCTTTGGGAGTATCCCATTTACTGGGTTGGCAAGAAAGCAGAGTGGAAGAAGGATGAGAAAACCGACAGGCAGCCTGGCGGCCCTACTCTTATTCGTGTCGTGTATGCGAACAACAATGGCAACATCGTGTACTGCGGTGTTATGACTCATGCCGTTGTTAACAGCAACAATCAGGGAGAGAAGTTCTTCCTGAAGTGCACCTGAGTTCAGGTTGAGAAGAGACTTGACTAGGATCCGTTGCAAGCAAGACATGCCTGGTTTATAAGACTCTGGTAGTACTATCGCTCTTCAATCATCAATGTCTCTTATTATTCTCCAAATTAACAAGTTCCGAGCCGTTCAGTGAATGAATAGAGAGTGCTTCTGCAGAAGCTTGTAGGCCGATTGTGGGAATTGCTCCGATGATGCTGATGGTGCCTGAGAACTCCCGACAAGAACAATCTAGAAGTAATGTAAGGCTTGGCGGTCCTTTGGGTCGTGCAATGGTGCAATGTGCCATTTGGTAAGCCACCAATTGATAGAACACCACTTCAAAGCCTTCTGTAGTCTTCCCCGGAATGAGACTAAATCCACACAAGATTTCACAGTCGACGCCTCATATGGCGTAGATGCTAATAGGCTGTAAGTGTGCTCCAGGGATAGGATGCTATCTTCGTCATCCCTGTTGGCGAGAAAGTGTAGCTTTTTCCTGCTTGCTGTTGTATTTTTATCCGAATTACTGTGTGTAGTGCCAAGAAATCAAGCAGCAAGACAAAGACAGACATTTTCAAGGATTTGGGCCAACTACTGGCTATATCCTATCTACTTGTTGCAGTGTTGTCGTTTAGTGTGAACAAGTCCATCCCTTTAGAGCAGTCAAGGCTGCAACGATACATCTTTCCACGATCGGGGCTAATAGGCATTTTCTGCCGATCGACATTGATTATCCTCACTTGAAAACCACTGGAACAAAAGTATCAAAAATTTAATCACGAGCATATGCCAGGGTGAGATTTACACTTTGATGGCATGTTAGGGTTAGGGTTTTGTCAAGATGTACTCGTTGACATATCAACACCGCATTGCGGTTTATTTGTCGGCTGATAAGGTGGAGCGCAATTTGAGGCTACAGTAGTTTTAGTGGATGAATCTGTCAAAGGGGCATCGAATGTCAAATTACTGTCCAAGGCAATGGTCGTGTGCCATTGATTCATGACGTGGCCGACACACGATTGGTCATCTGGATCCATTTTGATTCGGGGACGGAACAACACTCCAAGCCGCCGCACTGTCCGAACGGCATCTCTGCACAACATTGAACCCCAGACGCCTCGACTCCTCCCGTTTGCCACTAACCCGGTTAGCTACAGAATGACAAGCGCAAAGAGGGGGCGCCGAAGACGACATCCAGACAAAGGGGGCGATCCGAAGCCAAGCCAGCCGAGGCATGGTCTCATGTGGAGAATGTCCTTCTGGATGGACCGGAGCTGGGCCAACTGTGTGTGCGGGTGAGGCTAGCATCATGGTCTGCCAGCTCGGATTCTGAATAAAGACCAATTCGCCTCGCAGCCATAACGCCCCCTTCTGTGCAACCACACGCGTGTAACCGGCCAAGCATCATCACGGTCCACAATGTCGTACAGCTCCGAGGCTCAGGTCGACGAGGTATGCTCCCTCCTGTCGCTCTCCTTGCCATCATGCCCACCATCTAACCTGTTGCACAGGCCTTCAACGCCGTCTCCAATACCTTCAAGTCCAACGCCACCAAACCACTCGAATGGCGCATCAGGCAGCTCCGCAAGACGTGGTGGATGCTCGAAGACAACCGTGAGCGCATCGTGACGGCCCTCAACCAAGATCTCAACAAGCACCGTCAAGAAACCCTCCCCGTCGACGTCGCCGGCATCCAGAACGCCTGCCTCGAAGCCCTCGCCAACATCAAAGAATGGACCAAGGACGAGAAGCCCCGACGAACCGACCCCTTCAACTTGTTGGGCGGAGCGCGCATCCGCAAGGAACCCAAGGGCGTAACCCTCATCATTTCAGCCTGGAACTATCCCTTCATGGAGCTCTTTGAGCCCATGCTCTCCGCCATTGCCGCCGGTTGCACCACTATCCTCAAGCCCAGCGAGTTGGCGCCCGCGTCTGAGAGGCTGATTGCCGAGATTGTGCCCAAGTACCTCGACCAGGGCGCCATTCGAGTCGTCACCGCGGGGCCGAAGCAAATGAATTATCTGCTGGAGCGCAAGTGGGATCACATCTTCTTCACTGGCTCGACCGCCGTGGGCAAGATCATTTATGCCAAGGCCGCGCCGAATTTGACGACGGTGACGCTGGAGTTGGGCGGCCGGGGACCGGCCATTGTGACGCCTTCAGCAGATATCGATTTGGCCGCCAAGAGAATTGCAAATGCGAAATTCATGAATGCCGGACAGGTATGGTGTGGGCGCCAAGGACGTGACAAGGAGCATATTGCTAATAGTGTGTAGATCTGCGTCGGCGTCAACCATGTCTTTGTCGATCCATCCGTCAAGCAAAAGTTCATCGCCGCCCTGAGCAAGTACTTTGACGAATACCGCTCTGGCCAGTCCCGGCAGCCAGCCTATGCCACGCGCATCGTCAACGAGCGCCACTACAAGCGTCTCGACAACCTTCTCGAAAAGACACAGGGCAAAATCGTCTACGGCGGCGACCGCAACCCCGAGACACGCTTCTTCGCACCCACCATTGTCGACGGCGTCTCCACTGACGACTCACTCCTCTCCGAGGAGCTCTTCGGCCCCATCCTGCCCATCCTGGACGCTACCCTCGAGCAGGCCATCAACTACACCGTCCAGCATGACCACCCCCTCGCCCTGTACGGCTTCACCTCCTCACAAGCCGACAAGGACAAGATCCTGCGTCTGACAAACTCGGGCGGCGTGTGCTTCAACGACGCCATCCTGCACATGCTCGTCAAGGATGCTCCCTTTGGCGGCGTCGGGGCGTCTGGCATGGGCGCGTACCATGGTCCCTTTGGCTTCAAGGAGTTTACGCACCTGCGAACTGTGGTCAATGTCCCCGCGTGGATGGAGTTGCTTCTCAAGGTCCGATACGCGCCCTATACCGACAAGAAGGCCGCTGCCATGGTGCGATCTACGGGCGCCAAGACCAGTGTGCCATTTGACAGGAACGGCAACGACGTGACTAGCCTGGCGGGATTGTTGACAAAGTCTGCCATCGCCGTGCTGTTCTTTGCGCTGTTGAAGTGGAAGGGCTGGTCGGTGACGGATTTGATTGCGAGCGTCAAGGGGAAATAGGCTAGCGATGCATCCATATGCATAGGTGGCATTGGGACACCGAGAGGGGCAAAGACGAACTAAAGTGAATGGAATATGGGATGGGATGTATTAATATGCTCTTGACACTGGCTGATCTTGCTTGAAGGCTGCACTCTCAATACTATAAACACCTGTCGGCTAGTAAACTATACGTGAATATCCCATGTCACTAACCTAAAATTGTGCTTTCGAATCCACGAAACCGGAGGAGGAACCGTTTGTACCAAGGCGTGGCGTGGCGTGTTTGGGGCCATCCTGACTGCAATAACCGAGTTCAATACTGCACAGCTGGGCCCAGAGACGTCGTGGGACCTTTGAATCGACAACTGCGGGGGTTGGACAAAGCAAATCTGAGCAAGTCAAGCTCTTTCAAGCCTCGCCAAGTCGTTGAGCTGCAGAGAGCCGAGAAAAAAGCAAATAATTGGAAAGAATATTAAAGCTTCATGACGCCCTGATCTGCCCACCCCCCTTCCCAAACCTTGTCTCGCATATAGGGTTATGCTAACAGTAAGCATTGAGCGGTGCGATGGAATGGAGTTTAATATGTCTCTCACGGATGGAATATTGCATTGTCTCCAGAGTAGTACTTGGAGCAGACACTTGCTCCAGGCTCAAGGGCATCACCACGAATCGGGGCAAGCTTAAGGTGAATTCCAAGAGGGACACTTAAATGTGATAGTTTCGGCTTATGGGGTGAAGTGATCCATATCAGATCATTCAATTGATAGTGGTTTTTAACTTCATATTTCTCTTTGCCTGTGTCCTATTGACGCGACACCTCCACGTAGCCACCAGGACACATTATATTCCAGTTGCAGATATTGACCAAGAGCCAAGCACTACTCTTAGTCGCCTGTAGCCTATTGTGTCATTCAAATAGCGGCCTTCATGGACGCCATCTATGCAGTCATCGCCCAAGACAGTTGCAACTTTTTACCACGACGTGAGGAGGTAAGACTGCAAAGTTCTTGGCTAGCAAGCTATGATGAAGAGAATAATCGCACAAACTTTCATGAATTTCTAAACAGCGCCAACTCTATGAGCCTCACTATTGCCAGTTTCCCAAGGGTATGCGAGTATGAAGGGACCAGCGATACGGGCTAGCAGAAAGGAACGTGCTGGACGTCTACGTTCCACCTGGCCCAGGGCGTTCTCGAGACAAACCCTGGAGCGACAAGATGTGACCATGTCTTTGTCAAAATTCTCCGAGAATAGCGGCTGATCCACAACCCGGCTCTCAGGGTTACGCCAACATTGGGTACACGTTGGCCAGCCGTGGAATCGTGACCATCATTGGGAACCACCGACTAGCCCCCAATGTTGTATATCCAGGCGGGTCGCAAGACATGCCGAAGGCGAGTGAGTGGATTTGCAACAATGCTTCTTCTCCCAAGTATAGAAGCGGCTGCCCTCATAGGGTCATTCTCTTTGGCCACTCGTCTGGCGCCGCACACATTGCCATGAACCTGTATGCCGCTGGTAAGCCCAAACATGCCCATCAACACTGCTACCTAACCATACCCATTCCGTGTAGGAGACCCGTACAAAGGGGGAGAGACTCTTCATTTCCACTCGTAGCTGGTGTCAAGGACTTAGATCCTCCGTCCTAGTACTATAGGCGAAAACCAGCTCGCCAGGAAGTGATCCGGCACTACTACGGTGATGACGCCAAAGAGATTTGGGGACCCAAATCAGTCACGGGATTGTTTGAACGACTTCCAGGCGACTCTCCAGATCTGTGAGTCGTCCTTTAGCAAAAGTCGACTGCGGTAGTGAGTTTGAGTGACGAGACAGGCAAGACGGCTGACCACTCTGATGCATCGTCTCGGGGACTCAATAAAACTGCCTGCATATCTAGGCGCCGCAGAATGGGAAGTGTGAGTGTCTCACCTCGCTCCGACTTTGCTGCTTTACTCGCCCACTTTCTAGTCCGGAGACATTTGACGGCGAGCAACGATGCATGGTCCTTGAATCCATGGCTCAATGTGTAAGAGATGCCCTATTCGAGTTAAGCGCGTGTTATGAGAGCTCAAACGCGTGGTATTATTTAGACCAAACTAGTGGACATGGTGTAACTACATAAATTTTCTTCGAACAAACTCAGATTTCAGAGCACATCTGGGCAGTATCAACGTCTGCGCCATATAAGTGAGGTGAGCCGACAAACTGCATACGAACACTCCACTTGAGTGCAGTACCTGTGAAATTGATGTCAAGATTTAACCGACTCTTGTCCAAAATTTCGTTCAATAGCCTGTTTGAAGTACTCGTCCACGGTAACAGGGGGGCTGCATAACATTGTACCTCAGCGTTACGACTACTGATATAGACGCATATATTTCGGGATCCAATGCAACTTACTACTTCTTTCGGGGGGCCTTGTACAATAATGCCACGACGAGCTTGGTTAAAGTAGGCGATTGAGTACCGCGGCGGCGAGTAACCAATTTCCCTGGCACGCACACGGTGAAAGTTGGACTTGAGACGGTCATCGGACCACGCCACTGTCAGAATGCGGTAACGGTCAGTTCGCTGCGACCTTTTTGTGTTTAGGAAGAGAATCACGAGGCCGGGGCTTCTTCGTACTTAGCATGTCGCCAATGTTGACTACAATCGGCCCTGTGTGAGCCGGTATGGGCGTGAACGAGTCACCCACGTCGAAACCAGTGTGTGAATCTCGGCCGGTGCAGATCTCCAGACCATCTTGCTTGTCTCGCTGGAACAGCAGCGTGAGACATCCTATGTCTGTGTGCGCACCGGCCCTCCAGGTGCCCGAGGCGTTGTCTGCCGCCGGGTAATGGAGGAGTCGCAACTGGCTGATGCAGTCGGGCTGGGTGGGATCGTTGGCCGTCACCAGGTAGTCTTCGTCGAAACCGAGAGCTGATGAAAAGCAGGCCACTCCATTGTGCGGCTTGATGTCAGCGGTATATCGGGACGGTTTGGATCGTGAGAAACGGAATATGTCGACGTACAGACTTGGCCAGAAATGGAGGCGCACTTGGCCATGAATCGCGTCGTGGTTCCGCGAAAGTTGGGCACGTCCTGATTGCTGGGCCACTGTGAATTTCGCATCAACCACAGAGACTCTTTCTGGTCGTAGGCGCCTGTACTGGGCCGCAGCTGAGCCTGTAGATTCACATGCATTGTTAGCATCGGCGGGCCTTGATGAGTTGCTGCCGGCGACTCACTTTGTACTCCCAGCCGTTGTTCGTCCGGGGATCATGACGGACTTTATCCTTGACTTTGGCCGGTAGAGTGAAGAAATTCTCGGCAGCTCGGAATTGAGCCTCAATCTCATCTATAGTGATGCCATGGTCGACCAGGGTGAAAAATCCAGTCACCTCGGCAGCTTCGAGAAGCTGCTTCTTGATTTCTTCTTTGCGGCGGTCAAAGCCTACGAGGGTGCAAGTATGTTGACACAGCTGGATTTAGCAGGGATATACGTACTCTTGAGAGAAATGACGGGAATCTGTTTTTAGGCCATGCTTGTAGGAACCCAGATTTTGCAAGGCAAAGATGCATGTGCGTTTAATATGATTGTCACACGGAAATGGCGTTGGTTACACAAGGGCTACGGTCACGGGATTAGGGCAGAAGGTCCTCACCGACTTCTTGTATAAATAGGCATCTTCGGTCCCTCAAGGCCTTGAGGAAAGCCAAGAACCTTGATACCAAAGACTGTTATTAGATGAATTGAGTAAATGCTCCAAGCCCTCTATTGAGCCCTTGTCACAATGATGGTGAAACGCAGAGGATGGGGTAGATGTCGTCGGCTTTGGCAGCTAAACTTGAAGTGAAACTAAGAGACCAGTTGACGGGACTTTGGGCGTCGAGGCGTTTCTGTAAACTATCAGTCGGCTAAGTGGACGAGCCACTTACATGTGTGGTTGTAAGTATTCGACCTGATCTCGTTTTAACCCTAACCCCAATACATGACATTTGAACTTGAACTCAAATTTGTACTACGATACGGGACAGCTTAGAAAGCTTAATAAAACATAAATGCTAGGATCGTTCAAAATAGAGTTGACATAATTCCCTATTAGCATAGTTTATATTAACAGCTAAATGATAATTTATAAAGTGTTGCGACGTTTTTTATTGCCCTAGTGCTAGTTTGGTTGCCGTTGAGCGACGTTGAAGGGATGTGATGGAACTTGACTTCAACGTTTTTTGATGACCCCTCGCTGTCGAGTCTGCACGGCTTATCGGCCCAACCCGATCAGGACGGGAAAAAGATGTCGATGACCACATGCCACATGCAACTATTGGCTCCTCAATATGCCAGTCTACTCCGTCTATACGTACATGTCAACTGTAATGTTGAATCCTTCATCAATGTTACTCCGACGACTCCTCATCTTGGAATCGAATCAGACACGCCTCCAAGATCAACACCGCCTTCGTCCCATCCCTCATTGCCCGACACCGGCGAGTCGAAATCCCGAGCGCGAGCATCATGAAGGTCATCATTGTCGGCGCAGGCATCGCCGGGCTCTCCCTAGCCATTTCCCTCACAAGACACAACCACCAAGTCGTACTGGTAGAGTCAGCACCGCAGTTGGCAGAACTCGGCGCCGGAGTACAATTGACTCCGCAAGCCATCAAGTATCTATTCAAATGGGGCCTCAAGGACGACTTGCTGGCCGAGTCCATCGTCCCCGACTGCATGTACATTCGGCACTACCAAGACGGCCGTCTCCTCGGCACCATACCCGTCGATCAAATGGCCGCGCGGTACGGCGCACCCTACATCGTCGTCCACCGCGCCGTATTGCACTCCATCCTGCACAAGCACGCGGCCGACGGCGGAGCAGAAATCAGGACAGGCGCCCGAGTTGTCACGTACGACTTTGCCGCCGGCGCAGTCGAGCTCCATACGGGCGAGAGGCTCGAGGCAGACATTGTTGTTGCCGCTGACGGTACGTTTTTGAACTCGTTCGCCGTCTCGGCCTGTGGGAATTTTGCTTTGACGGAAGGAAAAAGGCATCAACTCGCTTGCGCGGCAGCAGCTGCTGGGCGCTTCGGATCCCGGCAGTCGCCCGACGGGATGGGCTGCGTTTAGAATGTCTGTGGAGATGGGCAGAGTCCGAGACGACCCTGTGCTTGCGCACGTCACGGGCTTGGAGTCTGGAAGCTCAAATTTTTGGATCGCGCCGCATAGGTCGTGCATGACGTATCTTGTCAAAGGGGGGACCATGCTCAACATTGTCTTGTCGCATAGGGATGATGTCGACACAAGAGGCTTCTCGCTGGAGCAATACAAGCAAACTGTTGACGAGCAGTTTCGAAACTTTGACACACCGTACGTCTTTGTCATTTTGCCCGCTTCATCTTGTCCCTAAACTTCTAATTCAGCGGGGGGGCTAGTGTTCGCAGATTGTTAGACTTGTCAGGTCCAGAGATTAGCAACTATCCCGTTTACGAGGTTCCGCCGCTTCCAAAATGGGTGCATTCGTCGGGCCGCTTCACCTTGATGGGAGACGCAGCGCACGCCATGGCCTTTTATATGTCCATGGGCGTGAGCCTCGCCGTGGAAGATGCGACTGCCCTTGCTACGGCGTTGAATTTCGTCGAGGCCAAGGCCAACTCCAAGGCGCACGGGTCGGCTCCAACACTGGCAAGTTGTGCAGGCAAGGAGATTCTAAGAAAGGTAATGCATGGGTTTCAAAAGGTTCGTATGAGGCGGGTATTGGCTGTGCAAAGGGCTAGCCTGTATGCCGGCGACACGCTTCACGTGGAGGACGGTGACAAGAGGGTGGCGCTGTATGAAGCCTTGCGACAATCGGACAAGGCCTTTTTGCAGCCGCCCATGGACCCAAACCAGATCGTCGAGCATACTATTCAAATTGTTCCTGGTGAGCCGGAGCGTTGTGGTCTGGGGGGGATATCTGACAAAGCTACGCGCGATTGGTGCTATGATTTTGATGCAGATGGCGATGTCTTGTCGGCTATTGAGATGGCGGACGTTTGAATGTGTGAGAGAGAAAGGAATAGATTGTAGAAGACGATTTATTTCACCACTGGGCTCTGTGGATAGCATTACATTCTCCCATAGCGGTTCTCAGTTTGTTGTGCTTTAAAAAGAGACACAAGATGCATATGCCCAATTTTGGAGGCCACTATTCTATGTCTACAGATATCGAGGTTTACAGAAATTGCTTGGCGGAATCGTGCGTTTGATCCAGTGACCATGGTCACATATACCGGAAGGGGCGTATGATGCCGTTATAAATCGTGATTTCTAACCTTGACATCTAAACTCAAGGTTTCATTATACCGACCCTTGGGTCTGTCCCTTCAATTCTAATTTTCATCATACATCCATGTCCTCTACATAACTACCCTAAAGCAAGGTACTAGCATGCTCTATCTCTTACACCAATTCCCATTACAATACACCGTTAGCGATTTCATACCCTCAGGACGTGCACCACCATCAAATGACTCAAAATTCAGTCGTACTAGGCCTCTCTCCAAGAATTCTATTCCAACATCCCTTACTCTATGATGCCCGCAAACATACTCTTCCGGGATGCACGTACACCTCTTTGGTTCCGTCAAGCCCACCAAGTCTCTCCCCGTCGCCTCGATCCGCATCTTCGCTTCGGAAAGGCATGCAAAAAGCCCGCTATCCAACAGACCATCTCTCTGTTGCAATCTTCGGAGCAGAGCTATGGCCCTCGTGCGCGTTGCATACTCCCGGCAGGCCGATGCGACCATGTACAATATCCCCAGTGGTGAAGGGGCAAAGTGAAAGACGGCGGCGGGCACTCCTTCTCCATGGTTATTTGGCCTTTTCTCAAATACTTGCTCCCCGATATCGACAATGCGTCTGAGCTTGGGGATGAGCTTGTCCCAGTATAACTCGTTGGCAATGGCCTTGCCTTGGAAACATACTTGTAAGCCGAGTAAGCCCATTTGCAGCATCAGCCACGGCTTCGACTGCCCGTCTTCGTGCCCACCCTCTCGCCGGGCCTGGAGGAGTTTGGCCTTGCAAGCCGACGATCTGCGCAGCCAGGCCTGGCGAATATCTCGGAACGGCTGCCAATTTCCGTTCGCAGAGCCAAGTGCTTGTGCGCGTAGCGCCTCAAGATGGGCGATTTGCAATGCCTGGTACTCGTGGTATGCCTCGGTGATGTTCGTGAAGGGCGTTTTCGGCGACGTGGTGGCAGGACTACTGTGTGCCGGTTTTGGAGGGCTTGAAGCAGGACAGGCCCATGAATACTGGACAAGCAGATTGTCCAGCAGAGAAATAAGAGACCTGACGGAAAGCACGTTGCTGCGAAGCGACTGCTGCCCTCGCTTTGCTCTTTCGCGAAAGTCCCATTTTGCGAATAACTGAAGGCCATGACGGGCAAAGAACTCGACTTGGTTGAAGTTCCCTCGCAGACTGGCGAAGCCCAAAAGAAGCACCGTGGCCATCAAAATGAGCGACTGCTCTTCAAAGCTGGGGTCCGTCTTTTGGGTCGCCTGGACAAGGTGGCCAATGGCTTTGGTGTACTGCTTGAACCCTACGTCGTCGTGGTGATGCGTCGAGCCATCAACGGTCCATGATCTTTGTGTCATTTGCGCGGAAGCGATGGCGAGGGCGGAATGCCAGATGGCGGGATGTAGTTGACAAGCTTGCGGGACATCGACGGACCAAAACGTGCTATCGAATCCAGCAGAAACTTGACCGGCAGTCTCGGCGCAAAACACATGGAACAAGTGTTTCTCTTGTGGTGTTGCCTGCGCATAGATTGGCGTCATGCCGTTCGTGGGCTGCCGATGGCACGCGGCTGCGGACGTGGACGATGAATTCCGGTCGTATCCCTCGCATCGACGACGGGCGGATGTGCAGCGTGTGCAGGATGGCCGATTCTCATCGCATTTGACGCGACGGGAGCTGGGGATGGATTGTTACCACGATGATAACTCGTACCATGTCATGGAAGACCTGGGAGCAGCACGTACCGACAAGTCAGGCAGCCTGTTTTCACCTTGGGGGCCCATCGACGCCGACGCTGCGCATCTGGTTGCTTACCTGGCATTGTCCAAGTTGTTCGCCCGAAATGTGTTATTGTTGTTTTATCTTGTTGGCATGTCGGCTGCTTGTCCTGCTTGGAAGTATGACGACAGGCTGTCTCAGCCGTGATTGAGCAGAAGGGAAACGGGCTTCGTGAGTCCTGCTTCTTTTTCTTTGTGCGTGTAACAAATTTGGGTTTCTGCCGGCTGACGAGTCCATTCTAAAATAATTCCGACGCTCACCGATGTACTCGGTAGTACAAAACGCCATTCGATGTCTCATTCATTGGCGACTGCATCGGTGGAGTTCAGCCCATGTCGAGGTGACATTCGGAGTATTCCATGTCAAGTGATGCGTTCCTAGGTAGTTGACCAGCTGACCAGGGCTCTCTAGAATCGGGAATCCAAGGCGGAAGAGCCTTATTTCATGATAGCCCTGCACATGTAAGCTATGCCTCGCCACCCATGCAGCTTGTTCATCCTCTCTTGATTATGGGGGAGCTTTATAACTTGAGTTGTATAGTTTACGGCAAAAGTACCGGACAGGTTCACCTTGTGCCTCTACAGTATATTAGGTCGGGTTTGTGATGACACTCACGAGGCCTTGTAAGGCCAGACTTTGGCACATTGACATTATGCATATGACATTACAGTTATAAAGCAATAGGTGCACAACCTCATACAGAAATGAAGCCTCTGCATTTGCAATATAGTCCAGGAAAACCCCCGATTAAAGGGGAGAAAAACCTGTACCGAGGCGTCGCGGAAATCCACTCCCATATCGCCAGATTCAACCAAGCCACTGGCTTCCGACGAGAGTCCCAACCCATATTGAAGGGTGCTAATTCCTCGGCGAGCACCGTACGGAACGTCCATAGGGACCTAACTGGTGAGGGCCGGGGTTGAGCGGCGGCAAAATTTTCCCAGTGCATTCTGGGCCGCTGTGCGATATTAATAACATGCACGACTACCAAGTGTGAAGCAAGGGACCTACGTATAGAGGAAGCAACCATAACCGGGATTGACCCTGATGCACTTGAACACTCTACGTTTGCCTTTGTCAGAAGGGAACTTACTTGCCGAGGGTTTCATATGCCTACCTAAGATCAAGGTTGCTACACTCAGTAAAAAGAGTAATAGCTGGAGAACCCGAGCACGTTTCGTTCTCGTAGATCTCAGCCTGCATTATGTGAGACAAACGGTCTGCTTTGGAGGGGCGAAATGACTTACTGCTGTTTTTGGGATGGACTGCGCTTCGTCGTAGTCGTATTGAACGTCGTCGTATTGGGCGACGGCGCCTACAGCGGCCGTTGCAAGAACAAGCAAGTTTGCCAAGAGCATTGTTTCAGCTATGTAGCTCAAGATTTATCGGATGGTGCGAGAAATTTTAAGATGGCGTGATAGATTACAGTGAATAGTATTGGATAAGAATTGAGAGAAAAATATCACCAACTCTGCGAGGTTAGGTAGACATTTATACATTTTCGTCTCCTACTTGTAAGCGCGTAGTGCTCCATTATCAAGGCGGATATATAAGGAACCATGTTACTAGATACCACGTAGTAACTTGTAGTATCCAGAGCAGTCTAGAAGTTGCCGTGTAGGTTAAATGCATTCGAGTCTAAAATGAACCAATAAAATACTAGAAACTATAAAAATAGGTTAATGAATTAACTTCCAAGTTTTTGGTAGTAACCCAAAATTAGCTCTCACAGCCAAAGGCAAATCGCTCCGCGCACCACCAAATGGCAATGGATCCCGGATCACCTTCCTGGCATGCGTCTGGTCTGCCAGGATATGATATCGCTTCCCCCCAATTCTTATGCAACAAGGAAAGTCAGGATAAGCTGAAAATTACAAAAAGGCTTGGCAGTACGTTCAAGTGCGAATTCTGGACTTTGCGTTGGTATGCGTTTAAACTTTGTTGTTTGCCGAGTGCGAATGAATGGAAGCGGAGGGGTCTCCTGTCTTTTAACTCAAACGTCATTTCATCTCAAATCTCTGATCAATATAAAGACAATTTTAATACAGGTGGGGACTTGCCCAGAGTTATCAGCCCTCCAGTAACCTTTTGCTCTAGATTTACGCCGACTTGTAGACAAGGTTATGGATGGGTCGTAGACTGGTTGGTGTAAATCCGGCAGATTACCAGATCCGGCGCTTCACCCGAAATCCCTTTTAAAACTGCACTGAAGTGTTGATTCCGGCCAAGTTTTGCCGACCTGAAAGTATTAGTCTGCATAACAGTAGGAGGAAAACGGTGCCTATCACTTTAACCCAATCCCTGTATTATATAAGTCGTTACCGGGTGACGTCAATAATATCCCACTGCGTGCCGCGTTCCAGGTTTAGTTTTATACCGTAACTTACTTAAGTGCGGAACCTAAATAAGAAGCCCCCGTGAGGAACGGGATGATAATATGGAGACTAAAGTTCACCGTACAAGACGGCAGAACGTTTGACGTATACTATTCGGTTAGGGCTATGCCAAGATTCCCGAGGCCGACGTTTCCCAAATCCGTCTCGCGGCATGAAACTCTCCAAGAGCAAGCCGCTGAGTACACCTGCGCATACCTGATGCGCATATTTTGTCTGGTATGAGTCGATCGTTCTGTCGCTGTAGTCGAGAATCTAGAGTACTACAGTGTTGATGGCTGAAGGGCTAGGAATTGTGCCGTGGTTATACCATTTACCTCCCACAGATTCCCATTACTTGCCCCTTTACGTCAAGTGTATCGAGCCGGATGTTTCCTTTTGCATCCGACTCTTGCGTACATCAGCCTCGTTCTCGGTAGACCACTCAGAGTTGTGACGACATGTATACCGGGCAAAACGCTTTAATCCTGCGAAACCCAAAGGCCTCATGTACCAGCGACCATAATGCAATCCGAGGTTGATGACTCTCCATGAGATGCATGTATAGTCAAGCTAATGTTGGCGAAAATCGGGCGTAAAAGGCGCAAAACAGTCTGTTTAATATAACATCTGTGCCCCGTGTCTCGGAGAAGACATCCGAGCCCTTTTTGAACGATGCTGTACGACGGAAGAATACTTCAGGGCACTCCTGTCTGGAGTATTGCAGCAAAGAACTATGGGCAGAACGCCATATAATTTTCTAAACTAGGCTATTTACAGCACACAAAACTTTAATGTAAAACGGAACCCAAGTCACGACGATTCAACTACATTATCCTGATGCTGTCTGCTGGTTTCCCATAGCAGCTCCCTTAACCTCTCCAACAGCCTCTCCAATATCCACTCGCTCTCCTCTTTCCTGCTAAGCAGAGGGCTTTGATTCCCAACCCATGACCATTTAAGCGGAGAGGCATTGTTTCTAGTTGGCTGCTGGTTCCGCTCAGTCTGGTTCTCGTCGTCTTCATCATGTCGCTGCACACTCGGCTGACGATGGAGCATCTTTGTCCCTGCTGAACCGATCTTGTTTATCGGCCTCGTTCGCTCTTTCGTCCTCACCTCACGATGGGCGTCTGGGTCGCGCTCGTCCTCGCCGATCAAACGCAAATACCACGCCCAGTCCTGGAACGTGTACCTTCGATGCCTGTCGTCACGGATAGTCTTCGCCACCGTCTGTATTTCAGATATGAGCAGAAAATGCAAGTCGTCCCCTGTGGGAAGATTTTCAAGTTTGGCGTTGCAAGTAGCAGCAAATCCTTGTGCTGGGGTAACCTGTCTCGGTGCATGGCTGCGCGAAGACCCTGGACTTCCCGTCCAGGAGGCCAAGGTTTTTGAAGTGCTGTTGTCAATATCGTGGCTTTGGCCATCCCTACCCTTTCGCTTGGATACTCTCGGCTCTGGAGTCCCTCTCGGTCGAGCGGTTCTCTTCTCCAAGTCGAAACTTTCTTCTGCTTCAGACCCGGAATACAAGTAGCCGCAGCTCAGTTGATGCAGTAGTTGCTTCATATTGTGGCCGAATCCACCACGCCCAGGTAGGAGAGTGATGCTTCCTACTCGGATTGTAACATCATTGATAACCCTGATGACTGTGTCGCCCGCATTGGATATAAGGATGGTGAGAATCGGTAGAGCGATCAATGACCAGAAAACAAAAAACGACTTCCCGGCGTTAGACTTGGGAACCAGATCGCCGTAGCCGATTGTCGTAAATGATACGAAACAAAAATAGACAGCATCAAAGTAGGTCCAGCCTTGGCCTGTCTTCTCGCATCTATAAAAGACGACGGCGCCACAGAGCCACAGGCAAAGCCAGGACACCGCCGAGATAATTAGTGCTGTCCATCTTCTCCGAGAGGACGCCCTTTTTTGTATGGCACGCATTAATCCAAACTCCAAATAACGCCGCTCGAGCTCTCTGATCGAGACATCGGCGGGTGAATCACCGCACTCAAGGGGTGTCAACATGTCGCCCTTTCCCTTGCGAACAAGTTTCCGCAGGGCGTTTAGACGGCTCTGCTCCTCTGCCCGCGCATCGAGGCGCTGGCTCCCACGCTCGACGATCATACTTCGGATCGAGTTAATGACAAGGCCGAGGCTAGTAATACCAATAAGAGCATAAGGCATCAGCAAAGCCTGCGCAAGTACCGTGTTGGGGGCGATGTCGCCAAAACCAATGGTGAAAAGCGTTACATTAGCCCAGTAGACGCCGTCTAGGTAATTCCAGTCTTCAAGTTTGGAGAACAAGAGGGCGCCTAAAAGTAGGAACGTGAGAAATGTCATGGTTTGCAGCATGAGCGTTCGCTGACTGTGACTGAGATTAAAGTCTTCCTCGTAATGGCCATGTAGTGAGCCCCAGAATGTAATAACCAGTATTGACGCTGCGACAAAGTATAAAATGGCAGACCATATACCGTAGTAGAAAGCCTGTGACCATATCTTCTCGTCTGCGGATATCCCCAGGCTGTTGAGTAGGGGACCAGATGCGATCGCATGAAGACACACGAGGCAAATGGCAGAAATATACCTCATGGCGCTTTAGCATGCTTTGCCGTGCGGAAGACTATGGCGCCTTACCAGCCTATTATTGTGATTGGTTCGGCAATGGTGAAGCGAACCTTTCTCGTCATGTCTAACAGGAGGAACATGTTTGACACGAGAGCTAAGAACAGCTGTATGGCTTTCAGAGCCGTTAACCTGCGCAAGCGTGCCGGCAATTAGCGCATCATCTCGTAGATTCTTGCCCGCGATTACCTACCAAGCTGGGTCGGAAATAAGGTTCACTTCGTTCATATTGGTGGGTGAGGAAATTGGTTGCACCCATGACTGGCATAGGGAGCAAATACTAAATGCCGACGCAATAGGACCTAGATTTCCTGCAATCATGGGGAAAACGGATGACACGAGCCACCAGCGGCTGAAAAATATATGAGACATGATTAGCATAGTACCAATTTTAAGAAATTCTAATTTAGTGTTAAAGAACCTCAAGTCAAATCGAGAGTCATCATTTTGGACCCGGCCTTCTGGCTGATCATGATACGATCTTGGATCTCGATGCTTGGCCTTTTTTTCTTCTGGCTGAGTCATGATTCTTATTTCCGATAGTGAAGAAACTCTGTCGCAAATCGCCTCGAAAGTTGACAAAGATGTCTGGGTCGGAGAGATGGTTTTGATCAACGGCGAAAATGCTGATTCGTAGGACGGAGCTGTAGGCTGCCCAACTATTCTGCTCTGATACTTTGTGGCTGCTTAGAAACTCGGTAGACACGGGCATCATCGACTCTGATGTGCTTGCATATTCACCCGGCGACTATAAGAGATCCCGTAGCGCTCTCAGGTTGAGATGCCTCTTGCGCACTACAGGGTACGGTACGATTCCATGCGTCGAAGCATAGAACGTTTGTTGATATAGCGCATCAAAAATTGACGGTTCGGATTAAGCAAGTTGACTCTCGTGCTCCGTCCAGGTTTGGTGTTGAGCACCTGAGCAGGCGTAGAACAGTCTGGCCCATATAGAACGAACCACACAACTCAGCTTCAGACCGCCACAAATCCGGAGACTTGGAGTGGGTCACTATGAAGTGATGGCAAATAGAAGACGCAGCACTATGAGTGGCTTTAACGTTCCAATAATATGAGGTTTGGGGATATAAGCTTCGCTAGCGTAAACAAGCTTTCGCGTTAAAAGTACCTAGTGGTTGCTTGCAGAGCATCTGCCTCAGCCAGTGACTTTTGAATACCTTTCCATATGAGCTAGGTAGCTCTAAACTGCAAATGTCTGGTGTTTGCCTATTCTTTCGGTTCCGCTGAATCGTGTTGCATATATTGTCGCAACCGTAACCCTAGCCGCATCTTTAAGTTAAATTTACGCTACTTACTATATCAGACTATTGTTCTGCCAATCAAAATCGCCAACAAGTCGCGGTTACTGGTTTGGGACGCAATACATCTTCGCCAATGTACAATCTAACTCAGGGTGAGATAAGTCTTCAGCGGCACGATTATTAGAATCATCTGTTAAATCTTAAACCTATCTTGTAAACAATCCTTTGACATACTTTATAACTAGCCTCCAGTTATTTTCTGTGCTTCATCGTCGAGTCCAGAGAATCTTTACTGCCAAGCCTAGGCGTTCTCGCAAAGCCAGAGTTCTTTAGTTCAATGTTGTTATTAATCATATCTTCGCTGCATTGTCCGACTCGGATACTGTAATTAGCTAGATGCCATGGCGAAAGAACCATCCTTTGCTTACGTGTGTCCCAATACGTGTCTTAGTACTAGAATCATGCCGTGCGCGACGTTTCTCCTATCCACTGCTAGCAACAGCTGGAGGATAGAAATTATGGACCGATCGACCTAGTTTCCCATCAACTTGATGTTATTAACGCGTCTCCATCAATGTCCTGCCCGAGCTTGATCAAGCCGCCGAATGAGGTCCACAGCCCGCCAAGGTTGAAAACGACCCCGATCATCTCCAAAGTTTTCATGCTCATCGTTCGATATGGCAAGGAACTCATCTCTTCTGTATTTTATAAGCAACTCTACGACTCCCTTCCATTGATAAATGTTTCTCGCGCCGGCCATCATCATTCTTCGCGTGATAGGGTGCTGCTTAAGAAACGGCTGCACTTGCTCATACCTCAAATAAGAACGCCACTGCTTTTGGACCAAGCTTGCAGTCGTCTGATTATCATCTCCTTGCTGCTGGACTAGGACATTCATGAGGTCATATCCAGCCCAGGAGTTCTCTAACAGAGACTCGATTACTTCCTCTGTTAATGGAACATCGCCGCCTCGCTTGTCCAAAATGACGGCCATGATTTGATCTCCGCCTTGCCGATTCCTTGCAACGGCCAAGAGTAAATGTGGTGTTATTGGGACTGCATTTTTAACCTTGTCGCGAACGAATTTCGATATTGTTTCGTTGCAACTAATCCATGCAAGTGTCCCCTCCGTGATAAGCACGTCACCACCCGTAGGGAGAAGAAATTGGGCTACTTTCTCGTGGCCATTCACTGCGGCTTCGTATAATGGCGTGTTTAACTGGTGTCGATAACCACATCTAACGTTCACATTAGCACCGGCTGTAAGAAGCAGACCAGACGAGTTATCCTGTAGTAGCCAAATCCCACAGCGATGTGAAGAGCCGTACTGATGTCGCCAGAATTAGCACCAGCGCCAACAAGCATACAGGCTATTTCGTAATGGCCGCGGTATGCTGCCCTGCATATAGGTATACCAAAATGAGTATGCATATTAACATCGGCACCCCCAGAAATGAGCATACGTATCATCTGACGATGATTTCCATTTATCACACTATACAATGGCGTCATGACGGCCTCATCACCAGCTGACGAGACTCGATCGCCCAGACATGCAGGAAATTTTATGGGTCCTGCAACATCGAGACCAGCTTTATTGGCAATCTCGTTGGGTATCACAGAGCCTCACTCTTCTTACTCTCCTCTTGTGCGCCAACATGGTGATTTCAGTCTACTTGCGCAGGCGTGCTGAGGCAGCCAACATTGACATCGAACCCCAAAGACCCTAAGCTTAGTCCGCTTGACGCCCCAGTAGCCTATCACTTTCCGTATCTACTGTTAGGCGAATCATGGTCGTTTTCCTTCAAAGCTCGGTGGGAGGCCTCAAAGTAGGCGCAGTCTACCCCATCATTGCCGCACGGTTCCATGCCCAAAGACCGCTCTATTCGCCTCCTCATGGGTATGAGGCCATATATTCCTAGAAATACATGTACCTAATGTATCTGGTTTATTTCAAACACTTCAAGACGAGTACCTTGCTGACGAAGGCTGGACTGTCTCCTTTCAAAACCACGCTGATCAAGTTCGCCTTGTCTGGGCACTGGCGTCCCGATATCCCTCCGTCTTACGGATCTAAACTGTTGCACTAAAGCTAGGATTAGTTTACAGTTGCCTGCTGATTCAAGATTTCCGGGCCAGTAAACCTACGACAAAGTGAACGCCGCAAATACCGATACTTGTCGCGAAAACCAATAATCAAGATGCAACAATCGCCAAACCTGAAGAGATACCTAGTCGACAACGCGAAAGATGATCTGACAGATACAACAGCAAAGAGAACAAAAGCAAGCTCCGGCAATAATGGGGCCCAAGAATGCAATGCTAAACGGCAGTTAGCAAACGATGTATATACAGTGGGATGGATATGTGTGCTTCGTTCAGAGTTGAATGCAGCAAGAGCTTTGCTAGATGAAGAACATGATCGGGTCCAAAACCAAGGGGGTAATGCTTTAGTCTTGGCAGAGAAAATTCTATGCTGGGTCGTTTATGAAAGAAGGGTGCTTTCTATAGTCGAACTCCAACATGCACTCGCCATCCAGCTGGGAAAGTCGGAACTGGATGAGAAGTCCAGAGGTGATTGGCTCAGTCTGCGCAGGTCTAGTCACCATCGACAAAGACAGTGATACCGTCCGACTAGTACATTACACGGCCCAGACCTACTTTGAGCGATCATGGACAGAGTTCTTTCCAGGCGCGCATACCAACCTTGCAAAACTTTGCCTCACCTGTTACACGGAAATCGCCCTGTTACACAAGGGCTACGGTCACGGGATCAGGGCAGAAGGTCCTCACCGACTTCTTATATAAATAGACGTCTTCGGTCCCTCAAGGCCTTGAGGAAAACCAAGGACCTTTGATACCAAAGACTGTTATTAGTTGAATTGAGCTATTGCTCCAAGCCCTCTTTCTGAGCCCTTGTCACATCACCTATGTCTCGTTTAGTGTCTTTGAGAGTGGATTTTGTAAAACGGACAAAGACTTCAGAAGGCGGCTACAGACCAACAGGTTTTATGACTATGCCGCAGGAAATTGGGGCTACCATGCTTATGGTGCCTCGAGTGATGTGGACGGACTAATCCTGCAATTTCTGGAGAGTGGTGGTAAAAGGTCCAGCTCTACCCAGGTGATAATACCGGACGAAGACGACTATTGCTTCCACGATTGTCTCTCCGAGTTAACCGAAATGACAGGATTACACGTTGCGGCATATTTCGGACTACGGACGTCAATAATAGCCTTGCTCGAGGGCGGGTATAGGTATGAGGCAGACATCAAGGATAGCCACGGACGGACACCCCTGTGGTTGGCAGCAGAGGAGGGTCACGACAAGGTGGCCGGTCTGCTTCTTGAGAACGGGGCTAGCCCCAATCCCATTAACGACTATGAAAGAACGCCGTTGTGGTTGGCGGTGAAAAAAGGGCACGAGGTGGTTGTCAAGCTGCTGTTGGGGAACGGCGCCGACGCAGACCTGAGGCGAACTGGATTTTTCGATAATGGAGTCACGCCACTGCACCCGGGGGCAGAGAAAGGGTCCGATACAATAGTTAGGCTACTACTGAAGAGTGGCGCCGACCCAAACGTTAAAGACTGTCATGGCCGAACACTGCTATTGATGGCTTGCGGTAGAGGAGAAGCATTACGAGGTAGCTAAGCTACTGCTAGAGAGCGTCGCGGATGTAGAGCCTAGAGAGTATGAGGGACGAACACTACCATGGCAAGACATGGAAAAGGAGCACTACGACATGGTCAAGCTACTGCTCGAGAACGGCGCGGATCCAGACTCTAAGAATGATCAGGGGCGAACACCTCTATGGCTTGCAGCAGAGAATGGCCACGATGCAATGGTCAAACTGCTGCTTTATCATGGCGCCGACATTAAAGTAAAGGATACTTTCGGCCAGGCGCTACATACATGTGCTATTAGATATGGACACGAGTCTATAGTTAAGCTGCTACTTGATAATGGCGCTGGCATGGAAGCAAAGAGTACCTACGGCTAGATGCCGTTTTGCATGCTACTAAATGTAAGTAAGAGCACTGGCTATAATTGAGGAGCTACTTGAGAATGGTGTGGTTGTAGAGTTACTGGAGTAGAGGCAGAGTCAGACGCCGGCATTGCTCGCATCACTTCACGGCAGTTATCGAGAAGTCAAAGTAACAATTGGCGCCTACCAATCGGATGCCCAATCTGGATCAAAGGATAGTACATTTAGTTTGATCCCTATCTACTGCGTAATAATATACTGACACTCTTCAGTTGTGACATTTGTATCAGAATAGAATGATATTGATTCCTCCTACCGGCATCCTTGTAGTTGCCCACTCAAGACAACGCCGGCTTCACAACTTGTGCGGCATCATAAAGACCCTTGGAAAACTCGTCATGAACCGGCGCGCCAAGCATCCACGTCGCCCTCACACCGTCCTCTTCCTTATAGTCCTCAATCGAATTCACAGCCACGACGGTTCCAACGCCCGTCTCCTCATTAAACTCTGCAAAATGCGGCCCGCCGCTAGAGCCGCCGCTCTGTACGCTCGGAATACCCGTCGTCTCGTGGTCGAAACGCCACCAGTCCTCAGCGGTCCCATGGCTCACGGCGAGTCGGCGGCCAGTAAAGGCCGGCGTGCCATACCGGTAGGTGTCCTTTGGGCCAAACGTCACCGAACGCGTGTATCCCATGATGTAGCGTGTGCCGTACGGCGGGTCGATCTTCTTGAACTGAATGTCCTGCGCCGGCGCCGTCGCGTCCGGTCGGTTGAGCACGATGAAGGCGCGGTCGTCGACAAAGTAATCGCGGTCGTCGATCCAGCGACTGGACAGGAACGCGCGGGCAATGGTGAAGTTGGCGCGCGGCACGTCGTCGTGGTATCCCGGCACGAAGAGCAGGTTGGCGTGCCAGCTGAGCGACATTTCGCTCCCGGGCCCCTGGCGGCCGGTGTGGATGCAGTGAGCGGCCGTGACGAGCGTGGCCTTGTTTTGGCTGCGGAGGAGCGTTGCCGTGCATGTGCTATCGTGAAGTGAGCCGTTTGCCATGTGGACCGAGTAAAAGAGCCGGCCGACCGTCGACGGGACGGCGCCTTTGCCCGAGTACTCTTGCCCGAGCGGTTGGAGCTCGGGGGGTATCTCGGGCGGGTCGGATGGTGAGTACGGATTGTGGTCTATGGCCAGGATGCGCTCGGTTGTCCAGTAGCGCTGGATCTCGGCCTCCATCTCGGCGCTGGTGGCCTGGGCCTGGCTTGCGATGGTTTGTGTGTACGACGATGTTGTCTCGGCCGACGGCGGGCTTGGGGCCGGGTGGGCGAGAGCCAGGCCTGCTACAAAGGCAAGGGATATTGTGGAGTGCTTCATCTTGGCAGTTTTTCGCAGCAGAATGAATATATAAAATGCGTCTGGTACGAATGCTTAGTTGTTGCTGGGCTCGACACACTTGGCTAGGCATAGGAGCATGTCATTTACTTATAGTCCATAAGTTCCCGGGGATTCCTGTCTAACAAATTAACTATAAATAACCATTCAAGGCTATCTTGGCTAACCATAAAATTATCCACCCTAATAGTCAATGCACATTGCGCCATGCAGCTCGTATTGGGCTGGTTCGTATTAGTAACACCTTGCCCTGGTATTTCCTTGGCAGGGACAACATAAGTTTGCCTTGCTGAGAGGAAAGCCGCGATTTAAATTGAGGAGCATGGGTCCTCCTCGTGTTTCAATGCTTTCTGAAAGTTGATTAGACAAAAACCGAAGCAGTTCAAGTTACTGCAGCGGCAAGGGGTTGCGCGGACGACTTCCGACTTTGGTGAAATACTGGAACTAATGCCGAATGCCATGGCCTACCACTGGCTCCTTAATGCATACATACAACTTTATTGGCAAGTTGGACCTATAATTAACCTCGCCCACACTTAACCCTGCAGACAGCGCCAAGGCAGCCAATACCAGCGAGAAGACAAGTCGTCACGAAACGCCGGCTGTTCAAGAACACGTCCTCGGCCTCACTTGCCTTTTTGGGTTAGCTTAAGTTACATTGGTCCTTATAAGAGCCACTTATTTTATAGTGAGTTAATTTGAGAATCCTTAGGCCTCCAGGCTCGCTTGCTCACAAAAGAGTTATCCGCCCTTGAAGGTCTTGAGAAAATGAAGTGCCTTGAATATTGAAGGGAATTATTAGCTAAATACGAGTTTATTTTAAGCCCTTATATACCGGCCCTTGTCATACCACAAGAAATTATACGCTGTGTCCAACACATTACAAGTCAGAAATCCCAAGGGGTAATTTCACGTGCGCCCAGAGTAGACGTCCACGGCAAACATCTAGTAATACATGTCTTTACTATGAGCAATAAAACAACTTGATTGCTCTTCACCTTTCATCCTCGCTTCGCTTCTCTTCCCCTGGAAGTTGAATGGGGTCTGCTTGATCTTTTCACAAACCAGCCACTACCAAGAGATTTCTCTCCTTATAATTTGTGGGATGCCTCTCAGGGGACTGTGGCGGGTCTGTACTTGAGTCTCCCGCTGTCGTGCGAGGTGTATTACGTTGTAGTCGTGTGCCTTGATGTAGAGCTATTTTTCTGAGCCAGTATCTGGTTTTCTGAGTCATTTAGCTGCATCAATCCGTTTTGCTCGGTGTGTTAAGTGTGGAGTCTACTCTAGCTGGAGAACGTGACACTCAGTCTATTACACCCGGTTTTGCTGAGGATTTTGAGCCTAGATTAACAATCTCTTTCAGCCTTGTTTCTCCGAGTTAGATTTTAACAAGCTATGGTAGTTTCTTTGCTCTTATTATACAGCAAAGGACGTGCTTGCGTAGCCCTGCCTCTATACTATCCTTCTCCCAGATTCAACTACATATGCAGATTTCATAACTCGAAAAGAACTGATTCGCGCCCGAACTGACAACAGACTTCTCCTACTACAAATTTGGCTGGGCAATTTGTGCAAGGCCCATGCTCAACGGCTTGGTCACACAGATACCTTGGCTCATGTACTCCATAGACATCAATTGATAGTTGGGCGGACACTTGACCGAGGGAGGAAGCAAATGTCGCCACCCCTCAGTTGGAACCGAGCATATTACATCAACATTATAACGAATTAGCCTGTGACCCTTCCAAGCATGCATGTTTCTGCGTAACTGTAGAAGACGCCTTCTCATGCGCTTGACTAGTGCAAACCCGGTTGTGCAACAGTTCTCAAGGCACCCACGGCCACCTTGCTTCCACTTGACGTTTCCACAACCTCGCGGCTAGATCCCCGCCAGCCTTGCTCTTGAGCCATGGTTCCATATGTACATATGTAGCATCATCTCCAAGCCAGTAAGTGTCCTCGGCCCACAATTGGTGGTTCGATTCAATATTCAGCTCTTGCTATACTGCGGCTAGTTCCATTTATACATTCAATGTTTCCTTGCTGCTTCTCATAATAGGGTCGTATCGCCAAGCAACATCACAGATTCAACTGCCCGTTATGAATGATACCCTACCTACCTTGCGTATCAATATATATTCCTTCTCAACACACCCATACCACATTTTCGAATCCAGCTATTGGTTATGCATAGTGTTAAATCACAGCTTGGCAGCAGCCAGGGCCGTGGCCAGTCAATAGTCCCAGATAGCACTGGAGCTTCATGCTGCGGATCTACGCCACAATAAAAGTAGTGGCTGACTTGTAGTGTCCCCTTAAAACACGTAATAAGATATGTAAGAACGGCACAGATACAACTCAGGAATATATTAGGTATATTCCAAGTCCCCTTCCCCGCTTTCGCTGGTGCTTGCTTGGGATCAGGAGCGGCAGAGAGCATGGGGGCATTCTCTGATAATCCTGCGGCGGATGCTGCGGACATCGGAGTTAACCGCAAGCTAACTTTTTTGGTAGTCAGATGTCTTTAAGCGGCAGTCAAAAGAACTTGGAGATAAATGCTATTTTAAACTCCTTTCCGCTTCCTGCTTATTGTTCGAACACGTCACATGGTTGGCTAGCGTTGAGTTTCTTGGAAGCCTGGCATCATTACAATTTCCATACATCAAGCTACACCGCTACCGACCCTCTCGTCCTCCCTGTCATGGCCGTTCCACCAAGCTGCACCGTTCTTGTCATTGGAGGAGGCACCGCAGGTTCATATGCTGCTGCAGCTCTAGCTCGCGAGGGTATCGAGACCGTGGTACTGGAGGCAGATAAATTCCCCAGGTTGGTGATAAAAGCGGTTTTCAAGGAGTCCCGGTCTTGCGTCAAATACCTTGCTTGGGCTCACTCCCCTTGACGCAGATACCATATCGGAGAAAGCACGCTTCCTTCTCTCCGCCACTTCTTCAAGTTCATAGACTTTTATGACACTGTTGATGCATATGGGTTCTACCACAAGGTACCAAGCAGTCTTCATTTTTTCCACTTGAATGAAAAATTGACAAGGCAATACTAATCATAGAACGGTGCTGTTTTTCGACTCGCTCAAGCTCAACCCGATGCCTGCAAGTCTCCTTCTCCTGCTTGTCCTTGAATCTCAGACATCTACCCATTTCACAAATAAGCTAACATCTACCAAGACACCGACTTTCTCGAGGCAGGCGGCCCTGATGGATACGCCTGGAACTTGATTCGCTCCGAGTTCGATGACTTGCTCTTCAAGCACGCTGGCACCTGTGGCGCTCAAATCTTTTCCGAAACCAGGGTTGACACGATTCAATTCGAGCCAGTGGCCAATGGATTGAAACCAGACAATAGGAACCTTGAAGACCACTTGAATCCTGGCCGGCCCGTGTCTGCCACGTGGGTGCGCGAAGATGGCACTTCCGGATCAATCACCTACAAGTACCTCGTGGATGCTAGCGGAAGGCAAGGTATCCTGAGCACCAAGTATTTAAAGAACCGCAAGTTCAACAATAATTTCAAGAATGCCGCCATATGGGCGTACTGGAAGAGTGACAATGTGTACGGTCCGGGGACACACATGGAAGGTTCGCCCTATTTCGAGGCATTAGACGGTGAGTTTCTCACGACTGGATTTGCCTACATTCTCAGGCATTCGCTCTCAAGTGCTGGCACTAATCAACAAACAGATGCCAGCGGATGGGCCTGGTTCATGCCGCTACACGATGGCACTCGCTCCGTCGGCATTGTCCAAGACCAGAAAATGGTGACTGAAAAGAAGCACGAGCTAGGCCGTCCTTCAACCCTGGACTTTTACAAGCAATGCCTAGACATGGCTCCCAGGATAAGAGAACTTCTCTCAGAGGCCGAGCTTATTCCTCATGTCAGAGCCGCCTGTGACTGGTCCTACACCGCGTCTACATATCACTTGCCGAATGCGCGTATCTGCGGAGACGCCGGGAGCTTTATTGACCCCTTGTTCTCCTCGGGCGTCCACCTCGCCATAACAGGGGGTCTCTCGGCGGCAGCTACCATTTCGGCCTCGATCCGCGGCGACTGTAGCGAGGCGGCGGCGGGCTCGTGGCACTCCAAGAAGACGGTCGAGAGCTACACTCGCTTCTTCTTGGCGGTGAGCAGTGCTACCAAGCAAATTCGCACACAATACGAGCCTATAATCAAGGACATGGACGAGAAAGGGTTCCAAAGGGCATTTGATCTGTTCAGGCCTAGTATGAAGTGCCCAAGACTAACATATCCACCAGGTGCAGTCGTTTAACTAACTTTTTTTTTCGTCTTAGTTATTCAAGGTACTGCTGATGCCGACGAGGCCGGCAAAGTGTCGCAACTGGAAATCTCCAAGATTCTCCAGTTTTGCTTCAAGGCTTTTACTTATGTTCCGCCGGAGAGGAAAGACGCCCTGTTTGATAAACTTAGGAAACTTGACTCCAAAGCTTTACAGGACGATGCGAAACAAGTTCAGACTCTTAACGGTATAGAGAAGTATCTTACGGCAGATGAGTTGCAGATACTAGAGATATTACGAAGTAGGCGTATGATTCGTGAAGACCCCTTCGAGATGGATAGCTTCTCGCTCGACACTATCGACGGAATGGCGCCGAAACTAGTGCGCGGTAGTCTGGGGCTTGTCAATTATGAACAGGTCAAGATTGACAAAGCTCACTTTTATTCGCAGGACTTTTTGGATGGCAATTGCCCGGGAATTAGAGAGGGCAGTGTCCATCTGCCTACTTCCAGAGTCCAACTAGGATGATTAGTCGATAATGTTGAAAATAAGCAGTAAAATGTAATTACATCGCCTCGTGTAGTGGAGTGAGTGTTGCCTGTAAAGTTCAACATGGAGAAAGGGAGTATTACCCGGGCAGGTTTTACTGGACAGATACCTATGGACTGTGTGAAATGGTCCCGAGTTACGATGGGCTCGAAAGGCTGTTCTGCGGCTACACGAAACTTTATGATTATTGTTTGGTGATGCCGCTTATACCACCCTCGAAGGCTTCTAGCGGTAGGTGAAAGGCATATTCCTCATAGTCAAGTTCCTGGCCACTATGTGGCATACCATATTATACTGCGAGGTATGGACGTGCACCCAACTGCAAGCAAGTGTACACCGCGATTTGTTGTTGTTTGTGGTCGAACGGCTAACGTGCAGCCATGGGCTCCGTATTAAACACTACATATATACATGTAAATACAAGGCCAGCTCCTGGCTGCGAAATTCCCTAGTAAACAACTACTATCTTGTGCTCAATATCGGTCCTAGTCTCGTCGTACCATTAAATTGCCAGCGTGTATATCTCGGTCCCTCGCTCCTAGTCCCACATCTTCCGCCTCGCAATCGGCAGAAGCCATCACCAGGGTTTGACATATGCCTCTCACATTACAGGTCGGGACACGTCATGGGCCGTTGGACGTTGAACCCCCGTGCATTACCCGAACAAGCCGCTATTCGCACCCATCTTAGGGCTCGTTGCCGAAGTGAAAAGGTCTTTGCCATGATTGCTCGCTGCAGGCTTTAGATCGTCTCCAACCTAGCAAGTCCATGTACTCGGGCGACCAAATTTCAGTTCAAACACCCACAAAAAAAACCGTACATATGGAGAAAATGTTGAATGTCCCCTCTCTTCGTGGCCGCAAGCAAATTCGTTCCGTAGAGGCCCCGATATCGCAGGACTTGAAAGTGTTTCATAGAATCGGAAAATCAAGTTGGTTGTCATAGTTGATATTCTTCTCGTGGCATTCAACCCGATCACGACAGGTACCAAAGGCCCGATCCCAAAGGCGCGTTTGCTTCCCATAATTACCGCTGCGCTTCCAGCCCTTGCGATGATGTAAATCATGATCTTCAAGTATGAGCTCTGCATTTAGCACCCGCAGGAACCAGTTGAATATATTCGGCGGCGTGGCTACCATTCGGACACCACTATGCCCTGCCAACTCGGCGAAAACGACGTACTGGTGGCAAATCCACCATTCGTAAAAGCCCATCGGAAAGCCTAGCGTCCTCATAGCAAAATAGGTGATTAGAGGAATTCCAGCAATGTCAAATATCTCTTGCTCAGTATCGGCGTACAACGTTAATAGCGGGTTAGGGTGCTTGGTCAGGTGGTGCGTGCGATGAAACTTCCAGAGCCCTTCAACGTCGTGCATAAGCCGGTGGTACCAGTAGAAGAAGAAGTCGAGAAGAATTCCGTAGCATCCCACCTCAAACGGAAGCCAGAGGAAGGCCATGGACGTCGGTGGGTTGCGAGTGTTGTAGCTGATGTAGACGGTAAAGGCTGGTCTGACGAGTGATGTTAGGACGAGGGAGTAGAGGACTTTGCTGACGCTGGCGTCCGGTACGCCATCGCGCTCGTGTACATCGCCGTCAAGGAAACCGACCCTGTGTCCTAGTGCGCGTAATAGATGAAGTTCACGGATAGCGTTGAGGTTGAAGGCGGCGCTGTATAAAAGCCCTGCCTGCCAGGCGGTAAGGTTGTGGCCGGTATATACGACGTATAGGTGGTGCAGGGCGATGGGAATAAAGGCGTGGGTGAGAATCCAACGATGCTGATACCAGTCGTTTAGATACGGCACCTTGTCTGTCTTTGGATGCACCGGCACGGCCTTGTCAAGTTGAACCGGGTGAATGTCAAAGATGTCGTAAACCCAGTGGAAAATAGTCCACTCGGAGCGGTCTTTCTGTCGCCAGGTGGACTTTATCGACTCTTTTGGGTTTCTTTCCATGTTGATTGTGTTTGTTTTATGAGATGAATGTTTGCTTTGCGTTGAGTGATTGTTGCTTCAAGATGAGGGGATTTATAACTCTGTCTGTCAAGCTGAAACCGCCGTCACATGTCGCCGCTAGTATAGCGCAGTGCATGTGAAGGCCCGACATGACGTCGTGTGTGACTAGACGGGTTGCGCGTTGACGCGTTTACAATTCGGCATGTTTGACAAGTCGTCGTCATGTCTGCGTGGCCTCGATTGTTGGAGGTGGAAGCCGAGTATCCATGTTGTCACGGGCCGGTTTTGATGAAGAGCAAAAGATGGCTGGGTGACACGGCTACCGCATCCGGATTTGGAATTGGAACGATGTATCCACGGCCATGTTCAGAGTACGATGCTCCCTGCATGTTTCTCGCCCTAGTTTTTGTCACGCACGGCAATTGATTCCGTCTCTCGGGCTCGCTCGACTGTGGCTGTATCGGGCATCAAGGCCGCGGCATCGATGGCATCGAATCCGACAGCCGTGGGGCGAGTCCAAAACTTGGTTCTTTGCCGACCCCAAGACGACTCTGCCAACGATGCCCGACGAGAAGTCGACGGCGAAAATACTTCAGCTCTGGAGTCCGGTCCCGACCCTAATGCGCCTCCACCACCGACGGACCAGAGGTCCACGCGATCGAGTAGTTAAACGCCCCCCGACCTATGCCAGCACCAGCTTTGCTTCGGACGAAGGTGAAGGAACATGATTCCGACTCGACAAGGTCCCCTGCCATAGAAGCCAACAAGCGCCGCGGCGAGTGTGTCAAGCTGCGCGCATGTTACCGTGTCCGTTGGTATTCGACAAGCTCGGGCAATAACGAGTTCCTTGCAACGTGTCAACTCCTCGTCAGTCGTGACACGCTTAGACTAGCATTGGCAAGTGTGAGACTAGTCATCAGAGCTCGTGACGAGATGGCCTTCCACAAGAGGACGGGTTGGTATTGGCACGGCGCCGATTCCGGCCCGAGTTCCATGGCCTTGGGTCGCATCGGGGACGAGCATGGCAGAACTGGTGAGGTGCAGGTGAAGAAGTTGGTCAAGCCTGCCACCTTCGACTAAGGAAGCACGAGTCAGCCTGAGCTCGGCGATACTTTACCTGAGACACCAGACTTGGACCTACCCCAGTCGCATAGACGCAAGCGCGAAGCGCACCGGTGTGACGTGATTTTGTGTGCGGGCCTGGGAGATGTTGACACAATTTGGTAGGCCATCTATGTGGAAGTTGCCAAGTATGTATTATTGATCCTTATCCGTTACGCTTTACTGGCTTTAACGCGAACAGGATAACCAGACGCTTTTGTATTGGTATTAATACAACTGGGAATATTAAAATAACTATATAGTATAAGTTATATTTGTTTATTAATTCATTATTAAAAAATACTTGTATTATATATTATAATAAAAAAATAAGTACAAGGCTATATGTAGCTTGTTATTTGCCAATATGCTATTGATTTCGCTTTACTTGGCCACGAATTTTTGTCCCGCGTTGCCCCAGTGCCAATAATGCTTTGTTCGACACGGTGGCCTAGCGTCCAGAAAAGTATAAATCGTCGGCTGCCACCAAGCAGATATACAACACAATAATCTATTCATCCCAACTTGTCAATGCAAGCCCGCTATTGCTCCGCCGCATATAAAAGTCAAGTGCACATGACTCGAATGGTGAAACCCGGGGCGAGTCGATAAGAGATGAGTATAAAGAAGATTAGAATAATAGATTATGCGCATACAACTGTATATACTTTAATTTACTTGTTTGTAAGTTAATAAGAGATGAGTATAAAAAGATTATATTAATAGATTATACGTATACAACTATATATACTTTAATTTACTTATTTACGAGTTAATAAGAGATAAGTATAAGAAGATTATATTAATAGATTATGCGTATACAATTATATATACTTTAATTTACTTATTTGCGAGTTAATAAGAGATAAGTATAAAAAGATTATATTAATAGATTATGCGCATATAATTATATATACTTTGATTTACTTATTTGCGAGTTAATAAGAGATAAGTATAAGAAGATTATATTAATAGATTATGCGCATATAATTATATATACTTTAATTTACTTATTTATAAGTTAATAAGAAATAAGTATAAGAAGATTATATTAATAAATTATACGTATATAACTATATATACTTTAATTTACTTGTTTGCGAGTTAATAAGAGATGAGCATAAAGAAGATTAGATTAATAGATTATGCGCATACAACTGCACATGCTTGATTTACTTTTTTGTGAGTCATTCGAATATATCTGCATATTGTACATGGAGTAGTTACAAGTATAAATACAAGAAACCTGCCTCTTGAAATCATTGCTGCACAATATATCCGCAGTAGATTCCTGCCTGAATTTTCTTATATCTTTCTCTTCTACAAGCCCTACAACTGGTCATCTACACAATGTTGCCCAAGACTACTATTGCACTAGCCGTCGCGTTTCCTGCCATTTCAGCAGCCGCCCCGACTATCAACAAGAGGATCATTGGCGGAACGGATGCCGAGATCGGTGATTTCACATCCATGGTTTCCATCCAAATGGGTAATGACCTTTGCGGAGGCACTTTGCTTAGCAAGTACACTGTTCTTATTGCTGCCCATTGCCTTGGGGCGGCAAACAACGATACCGTCGCAAAGGCAGGAGTGGCGGTCAGTTTACTCAGTCCCATTCATTTATCAAGTTACTCGTTTGTATGGGCACTCGAGTGCCCAAGTACCAGAGCGCAAACAACATCAACAAGCAGTACAAAGCTAACGGTCACGTAGGATAATAAAAAAGACGGAGAGTATAGTAGTATTAGGGAGATCAAGGTGCACCCTGATTTCAACACCTATGGTCATTACACTCTTGATGACATTGCCCTCGTCTACTTGAAAGAGGGATTTGACGAGGGCGAGACAATCGCCTATGCGAATCTAGCAGTAAACGGCTCGGACCCCGAGGTCGGTTCCGAGCACATCGCCCTAGGCTGGTAAGTTGCCATCAAGCTCGCCTGCGCTGCACTGCACTGGAGGTTGAGAAGGTCGGAAAAGACGCTGACCTTTACGCAAGGGGCACACAAAACTATGAGAAATTTAAAGACCGACCTGATCCGACTGATAAACTGAGCAAGGTTGGTCTCGAAATTTATCCACGCGGACACTGCTGGAGCCGCCTCTTGGGTGCAGGCAAGACTGGTGCAGAAACAATCGTATGCGCTGGCGGGAGAGGCAAGAATGTATGCAAGCACGATGACGGTGGTCCTCTTATCGATCAGAAGAAACGCGTAGTCGGTATCGCGTCGTTGGTTATAAAGGATCGAGGAGGCAGCTATTGCAACCTGGAGCCCTCCGTGTTTACCAGAGTCGGCAGCTATTCCGATTGGATCAACGAAAATCTTGTGACGGAGCCTCCTACGTCAACGGAAGAGCAAACAGACTTCTCCTTTGAGTTTCCCAAATTGATCAACGGAGATGTTGAGGCGAAGCCTCCTGCGTCAACGGAAGACGACGTCTACGTTGAGTTTCCAAGCCCGACTAAGCCCGTGCCGACCAGCGTACCGACGGTGAGCAACTTTCCACCAAATCTGAACATAGTGGTTACAGATGTTTGTGATAGACGTGGCCTCGGTTCTGACAACTCTTGTCCACCCGTGGTCAAGTATTGCATCTTTAAATTCAAGGAGGACGGTTATAGTTCCACAAACGCCTGTGTTGGTGCATTCGAAAAGGCAGGGTTGATGACTGCCACTAAAAACAAAGAGGCAGGGTTGACGCCTGGCACTGAAAATCAGGGCACTGAAAATCAGGGCACTGCAAATAAGGGCACTGAAAATCAGATGTGCTCTTCGACTTAGGGTCAGGGTCAGGGTTAGGGTTGGTACCAGCGGAGAGTGCCAAGTAGTATGATTAACATCAATACATGGGAAGAAAAGGTGTTATCACCGCCATATAATGCGCCCGATTCAAGTGCAAAATCACAAAGCCAGTTAAACCACTACCTTTTCAGGGCTTCAGGCCGGTTTCTTACATCTTGATGTCGTTTACACCCGCGCGTGCTAGACGAATGTGGTTTGGAATTACATTTCTCCTGGCCCCGAGGTCGCTCCGTATTTTAGCTGCACCACCTTACTCCTGATCTCAACAGGTGACAATCCGCTAACCCTCCCATAACATTAAATGGCTCTGTGTTTTCTTGATTTAGAGGAGCGTGAATCAACGCCAATTCGGCGACAAAAACGACCCGCTCCATCAAAGACTCCAACCACACCAGGCTCAATGGTCACACAAGATAAGGGGTACTAACACATCAATATGTGCGGCGTGGCCACGTCTATTTTTTGGTGCGATATCAACATTGAATGCTCTCCACAATATCCCCATTCGTCGAGTTTTGCTACCGAGGCAGAACCGTGGCAATGTAAGAAAATGGCAGCGTCTTCCCACGCAGCTCAGACTTCAATGTTCCTGACCAGATAGTTTCATCCTGAGAGACAACGTGTATTTGAGCCCGAAACGCACCTCGCCAAACACACTCACGCAGTGTACGATGCCATCTCCCTGTGCAGCCCAAGTCGCATTATTATTCGGGTATCTTTGCGGCAAATTACATGAGACTCTATATGAATGTATATGCTAGCTGTACATGACCACAGAACAACAAAGAAAAAGATAATTAAAACCTGCTAAAAGAGTTCCGCGCCCCATTATTAACACTGACCCAAAAACCTGCCCAGCCATTTACACTTGGCGGGCGCTGGCTGCACCATGATGGACTGTAGTCTGTAGTAGCGAAAAAACATGTTAGCCAAACAATGGACATTAAAGCTGCAAGCATGTCGGACATGACATGGAACGTACACAAACGTCTCAAACGGCACACCCCGCATCGTTGTTCTGGCGCCATCCTTGTCCACGTTCCAGAGCTGAGGCTCAAAACTGACCGACGCCCAGCCCCGGAGCAGCTCGCGCCAGTAGCACACCTGCGATGCCGGTGTCAAGTATCGGTCCCTGAATATGTCGGCGCCGTTTTGGGCAATCCTCTTGGCTCTCTCCGGGTGGGCGAGGAGCTCCGTAACCTTGGCTTCCAGGTCGGAGAAGTCCTCGGCCACCTCGACAAAGTTCTGCTTGGGACCGTCCGCCACCAGCAGCGCGTGGTGCGGCTCGATCCACATCCGCTTGTGCATGATGACGACCGAGTTGCAGTTCTGGAGATACTTCCCCCGGCCCGAGTAGCTGTGCCCTGTCGTTGCTGGTTAGCGGTGCGCCCGCGTGATGCTAGCCGCCACATGGAGCACCTACCTTCGGTGTGGATGACAAACTGGTATTTGCAATGTTCCGACATGGACAAGGCCTTTGCCTGGTCCTCGGAAACCAGGTCACTGATGCCTGCCCACACAATGGCTCGCACGTCGGCCCATTCCTTATCCTTGGTCACCTTGATCAGCTCCTCTCGGTGGCCGTTGGTGGCCACGGCTCCTCTCCAGACGGCCTTCTTGGTCTTTTGTTCAAACTTGACCTCGGCCTCGGCCATCTTTCGCCGCACCTCGTCGTAGCTCCCCACAAGGTCCAACGGCCAGCTCCAGTAACCAAAATCGCCCATGAGCCATATCTCCTCGTCTTCGGCCTTGCGTGTCAAGCCCCAGATGGGGTAGTTGTTTTCCTCCGGATCCGGCACGACGTCGGCGACTGTGAAGGCGAACTCGATGTTGGGCAAGGGCTCAGGGGACGTTACCATGGCTCTGTGGATGGCGTGTAAGACGGCAACTGCGCGCGAGGTGTCGTACTCGTTTTCCAGGATTGTCTCCTGGAGAATATAGAGCTACGCAGAGCATCATTAGCGGTGTGCATGGGTGATCATGGTGTTGGGCAAAGGCAGCACGTACTTGCTGGTCGACAATCATGCCCCGCAGGGCTCCCCTACCGCGCTCGGATATGTTGAGTTGCTTGGGTGTAATGTTTCCTCTCGCTTTCTGGGCATCGACTCCTCGCTCAATCTCTGCAAACAGGCCCGGGAAGGCCATGTTACACTGCTCGGAATCGAGGGAGTAGCTGTTGGCATCGCGCACCGGGTTGAACTTCCATGCTTTGTTCTTTGGTGATACATATCCCTTCTTGCCCGACTTGTTGGTCTGGCTTCCAAATTTGTTCCTGTCCCCGAAGCTGGGCAATTGCTCCTCGAGGGCGGGCAACACGTCCGGCAGGTGCTCGAGATAGGCTGGCCGAGACAGCAGTGTGGCGATGGAAAGGAGGAAGAGAAAGGCCGCGACAATGACGATGCTGGGACCGCAGAATCGTCGCTTGAAAATCGGGAGGGGACCCATTGTTGGCGGCTATGGCTGGTCCTCAGGTCCTCACGCCCGGGGCTGCTATCGTGAGGCGGATTAATCGAGGATGGCCATGGGGTCGAGTCGAGAGTCGTGGTGGTGACGGTGGTGTTGGAGGTTGGAGAAACAAACCAGTCCGCGCTCGTCTGGTGGTGTCTCGCAGTCTCACACGCCCCCTTCCGCAGGCAGCACAGAGCCAGAGCACAGCAGCACCAGCAGCACCAGCAGCACTCCGCACCACACACTGATAAGGAATACGAAATGCCAAATGCCCCGTAACGTGCCTGAGTCGCTCCGCGTCCAACGAGAAGCAGGCATTGAGAACAATGCACACGGCAGCCACCAGACTGGTTGAATGACGGCCCCGCCCGCGTTCAATGCGACGCGACGGCAGCACTTGAGCACATTTGAACCAGACCAGACCAGACCAGACCAGCCCCGTTGGCCCGTTGAACCCCTGGCTCTGGCCAAGACGGGTTTAGCGCGCAAGGCGTTATCCGCCACATTTCATTTCGACTTGACAGCTTGAAAAATTTCTTTCTTCCCGCCCGACCTTTTTTATGACGGCCCACTCCGCTCCACCCGCACCGTTGTTTTCCGTGCACCTCTGGTCCTTTAATCACGCACGTGCGGCTTCAGTAGGGACGTCTTTACTCGCTGAGGGTGCACTTGAGCATCTCGAGGATTGCACGGGACCAACGGACGGGGCTCTGCAGCAGAGCCAAGTTCTCGTTGGAACCCGGTCTGGTTGGTCCTGGCAAGACCATGTCGTCTGGTACACTGTCCTGCGTACCGTACGGGCACTGTACAACAAGCTTAATTGGTCCAATGTTGTCCACGACTGCTTACAAATCCTTGCTGCCACATGCGTGCGTCTAAAAATGGTCACCTAAAAATGCTTCTCGACTAGCGTTTCCGTAGTCTCCAAAAAATAGTGTACTGTCAGACATGTAAAGGCTATGTCTACACTTGCAAAACGGCAAACCGGAGGTCCGATGCTGACTTATACGGCATGTGAGCAATGTGCCAATCAGTTGTATTTGCCGAGAACCCCAAGCAATCCATGTCATGCTGCTAAGACCATGACAGCCTTGGCATGGCGGCGGGCCAGCAGGGCAGCATGCAGTGTCCGTAAGGCCGCCCGAAGCGCCCGTCTTGGCCCCAGGTCCCGTCTAGTCAATATCAATTGATGTCTGGTGCAAAATATGTATGTCAGAGTTGGCAGCATCCGAATTATCGTGCTCCGCATCTTAGGTCGACGACATGGAGAAAGTAATCGATTGTTTCTATCCATGTATACTTTTTTCTACACATTATTCCATATCGAATAAAGTCTTGGATTACGTCATATGTTCTCGACATGTATAACGTAAAACAAAAATTACAATCGCATGTATCGGAGATACTCTGCCACTACCCACTTCTGGTAACGGCACCATGACAGCCTCTGAACCCCTTGCCATCCATTGGTAACCAACTTTTCTACTCTAATTCGCTGTAGTCGATGGGCCTACAGCAAGACTACAATGCTCTTGAGAGAACTGCCCGTTTCTTGTCTGGTGTTTCTTGTTTCAGATATTCCCAGCATATATCCGACTTGTCGGGTCCTAGTACCACCATTCTGTCCGGCCTACGTGTAATGCAACAAGAGCTGTTGACGCGGACAGTCTTGCGGCTGCCATCTTGCGGCGTGCCGAGAACGTTGAGGCTGGCTATCCACTCGACCCCGTCATATTCGTGCTTGTCCTCTGAAGCCCCGGCTGGTATTTGGGGAGGCTCAGGCGTACCGAGGTCGATTAGTTGTCCCGAGTCGAGCATGGCAACGCTCGAAAACGACTCCTGTAGAGTCACGGTCATCATAGTTATCAATAGTGGACTCATCCGCTTCCGGATCATCCGACTCGGCATCATGAAAGAATGGCGTAGAATTCACCGAGGGATTTTCAAGGCTTTCAAGCTCTCGCCGAGTCTGCGTTTGGAGCCACATAGTCCAAGGAGCCTCTTCCGGAGTAGGTTGATACAGGGTGGAGAGGGTGATGGTGGCACCCGTGAGTCACGAGTACAAGCGTGCACCACTGGCGCACTCTATTAGCCGGATATGGGATATTGGGGGCCTTTCCTGTAGGGTGTCGAGCAACGATATTTAATCGGGATATCGCAGCTTCAAGTTGATAATTGCATGACGGGCGGTTGCCAATGGCAGTCACTCATATCGCCCCCGAGTCCAAAAGTCGATTTGACTTGGAGCCCTTTGGGATGCGGCGAGCAAATACTAGAACTGCATTCGTCCAGCCTCTCAATCTCGACGCATCTTGGCTCAAAAGGGTATTTCAACGACTCTGCCAAAAGTGGAGGTCTTATTTTGGTAGATCTTTTGTTTTTCCCTACAACAGAGGCACTCCTCGCAGCCGAGCTCGAGCAGGTGCAAGCACAGTCAGTATCACGGGCCGCCGGGTGAACTGTGCCATGGTGATACATGCAGTGATGGATGCGCTCCGTCGGATCAATCTTCTCCTGCTCGCTGATCTCGGACACGCGCAGTCCGTAGGCCCGGGGCAGATGTGGGGCCGACGGAGCCACGTCGTCCAAGAGATGGCCGAGCTTCCGGGCCGTTCGGTAATGGGCCCGTCGTTCCGCATTCTCTCGCCCGATGGTTGTTAAATTATCGCCTGTAGTGGTGGACTCTTCTAACGCCCCAATTTGCACTAGTGTAAAATCGAGGCGCTGGTTAAGCATTTATACACTATTAGTGGTATCGGACTTTTTTACTTTTTTCGTTATAGCGGCCCTTTACTAGACACAAGCCGTGCCGAGCTAAACATCAATGATGAAAAGAATTGTGGCTACAGCACATGTAACGATATGCCAACATGTCGCAGCTGGTTACCTGTCACGCTGGTTGTCGGATTTAATTACTGAGCATTGGGCAAAAAGACGCAGAAATCGCGGCCCCTGGCCAAACATCCCCCGACATTCAGATTGCAAGCGTGCCTTATTAATCCCGCAAGTTTCGCGTTTGACAATGTGTGACGTGTTTGACTTTATGTTCAATCTAGCTTGTTGCTCCTGGGCCAACAAACTAGTCTATGCTAACAAACTCGACTCGTGCCGTGGGACAACATGGCAAAGCTTGGTTGCTAGGTCGTTGCTAAGATATGCCACACGTCTCGGTTCCAAGCCACTTGCAGTGATTTGCAAGATGCTAAGTAGATACGAAAACTTAATTTTTGCGCTCGGCGGATTTGAGATACTAAACAGAGCGTCAGCCATGCATTTTAACTTCACCAGCCACGTCTTTTCAAACTTGGGACATTTTATACCGGGCCACCGGGCTTCCATTATAAAAGAAGCTGCCTTGGTCTTCTCTTCTTGTTAAACTTGGACATTCCCCAAGTCCCTCTTTTCATTTCTCTGCGACACATGCCACTCCACTCCTCTACACACTGCACCTCTTGCAGGATGTTTCATCCGAGGCTAGACTTCTAGCACCCGTCCTAGCAATGCCTGTCTTCAGCCAACTACGAGAAAGCGGCTTGTTCATCAATAAGAGACCTCCTCTCTGTCCTCCGCTCCGTCATCCGCGGCCGTCCAGCCAGTTCACCAAGTTCCCAGATCACAGATCGGAAAGAGACCAGCCCCCCGAGCCCCCCAAGCCCCCTACCACAAATCTTGTCGGGAAATTGAAGCTCCTCGTGCATTATAAGAGCAGTGCATCACGCCCAAAGACTGAGCCTGTAGCTCGCATTTGCAAAATGCCGTTGAAGATTGTGATGGGCATCGTGGCCAACTTATCTACAAAGGACCAGGTCTCATTCAGAAACACATGCACCATCTTTCGGAAAATGTCGACGATGGGATACAGTCCTCTATTCTACCGCATGTCTACCCACATGGTGAGGACACATGTCCTGTCTTTGATACTCCGCGACTTTTGGATATGCGATCTTTGTTTCCGTCTCCATCGTGTCGATAGGAGAGATACGCCCGGCGCCCCGAAGAGGCCAATCTGTGCCCAACCCCATGTGGATGCCAGCAGGGAGTCCGAAGTCTCGGATGCATTCCCCTGGATCTTCTCCTACAGGCATCTCCATTTCTACCTTAAGGCGGCGCGAAGCAACGAGCATTCAGAGTACAGGGACCGTCTCCTGCAACGCCGCCAAATTACTCGGGCTGTCAAGAATTCTCGAATGGAGTGTAACGTCGAGGCCACATTCCATCCTTTGGGCTTCGATCGAAGGGTGGTGCTGCATAGATCCTTGCTCTACCGTCCAGCCAAGCAGACGGAGCCCGCGCCATATTGGGGCATGCAAATCTGCCCGCACCAGCGATACAGCGAAAGCGAGTTTGAGGCGTTTGAGAAGTAGGTCTCCCAGGCATCTGTGAAATCTAAAGGGCTCTCCTTCGAGGTGCTATCACCTCAGCGGCACGAATATGCCCTGTGCAAGGCTGTGCAGATGGCGATTGCATCCCCCAGCAAACACACCTTCGGGGCGTGCACACTCTGTCGTACCGACTTTTCCGTCAAGATCATGACCTTGGAGACGCCAAAGGGAGGATCAAAGCTGGGCGTCAAGGGCAGTGGAGTGCGTCGTCTTTTGCTGAGAACTTGGCAGGACCTGGGAGGCCAATGCTTCCCCCTTTACCCGACCTGGGCGTCACACTCTCACATCCTACACGACGTTGTTGTCCCGTTTGGCTACATGTATCGATATTGTGAGCCAGGGACTGCCTGGCGGCTATATGAGCAAGAGTATGAACGACTTGGCGAAAGGACAGAGTCGCAATGCGCCGAGAATAATCGCATTGGCGCCATGTACAGGTGCATGGAAGAGAAAACCCAAACCCGCCGCCCTGAAGTGTTCCAGATCGAGAAGGGCAAGAATAAATTCAAGAGTCTCGAGAGAAAGCGTGATTTCATTTGACTGTCTAACTATTTACATGATGTTTGCGTTGGCTTCACCTTCAAAGGGGCCACCTTTGAAGGCTACTAGACCCAGCAACCACGATGAGGTGCAAACCCTGCTGGGGCCCAACCCGCCCACCCTTTATTAATGATGCTATCTATCAATACTATATACAAATGAAAAAACAAAAGGAGCGACAAAAGACAAAGGAAAAAAAACGAGCGACAAAAGACAAAGGAAAAAAAAAAAACGAGCGACATATGACCGGAGTTATCTAAATACTTACCCTTGCGGAATCCCATGCTGATACACTCTGCTTGCGCTTAAAAGACCTACCTAGGCCTCTGGCTTCATAGCAAACGTGGTATATTGTCAAAATAGGTTCTTATAAAGAGGTTTAAATTGTTTCTAGGTGTTAGGTGCGGAGCGAGTTTTAGAACGCGCGAGTTGATAATCAAGTCGAACGTGAGAGCAAAAAGGAAGAGAAGTAAAAAGAGACATGAATAGACGAACTAACGAATACATGTAAACGAAGAAACCAATTATTGGTAAATAAAAGCACCAGTAGCTAACTAAGGACGTTCTAAAATTTATATACTATGGTATACTATAATATATTGTAATGTAGTATAGTATATTAATAGATATTTGTTAATGTTATACATACTCTGCGACAGACTTTATCTTCTGCTATAGAAATAATTACTACACCGGACATAATAAAGCTGTGTCGAGATTATAGCAAAACGCGATAGCGGCAAGAGCTATCACCACTAGACCTGAACTAGATTTCTGCTCAAAATAGTTGATATTACACAAACTCACAACGGCAACCCAAGACTGTTACACGGAAATGGCCCAATGTTAAAGGTTACACAAGGGCTACGGTCACGGGATTAAGGCACTTCTTGTATTTAAAGCCCCTTTGGTCAACGAGGCCTTGAGGAAACCAAGGCCCATTGATACCAAAGACTGTTATTACATGAATTAAGCTATTGCTTCCAGCCCTCATTCCGAGCCCTTGTCATACAATGTCCCACTGACACCAGACATGACGGACCGGCGTACGGACCAATCATGCTAAAGCAGTTCATCTGGCTGCAGGAAGCTTGACCAAGATGTTTTAACGACTCTGCCAAAAGCAGAGGCCTCACACGAGGCGAGGTCTAATTCTGGTAGATTTTGTTTTTCCTCGCAACACAAAACAACGCACGGCACAACGTCCGCCAATTCACAGGGAGATATTTCTTCAAAAGAGACGACCCCTTGTATTCAAGCACTATATTTCTTGAGGAAACTAGCTCAATTCGAAGAAGACAGACTTGACGAGCCTCACTAGCAATCACTTCGAGTACCCTGAAATCTCAAAAATCGCGTCGTTGTAGTCGGCGTCATCCCCGTTCTCGGCAACGACATGAATAGTTTTATAGCGGCCAATGTCGTAGGGACCTCCAGAGTTCAGTTTGGACGCGAGTTTGTCCCCGTTCCCAGCCTGGTACGTAAACGTGGCCGAAATTTTCTTGCATGGCTTGTCCAACTGGCGGTCGAAAATGAGGTTGTTGCGCTCTCCGCTGCCGCTGACCTGAAACTCTTGGTCGTCGACTTTTATGTGCACGTTTTGGACGGACTTGGAATTTGTCTTGACCTTGAGATGCTGCTGGGCCCAGTCGTCGCCAAAGTTGATTTCGACCACGTTGCCGGTGACTTGGACGGATGTATTGTTGGCCATATTTATGTGAAGAGCAAACGGGTCGTGGAGATTGACTTTTGGCTTCTTTGTAATAGACGATGTGAGTAAATCAGAGTAGAGTTCTGGGCGTGTGGCCAGACCAGGAGCCGACTTGGGGATATATGTACTCGTTGGTCTTTGTCGGGAGGACAGATTGTAGCCGCTGCGGTTGCATTGAATGCTAGGGAAAATGCAGGAGAATCTCACGAGTCGTATTGAATTTGGAGTGATTGTGTAGCGCTGCGCAATGCTGCATGTAGTATGTAGTACATGAGCATCGAACCCGCCACAGGCTGAGGCGCGGCACAACCGTCAGTTCATGTTCTAACAAGGGCACCAATATCCAACACCAGCCAAGTTAAACCATTCCTTATTATTGTTATTATTGGGCTGAGTGACGTAAACAGAAAGAAACGACCATGTTCACCACGAGAGCAGCATCTTGAGTGAGATGGCTGGGGAGCGGGGGTTGGCAAACTTAGTGACAACATTGAAGTCATTCTATTCATGGTTCCGAGGTACAGTCTGACGAGACAATCCTCGAATGACTTGCTAGAGGACATGATGGGCCAAAACAAGACGTAATTTTGCTACCGATATGGTGTTGTGCATCAATGCAACTCCTGAGGCAGGGAATACCCGCTTGTCTCGGTCGACTGATGCATATGTCCCGTCAATATAACGCTTTTTCATCTTCCGCAGCAAGTTGATTATTGGAGGAAGAGCCCAGGCCAGGTCCAAAAAAGCAATCACCAAACGCCGCTTCAGCCTGTTGGTGACATCCGCACACACACGCCATGTTACGTCTCTTGCCGTCGTGGCCTCGATGGAGCTCATTGCCATTGCTCATTTGGCCCCAATTTCCGTGCAGTCATCCATCGACTTGAATAGCTGTGCCCTCGACGCTGCCTGGACAGTACCCGACAAGCGCCACTTACAAGAACTTGGGATGCCGTCCAATCGGGCCGCCCACGTTGCCGTCAAGATGGTGACTGCAAGAGACTAGAGAAACACCATTCTGTGCGGGCTGCAGCGCCGTGTCAAAGTCTAATAATAGGCTTGTCTGCTCCTAGTATGTTGGCAGCACCAGCGGCGCCAACTCTACTCCTAGATCTCACATGGCACCGAATGTGCACAAACGACGACACCTTGGGACTGGATCCTAGATAAGGGAAAAACAGAAATTTTGTGAAATCTCGTCACTGAAACAGATGGCAACGTGGCCGCTCGTCTCCATTCTCCGCGAGGCCATCATCTTTGCAAACGCTGCCCTTGTCTCATCCATCCATTGCAAACATCTTTCTCAGGTTGGGCCCTTCCCACCAAGCTAACAATACTCAAGGGCGTACTCATTCCGAGTCTAAAACCGCGCCATGAATGGTTCCGGGCCCTCGGCCTTGCCAATTTTAGCCATCGCGACCTTTGGCCCCGTCGTGGACTCGGGGAAATACCAGGCTCATGGGGCCGTACGTGGCCGGTGCCCAAAGTGCAAACCATCTGACAGTAAAAATATATTCAAGTTTGCTCCTTGAGTTCATTTCCGCGCAAACACGACCATAAACAGATCCCACCAGCCAAGCATATAACACCAGCGGCCAGTGGCGGGTGGGCAATTCCGCCAGACACGAGCAACATTTGCCCATCTAGTCGATCAAAATGGTCATCTTCAAGAGTCTCGTGCTCGCTTTGTCGCTGCCCCTCAAGGTACATCTGCCACTTCCTTCCCAAAAAAAAAAAAGTCACGACTTGTCTTAACGCTGATGAGCCAAGGCCATGGCAGGACTCGCCGACGCACCCATCCCCGGCTACGACGTGGTCGACCTCACGTGGCAAGTGGAAGTCTTCCCCGGCCACTTTGAGAACCTCACCGGCACCGCGGAACAGGTTCACCGCGCCGCCAGGGCCATGAACCCCGGGTGGAAGCCCAGGACCGCCTCCGACCCCCGCGGCAGCAACCTGGCGAAGCGTGTGCCGCTGTTCAACTGGGCCAAGGTCATTTGCGGCGCGGGCGCCCTCGGCTGGCACCCGTGCAAAGTCCGCAGGATAGAGCAGGGAATCGAATACCTCAGGGGGCTGGCCGGCGTGCCGACAAACGGCCCCGGGCCGGAGACCTGCGGACGCGTCAGCTGTTCCTACCAGGCGGCCATATGGTGGTGCAACAGTGTGAGTTTCTGCCCGTTCCCAGCCGTGTCGGCGGAAGCAGAGTCTACGTGGAAGGCAAAGTTGGCTAACTGTCGTGGCAACGGACGGGTAGGCGCCTTTTGCGCGGGCGCTGGGTAGCTGGGACGACATCGCGGACAGCGCGCAGCTGATGGTGTGGAAGTGCTCGACGGGGCGCCCCTACGCGGACAAGTACATGACGGGGCAGGCGTTTTCGACCGAGAACTGGGACGTCATTATTCGCCAGGACGAGTGTTGAGAATCGAGATGCGTGGCGACGGGGGGATTCGGCACGGCGCTGGGGCGAGGCCCGCGGGTGAGGTCACGACGAAAATGCATGGAGGAAGAATACAAGAGGAATAAAAAGAGTACGATGCCGGTTGCCGATGAAAGAGAGCATTTTGAATAATACATCTACACTAGAGCGCTGCGCACAACCTCGCCGCATCACTCACAAAGGTCGACGTGTCCCTCAGATACAAATAGCACTTGACTTCACCCCATTCCATCAAGCCGCAGCCGTTTCGGGCAGCATCGCGCAGTCTCGACTCTTCCATATCAATCAGATCCAGCATGTGGCGCTCGCCGCACCCACGTCTCATGCAGGTCGACGGCCCCCTCGTCATAGGCGCATCATGGCCATTCGACTCTGAGGTCATCGAGATGCGCAGCCCGTAGGTCGCCACGGCCAGACGATTTAAACGTCGAGAAACCCAGGCTGACCCTTGCGCAACACAGCGTCTCATCAAGACATGAAGCTCTTTTAAAAGACACCGCTTGATTCAGAAGAAATACATCATCATGGCACTGCCCAGAGTTCCCGCCGGCCTGCTGCGCAACCACATCCGCCCAGCGGCATCGCGGGCCATCTCGCCACGGGTCACGGCAGCACAGCTCCGACACAAAATCACCACCAACGACGGCCCCGGCGGACAGCAGCCGCCGCCGCCCAACCCAGGCGGGCCCGAGGCCGTCAAGAGAAACTGGTAGGCTTCCCGTAGACAGCCAGAGGGCCGAAGGGGCCAGACTAACACGCGCGCCGCGTCACAGGGTGCCCGTCGGGGGCGCGGCTCTCGTAGCAGTCGCCGCCTACGCATACCTCAGCTCGTCCGGGGCGTCGGTGGACAAGGCCCGGCAGACAGACGCCAGGAACCCGAGCCAGGCGGAGCTGGAGGACCTGACGGCCGTCAGCAAAGACGCCGAGCAGCTCGGCGCCAAGGTCGGCCAGCAGGTTGCCGAGCAGGCCTCCAAGACGATGAAGGAGATGAGCGGGCGGCAAAAGACGGACCAGGGCAGTTTCCGACACGACTAACGGGCCGGAATGGTGCAGAGTGTATTGCAATAGTCACCGGTTGGAAATGTATAACGTGGTGGAAACGTCGTGTATCAAAAGCATCCTCTACAATGCCAAAAAAAAAAAAAGCCAATTAACATAGCCCTACCCGCTCTCCGTCTCCCCCGTGTCCGGCTTCCTCCTCGATGTCCTCTTCAGCAGGTAATCGCCTCCCCTGGCAGCGGCCCAGAACCCCTTCAGCCCCCTCAACGGCCAGACACGTCCCAGCGCGCCGCGCGCCCTGGCCCGCCGGCTCCTCCGCCTCGCGGCCTCCTCGGCGTCGACGTCGACGCGCACCTTGTCGTAGACGCTGGGCAGATGCGATGCGGCGTACTTGGCCCGCAGCGCGTCGTACGCGGGCCGGTCGTAGTGCGCCCAGAACTCGTCCTCGGTGTAGTAGGCGTGCGCGTAGAGCCACTTCTTGCCCCCGAGCTCGGCGACCTTCCTCTCGAGCGCGCGGTTCGCCTCGACGACCTGCGCGCGCCGGGGGCAGCGCCGCAGCGGCCCCCACACCCCAAAGTTGACCAGGTCCGGCGCGTCCGGGGCGCCGAAGCCGGCGTGCAGCCCGTGCACTCGGCCGCCCGCGCAAACGGCACCCCGACGTCCTGCACCATGTACGCGTCCGCGAGGCCCGACCCGTGCACCGCGCGGTACATGACGCGCGCGCGCATGAAGCCGTCCAGCAGCCGCCGCGTGACCCGGTTGAACGGCACGCGGAAGTAGGCAAAGGCGTACTCGCCCACCCAGAAGCCGCCCCGGTCCCAGCGGAACAGGTAGTCCACCAGCGGGACGTGGTCGACCACGACGGCGTCCTCGCCCTCCTGCTCCTGCAGCAGCCGGCGCACCTCGCGCGCGCGAATGTAGAACCACGGGTCCGACGGGCGTACCGCAGCGCGACGTAGCGCTTCGCCGGGCGCAGCCGCACCGCCAGCAGCGTCACCACGCCGAGCGTGCCAAAGGCCGACGCCGCGCCCCAGAACAGGTCCGCCTTGTCGGTGCGCGACGCCCGCGCCGTGGCCCCGTCCGCCAGCACAATCTCGATCCAGTCAAACGTGCTGTCGAAGGCGCCGTACCGGAACGAGCTGCTCTCCCCCGACGTCCCGGAGAAGCCGCCCCCCGCGGTGATGCCCGGGAACTCCATCACCACGGGCGGCACGAGCCCGTGCGCGAGCGTGGCGTCGACGAGCGCGTCCATGGGCACGTTGGGCTCCACGAGGGCCGTCATGCCCGTCTTGTCCACCGAGAGGACGCGGTTGAGGCGGCTGGTGTCGATGGTGTTGTCGGCGCGCCGGTGCGACGTGCGCGTGCTGTTGGTTGAGCCGTGGTAGATGCGGAACGGCTTTTGCGCTTCGTGGAACGTCTTGACCTGGGCTGCGATGCGCCTGACGGCCGCGTCGTGGGCTTCCATGGTTGGAATGAGGTTGGGCGGTTGCGTCATGAGCCGGCCGGCTTAGGCGGAAACAGGGCGAGGAATGTGTTTCGCGTTTCGACTTCTAGACAATGGGCATTTTCGTGGCGGCCAAGAGCAAAGCGAGCAAGCCCATCTATCGCTGTATATACGTTATAGGCAACAGAAACGCAGTTGCTGACTACATGCAATGTTGACGTTTTGACCAGAGGGTTTAGCGCCGAAGATGCCGGCTCAGCCTCGCACCTCACATGCTGTCATCCTGTCTGGTTTAAGCTGACACCCGCATGCTTGGTCGTCACAAGGCCACCGACAACCCACTAGGCTGCAACACCAAGGCATTCGTTTTATTCCTTGCTCATTCTCATGTCCTAAATGCTTTTTCAAGTGCATGTCTAGCCTATTGCCACAAACATTGTAATACAAACAAGCCATTAGATGCGATTTCACCACGCCAAAACGCCGGTCCCGGGCTGTACATGCATCGCTCTTGACACTTTTCGTCGCCTAGTCAGAGGCAATTCCCATCATCTGCGGCCGCCTTGTCGGACTGGCTGGCGAGGCTGGCTACCATATGATCTTCTGCCCTGCACCTTGTTCCTGCTCATTGACTGTCCTAGGTTGATGTCGACGCGAGGCGGGGTTGCGAAACCAAAGCTCTTGGCCACGCGCACCAAGTCCAACTTCTGCACGTCATATACCGATCGCAGGCTGTGCGACCCATAGGCGTGCAGGTATGACTTGAACGCCTCCTTGGCGCTCTGTTGCAGGTAGTAGTTCTTTCCAATCAGCCTCTCCAGATTGGATTGCACATTCTTGATATGTTTTGCAGGAAATTCAAATTCGACGACAGGCACGCGGGCAGTCTTGAGGTGTGACAGGAATCCAACCTCGTTGGGTTGGAGGAACAACAGACTCCGACCCTTTGTATTGGCACCACGAGCTGTACGGCCGACACGGTGAATGTAGTCGCGCGTGTTATCCGGGGGGTCGAATTGCACAATGAAATCTACGGCAGGGATCTGCACCCATGGTATCAGCATGTGTCAACGCGGTTCGACTGTACATTATTCAATCTTCACTTACGTCGAGTCCACGAGCAGCAACATCAGTGCAAATTAGAATACCATGCTCGGCATTGCTAAATTCGAAAAAAGTATTTGTCCGCTTTTGCTGCTTCTGCTTGCCGTGAAGATCTAGCACCGGGCAATCGATGTAGTTGAGGAGCTCCGAGTAGTACTTGACCGAGTTGCAGCTACTGAAGAACACAATCACCTTCTTCTTCTTTTCCTTCATTCTCATCAGGAATGAGAAGAGCAAGATGAATCGCTTGTCGGCATCGCAAAGGACATAGCCTTGTTCAAGCCCGTCCACAGTGCTGAACTGCGTCTCTTCGTCGACATTGATATACAGAGGGCCGGGTCGCAGTGATATCCTTGCAAGATCCTCTGCAATATACGTTAGCTGATGGGAGTTCCACATGTCTTGAATTCCCTGGATAACAAGAGCTACTTACCAACTTTGGTGGTTTGTGTGGCTGAGAACAGCATAGTCTGTCGGTCGTCATTGGATAACACCTTGACGATTTGGCGAATCTCGTCCTCAAAACCAACTTCCAAGATGCGGTCTGCTTCGTCGATAACGAGGGACTTGAGGTTCTTGAACACAAATGGCGTGTTTAATAAATGATCGAGGAGCCGACCAGGAGTGGCAATCAGCAGGTTGACGCCTTTGGACAGCTTCTCTGCTTCTGCCTTTCTATTGGCACCTCCAATAACAATACCATACGTCTGAGAGTGATGTTGCATAAGCTCGCGAGCGACACCGAAAATTTGAAGGGCTAATTCTCGAGTAGGCGAGACCACAATGACGCCAGTGCCGTTTCTGGGCTTGAATCGTAGAGCGCTGAGGATCTCGATCGCGGGGATAAGGAAAGCAAGTGTTTTGCCCGAACCGGTCTTGGCCGCACCAAGAACATCCTTGCCTGCCAGCAGCGGTGGGATAGCCTGTCAACTTATTAGCTGGCTGCTTCAAAGCGTGGTCTTGGCCGGGGAGCTTCGAAGGGAAGCTCAATCACATACAGTCCTCTGGATGGCAGTCATCTTGGTGAAGCCCATTTCTGTGATGGCCTTCATCGTCTTCTCCGACAGCTTCAATTGGTCAAACATATCCGACTCAGCAGTCGGGGCCAGTATAGGAGCGCCGTCGGTTGGAAGATCTCCAACTGTGTCGTCGGCATCTTCGTCTTCTGCATCCTCAGCGATGGGGCCTTCCTCTGCATCCTCGCTGTTCTCCTCGTCCTGTTGTTCGTTCTGCTCCTCGCTCAAACTCTCATTGTCTCCGCTTTCACTCTCGTCCTCCTCAGGCTCGATCTGTGGCGGTGGGTTCTTGACCTTCTTTGACTTTTTCGAAGAGGCGGTGGCATTGGCAACAGCTTCCGCGCCATTGCGCTTCCGCTTCTTGGCAATTCCGTCACCCATTATATCGAAATCTGCAGAGGATCAGAGAGCTGGTTGTGAGTTTGTTTCCTTCTCACTCAAGAAATCCTGTCGTTGCTCTGCGTCGGTTGGTGCAGGCTCGCTATGTTGAAGGGTCTTTGGGGGAAAATGTCGATTCGATAAGTGGGATTTGCGATAACGAAAAAAAAAAGTTGGACCGGCGGATAAGAAAAAAATGCACCCAGCCAACCATGGGTCGTGCCCCACATCAGGAGGTTGAGGTGACTTGGCACCTGGCCCGTGCGCAGATCTGCTCGAGAGAAATGGCAGGAGCTCACGAAACCCAAGCCTTCCTCATTACACTAGTCTAGCATCACCTTGGCATGAGAACTTTAGAATGTGTCATATTTCTGGACGGCGGTGATTTTCGTTTTTATAAAATCCGCATGATAATCTCACATACTGTCTCTCCCTACTTGTACACGCAGCGCTCCTCTAGAAAACTGACATCGCGCATGCTTAGTCCTCCTCTAACAACCAAGGCTGTCAACAGGAACCGTGACTGAATTCTCCCACGTCAAATTACCCTCCAAACCACGACACCCCTTTCTTGGGTCGGAAAGATTCCACCATGCCTTTTTTTCGTCTTTTAATTGATATGCTTCAGGTGGTTTACAGCTTGCTCTTAGAGCTCAGATACACGTTGGCCAAATTGAGTTGGTCCACGGCCTCGGCAACCATTTCGTCGACAATCTCTTTGGCGGGCTGGATCTTGGTAATTGCCCCAGCCACCTGGCCCATGAGATGAGGAAATTCAATGTCCTCGCGATCATTTTCAAAGTCGTGCTCGATGGGGACAATACCCTTGTCACAAAGCTCCTGGGCAGCATTGCCTCTAACCTGCCAGCTCTTCAGGTATGGGTTGAGTCGGGCTCGCAACGGCCGGCCCGTGAGAACCAAAGTACGGTCCGTCTCGGAGAAGTCGCAAGCAACAACGGCCTCCTTGTGTTCCTCGGCGCTAGCGGCCTCGGTGCAGGCGACGAATCTGGTACCGACCCAGACACCGACAGCGCCCTGCATGAGAGAGCTGGCCAGGCCACGTCCGTTGTGAATACCGCCTGCGGCAAGGACTAGAGCCGTCTGGCCCTTTAGCATGGCTGGCTTGTAGCGACGAGCAACATCGACAACTGCCGGGATCAGCACCGAGTTGGCGACATCACCAGTGTGGCCGCCTCCCTCGGTGCCCTGGGCACAAAGCATATCGACGCCACGCTCAAGGGCCTTTACGGCGTGCTTGGGGTGGCCAACCATGTTCATGACTAAGATGCCGTGTTTGTGAAACTTGTCAATGACTTCCTGTTCAGGAACACCGACGGCGCTGACGAAAAGACAGGCACCACTCTCGATAATCAGGTCCACAAGTTCGTTTAGTTTGCCATGTGTGTAGTCGTGGTTCGTCTTTCGAGCGCTGCCACCGACCTGGGGCAAGGCCAAGTCAACGCCAAAGGGGAGATTAGGCTGCTTAAATCGGGCCTTCATCTCAGAAATAATTTCGCGTAGCTGCTCCGGTGTGTACTGGAAGCCGCCGACGACGCCGAGACCTCCCGCATTGGATACAGCCGCAGCGAGTTCTCCGCCTGCCGTGTGCGCCATGCCAGCAAGCATGATGGGATGCTGAATCCCCAGCAGCGTGGTCAGCGGTGTTGTGATAGGACCGGACGGCGCCATGGTTGATTGTGTTTTGTTTTTCGGGGCTAAGAAAACGGAGCAAAAACGGCTATGCTAATAATACTGCGCAGGTCAGAAACCAAAGGTTCAACATAGGCATCCTGGTGCCTTGCGGAATGTCGAACGGGTCAGCCATGCGGCGGGCGCGTAACTTACTGTTTCGAGAAAAAAGAGTTCGTCAATCGCTTAATGGTAAAGGGTATGTGACCGAGTATGTGTGGCAAAGGAGAAAAGACAGAAACGACCCGAATCTAAAAAAGCAGATTCCATGGCAAGATAAATATGACGAGAGATTGAGGAGCGTCATCGCGCTTCACGAGCCAGCCTAAAAAAAAGAACGCCACGGACATGGGTCACGGTCCCTTAACACACCAGACAGACTCCAATTGGGCCCACGGCAACCCGCAAAAAAGAGGCCAAAATGGGCCATGGTCGCTCGGGTCGCGCCCCGGAGGCGCGGGGGAACCGCCCTGACCGTCGCCTCCGATGCGGGGAGCCGACACCCAGCCGAGGCTCGTCGGTCCTCAAGGCCGTCCTGCCGTCTTATTTCGTACGAGTCGGCCAACACCCCCTCACTCAGCAGCTAAAACACCTCCAGGAACGGCTATTGCAATGCCCTAGGTTCGACGAACCAGGAATGTGAATCGATCGATTGATCGCGGTTTCGAACTGACTAGGTCTGGAGTAGTCATGACTTTAACCCGTGTTGTACTAAGTAAACGTAGCTTCCATAGCAAAAGATCTTTGTCAATGCTTAAGCATACACCAAATACGATAGCATCTTCCAGTATAGGGTGTGATGGCCGAGTATCTGATCTGGTGAATGCTCTTGCCGGTCACTAACAACTTATGTTGCAGCGAGGCCATGCCAGCCGAGCAATACCAGGCGATAATTCAACGCAGTCTGGTCAATCCAATAGACCCAGAAAATCTGCCAACTCCACCAGCGTTACTAGCATTGTACCTTGCGTTCAATGTTTATGTTTCTGGCACCGTTCCCTGAAACAAGGGGACCACAGGCAGCAGGTAAATTTCTCTCAACTCTATACTACACCAGCAAACGGCTTCACGGGCTCAACATTCACGGAGCAACTGCTCCACATAAAAATATCCGGTCAATACATCGTTGCATTGCAGTCGGTCGTTGTATAGTATGACTTGCCGATTATTAGCGGCCACCTCGTGCGTACTGACGAGTCATGGGCCAAATTCTAAAAAAAAAACACTGCTCGGTACAGCTACGCTTGCTAATTGTCACAAAATTCCATGCTGCTTCCCAGGTCGCATACACATCTTGAGCCTCCCATTCGCGTTGCCCAGAAGAGTATGCGCTCTACAAGCAAATGACGCAGAATAAATTAAATGAGCCCCATAAATTGCTGCGTCCAACGAAAGCAGCATCCGCATCCAAACTCTCGCTATCCAAAGCGTGGCAGTCGCGCTGCGTGGAAAGCCGATGTAGACCTGCTACTCGATTGATACGGATCATCGCCTCCACTCCCTCTTGGTTGGTCCCTCGACGCCGCAGTTGGCGGCGGCGGCGGTGGTGGTGATTCTCGTCCATCGCGATCCTGCAAAGACGTCACCTTATCCTGAGGTTCGTGGATCTCGTTCATTGCGACCTCGAGCATTTTCGCCTCCTCGATATCGTGGACTTCTTCATCGGCGCCCAGTCCCCTCCCTGAAGCAAGCTGCGAGGCAGCCATCTTCCTCCTCGCCTGTTCATCGTGCTCTTGCCTCTGCAACCTCGTCTCTTCAGCTTGTAAATCCTCCATTGGCGGGATATGAGCAACGCCTGGCGTCGGGGGGGCCGTCGTCGCGTACTCGCGGGACTCGCTGGACGCCGTAGATCCCAGTGTTGATCTAGAAACGGTTCGGGAAGAAGCCGCAAGCTTTCCCGCTGGCCGTTTTCCTTTACTGCTCCTCGTCTTGGCACTGCTCCTGTCGTCCCTCTTTACCATGTCATATGTCACGTCGTCATCCAACGGCACCGCATCCTCCTCTCCCTCCCCGTCGCTGGGGAACAAATCTCCTCTTGACCGGTACGAGTCCGACGTTCCCCCGGACCCTGTGGTGCCGCTCCGTTGTCTAGGCATGCGCAACACCTCCCCGTAGTCCGAGTCGTCGTCACCGCCCAACAGCGGCGCAGATTCCCCGGCGCCGTGCTTGCCAGGGTGGTCTTGGAGATCCGCTGCGCTAGGTTTATATCGTAGCGTTCCGCCCATTTTCCAGGGCAGTTTACTCAAGAACCCAATGGGCTGTGTGCTCGGAATAATTGTGGCATCGTTCTGGCTTGCCTTCCTCCTCATGCCTCTTGTCCCATAGCTCATGCCGCGTTTCCTTCGAGGTTGCTCGTTCGTCTCGCCGCCATGTCTTCTGGCGCTTCCTGTGCCAGCTAGCAGGCGGTCCCAGTCCTCGCCGCCCCAGCTGCCCAGGAGCCCACCTCCAGATTGCTCCTCTTCGTACCAGTCGTCGTAGAAGTCGAAACTGAATTCGGCGCTCTCGCGGGCCCGTTGGCGTTCGCGACGACGACGGAGCCGCTCTTCGGGGTCGCCTAGGCATACCGTTGTGCATTGCTCGATAGAGTCGGCTATTGACGCGAGGCACGGGTTGATATAGTTTTGCTGGAAGGTGAAAATACCGGCTGCTGCGTTTTCAGTGACGGTTTCCGCGTCGTGGGTGATTTGGTTCCAGCGTTGGCGGAGCCGGGGGTCTTCGAGGAAGGCCATGTTTGGGGCAGAAACAAATCGGGCGCGCAAATCAGCTTGCCGCAGCTGCTGACAGCATAGAAGTCGTGGCTATTAGGTCATGGATTTTCGGGTATGGTTGAAGGCTGGATGTTGACACAGGATGCGCTAGATTCCTGGTTCGCCAGAACATGAGCGCCCGACTCGGGGTCCGGGAATGTGACGGCTTGTCGAGATGAATGAGAGTTATGATGAGTTTTTGATTCGTGCGCGCAGCGCGCAGGCGCAATTTGGCGATTCGCAATTCGCTTCCGTGTAGGGTTTGGATGATGGTCATTGGTAATTTGAGGTGCAGGTCGTCGAAACGCCTCCTCCATCAGCCGGCACGTGCGAGGAGTCCAGGTGGTTTGGTCCTCAGTCCTTAGTCCAGCTAGGGGAGATTTATCATTACCCAAGGACAGTGGTGATTCGACAGCCAACGGCTAATTGAATAGGAGTAAATGTGCGAAACGTGGAATTAAAAACAGAGCTCAAACTCAAATGCCAACACGACTTGCCACCTCATTGTGCAACCAGACTGTCTTCACCAGCCCAAAGCCTGATCTTGAATGGCCACCAAAGCCTGGGTCACAAGTCGCGGGAGGTACCTGGAACTCAAGTGTCCCAGCCAGTCCGGTTCTTCTGCACAGGCCTAAAAAAGCAAAAGTGGCAGAGAGTGGGGCCACCCGCAATGTCAGGTTGTCAACGCAATACAGAGTACAGTGAACCTGCTCTACAACGATCATGTATCTTAGCGATAGTCAGGTTATTACGATAATTCACGGTCATCTAAGGTTTTTCCCTAATAAATCGTTAATATTCAGGTTACTAATAATATCGTAGGCATCAGGCTTAGTCACCATATAAATCAGGGCTTTTATCCAGATGTCGTTATTAGGGGCCTGCTGAGGCCTATAGGGCCCCACATGTGAGGCCTACAAGGGGCCTATAGGGGCCCACATTTAAGGCGCACAGCGCGTTTTTCTAGCCGTAACGCGGTCAAAAAAAAACCTATCCTTGTAAATATACCTTATAACAAATATAGATATATACCCTATAATAATCGCACCTTTATGATAGTCGCCAAATAACGATAAGAGGGGCCTCGCGAAGTATATTATTATAGGCCCGGTTCACTGTACTTGAGCATCAAGGTACAAACGAGACTGATTGGCTGGTTGATAGTGGGACGCGTCCTTCATCTGGTGTTTGACGGCATGGAGGAAATATCAGACATGCTGCCGTGATCACGAGTTCCCTTTGTAGCCTCAATCCATCCTTCTCATCCCAGATCTTGTCGCGCCAGAGGCACAATGCCGCCTGTTCGGTCAACGAAAAAGAACTCGCACCTCGAGAGCAATGCACAGCAACTCAGCATAGAATCTTTTTTTACAAAAGGGGTCGCCAAGGACGCGTCAACGTCGATAGCCAACCCGCCGGTCATCTCTGTGGGAGCTTCCCCTGCTGCAGCTGAAGCTCCTGCAGATTCCAACCCGCCCGACAACTCTGCGGGAGCTACTTCAGCTGCAGTTGGAGCTCTTGCGGATTCCAACACGCCCCCTCCCGTCAAGAAGGTCGCCAACGCTTTCCAGGCACTTCGGCCCGATTCCAAGGGACAAGTGGAAGTCTATTTTCAGTCTGATGCGGAGTGGGAGAAAAGTTGGCAAACGAAACTGGGCCACCGGACAAAGAAACTGGGCTTTGGGAGCTCGTTTGTCCTGACTGAGTAAGAAAGCTTTCCAAATTTTGGACCAATGGTCCCCATGCATGACAGTGATAAATGGCTTATGTTCGTCCCATCCTGTAGTCGACATTTCGAGCAGCTTATATCCATAGGCACAGGCATCTGCCGCAACCTAACACACTTCGAGTTCCAGTATACAGATGTCAGCTATGGCGCGCACAATGCGAATGAACTCACCCCCGGCACCACTGTGCGACTGGCGCGCATGTATCCGTGCCAGCTTGCGTTTCGTAAGACTGCAAGGATGCCGCAAATTCCAGACTGACGCCATGCTCATCGCCTTCCTCTCCAACTGCCCTAAGATAACCTATTTAGAGCTTTCCGGCCCCTCTGCAAACAAGATTACACAAGCTTCCTTTGATGCCCTGCTGGCGCATCCAAATTGGGCTCCCAAGCTCAAGACACTGTGCATTCCTCCGCCTGGCCCTGATGTGAAACGGGAGAAGGCCTGGTTCAAATCTCTGTGCGCGGTATCCAAAGAACGACAGATGCTGACGATTCAGGTGACTAGAATCAGTGAAGAGAAGAAATGGGGTGACTGGGAGCTTACCACTTCGGCAACGGAATACCGGAAAGGGAAGAAACTTCGGGTTTGGTAGCAGACATTTTACTCAGAAATGGCATCCAGAACGCATGCCCGCGCCGGCTCTGGGAAGAGACAAGTTGAAGTAGGATGCCTCATCTACTGCATGCGAATTCCGTGGTATAATCAATGGCCCTCCGCGATGAGGCAAAACCAGCGGACAGTGCTTTTTTCTTAGCTCTTTTTTTTTTTTTGGGGTGCGTGTATTTCATGGTGTTTGACGGGGCAAGTTACGGTTCTCGTGCTTGAGTACGGCCAGGCGCATGTGTTACTTTCACGGGGCCTTGCCTGATAAACAACTTAATTGGCACATAATGAACTAAGCTTCTTTGTACTCATTTCACAGTCAATCATGAAGTCTCATTCATGCATTAAACATTGATGTAGTACATATTAATACCTTTTAGCCCTGCGTCTTATTTCCTATCAATTCTCATGTTGGCCTGGATTCGTAGGAGCAACTGCTCTCTTGTATCACTCTCACTCGGGAATAGGTTCCGCTGTAGAGAAGTATCAGTCTATATATGGCTGATGAACTCGTGGTACTTACAGCCGCCAACCACCTTCTCATTTCCTCTCGAGTCCAACTCTCGGGGTCACCTGTTGGGTCTGGTTCTGCAGGAAACATATCGGTGCCCCATATTGTCCACACGGCGGCCGCAACAACCGCGCCCCCAAACGCTGCGCATGGTTAGTGGTACATGGTGATAGCAGAAATAAATGGCTCACCAAGCACCATGTTCTAACTACAGTTAGCGAATGTATATAAAAAATTACAGGAAACCGTACATCCCGTCCCAAACTCCACTTCAGTCCGTACCTTTGACCTCATCGCATTGTCCAGTGGTGTTGGCATCTTGATGCCGGGTAGGTGGTCCTAGACGACACTGATCTTCTGTGTTCTCAACCAGAAAGAGAATCGCAAAAATTGTGAAGAAATAATATGCACTGCGATTTTGTCAAAGGGGACAGTATATATTTAGTAAGTTATATTGGAACGGTGTCTACTTGACGTGATTCGCAGTGGTGACGTCGCCTGGGCGAAAAGCTACGTGGCGCATCAGTTCTAAGCCCGTTGCCTCGCCATGCCATTCAGTCGATCCCCTGCGACAGCCACACGCCACACTTTGGCCCCACTTTGCATGCCACCAGCCTCACGGTACGTACCCGACATTGTCCCCATTGGTCTGTGCGCGGCCCCCGCGAGAAAGCAGCGCACAAAATTAATTCTCCAAAATCCATCGATTCCGCAACTCGTGCCTTGTCAAGACTCTGTACAGACAGACCTATCGAACTACCGCCAAAATGCCTCGTGAGGTCGCCGATATCAAGAAGGTGCGTTTGCAGTTCCTCAATTGCGTCTGACGAATGTGAGATTTTTTTTGTTACATGACTAACGAGATATGTGCAGTTCATCGAGATCTGCCGTCGGAAGGACGCTTCCTGTATGTTTCTTTGCCAGTAGTTGAACGCGAACGCCCGCCCCCGTGAATTACTTGACATTACGGGGATATTAGAACGCCCTATTTGCGTGTGTGGGAATTGAATTCTAACTGTTGAAATTTTGCAGCCGCGCGGATCAAGAAGAACAAGAAGTCCAACAACATCAAGTTCAAGGTCCGCTGCCAGACTCACCTGTACACCCTGGTGCTCAAGGACACCGACAAGGCCGAGAAGTTGAAGCAGAGCCTGCCTCCCAGTACGCGCCGAATTGCCCTCTCCCAGACCGTGTTTTCGTCCTGTGAACTCGTTGGGGGAAATTTCCTATCCATCGGGCGAATCGGCGACGGCAAAGTGTGACCCCGGCCACTATTTACTAACGTGCCATTTTGCAGACCTGAGCATCGCCGAGGTTGGCAAGAAGAAGAACTAAGCATGACGATGCGGTAAAGCGAGGAAATGGGCTGCCGGGAGGAAAGCGGACGGTGATGGATTAAACCAAAAAAAGGAATCTACATGCACGAATGGGCGTCTCGGGATACCTTTGCATTTCATGTGCTCAGAATGCGCGGCACTCGAATAGAGCTGAACAAGGACGATTTTTGAAGCACACTACCAAGAACTACATGTCGAAACGGTTTCGCCCCCCACCACAGTAGCAACGTGCCATGTTCTGCGCCGACTGCCAACAACGAAGTGAAGACAAACAAAAGAGGGAAGAAGCACGATACAGATGAAAAAACTTGCTCCTACACGACGTGCCTGAAGCGCCTCTGCTCACTCCCGTCCCCCAAGGCAATAAGCTTCTGCACCGTCCCCTCGGGCACCTCGTCGGTCCAAAACACAACCAGCTCCTCGTTCCCATCGCGCTTCTCGATCCTCCACCCCGCCCAGAGCTTCTGATCCCCCTCCATGAGATCCACGTCCCTCTCCTCCCTCTCGTACGCCTCCTGTAGCTTGTCCCGCTTGACCCCGGGCTCGACCGTGACCCTGGCGACGCTGAAGCTGTCCTTGTTCAGGAACGCGCGCCGCAGCTGCTCGTCCTTGCCGGCCGGGCTCAGGTGCTGCAGCAGCGCCGAGCTGCACCCGGGCTTGATGTAGTGCGCCAGCTTGGCGTTGCACATCTGGTTGTCGGTGGACCGGATCCATTCGCCGTGGTCCTCGGGCGAGTCCCACGGCGCCGTGATGAGCAGCGACGGCCGGTCGCTGTGCTCAATGTACATGCTGCTCAGGTTGCTGTTGGGCTCCAGGTTGTACGGGTGGTTGACGCGCGTCCAGCTGTCCTGGATCTCCTGCACCTCCATGAGCGCCTCGAGGAAGTCGAGCTCGTCGAAGCCGCCGCCGCGGAGGCAGATGATGGCGAACTCGGTAACGGGCATCGCGGGAAGCGCGCGCGTGTGCGGTGACTGGTGCGGTGATGTGGTATATATATATGCTTTGTGTCAAGTGATTTTTCTTCTGGTTTGGCCACCGGCGTTGTAGCTATGCAGTTTGGCAGCTGACGTAGGCAGTCGCCGGATGCGTATGTCGTGGCTTGCGCCTTGGATCGTGTGGAGTTTGCCTCGCGAGACAGTGCGTGGAAGGCCGGCAGCCTGGGATGGCGAGGGTCAACATGTCTTTGGATGGGAATTTGTGCCCTTTTTTGAGTGTGCAATTGCGTGTTTTGTGTGTTCGTGGGTATTGGGCTGAAATTTGCAAAGTATGGGTTGCGTTGGCCGCGGGATGTATTGACTCCTGATTGACTTTGGAGCAAAACACTAACTGTTGTACGCACAGTTTTATGTTGACGGCGGTCGTGTGATGGAAGACAAAGCCCACGCCCCACTCCATGCGCAATATACTTAAGTAGCCTTGAGATTTCTGGCCCGGTGCCAATGCCGACTCTCGCCTCGTCGCTGCTGGGCGCCGGCCGGCATCTGGGTCTCCAACTTCGGCTTCAGCCCGGCCCCTGCCGCCGGCGTCCGCAATATCCGCGCGAGGCAAACCTCACCGCTATATAATTTTTCACCAAGCCAGCAGTTTGCGGGAAATGGCGGACCTGATCAGCAAAGAAAGAGGCTCACTGCCCGCCGAGAGTAGTTACAACACGCGAAAAAAAGACGTCAAATTCCTCCTAGCTGGAGCACCGGGGTTTCTCGGACCGGAAATACTGGCAGTCTTGCTGGCCGGTGCTAGTGTCTTCAGAGTGCACTGTACAGCTGTACCGCCTGGTTTCTCACCTCAGGTTATGCATGGTGAAAAGGTTACTGTATGCCTGGGTAGCCTGACAAGTTCTGCTATATGTAGGATTATCTTTGACAGAGATTAATTTCCTGGGGGAGAATGTTGATCGGATTACATATGCTGGGGCTGAGGGACAATTGTCCATTTAAATATGACAATTACAGCTACTCTGTTACAAAATTTCCCCAACAACACATGTGTATGCAATGTCTCGACTCTTATCAATCTGTCCGAGGTGCAAACGATATTTCCTCGCACTCTCGGCAGGGATAGCGCTTCCGAAGCGAATTCCTCTTCACTTTATTTCATCTGGGAGGGTAGTCTCGCAGAGTGGAGGATATTCCACCTCGCCGACATTTATGGCTGCACATCCACCTCGGTCTAATGGCTAAGGTTTCACGACATCGAAAGGGGCAAACGAATTTTTTTTTTTTTTTGGAAAAGCCATCACCAAGACAGGTCTTCCTCTTGTGATACCTCATCCTTGTTGCATCATTGGAGACGGAGCGCCAGACGACGACGCTATGCACTGGGTAACTCGATTCCCAATATTGAATCGCATGGTGCCAGACATTCGAAATGCCCAGGGCTTCTTTGACTTCAAACAAGCTTTTGAAGTAGCGGCAGAAAGAGTATAGCATTGCGTTCCGCCACTACAGTAGCCGTGCCATTCGGTCAATTAGCTCAGCGAATTGACAAATTGTACGGTGCAAGTTTCAAGACTGTATGCATGTATGAATGGATCCGTCAAGCTATGAAAATAGGCATGCAAGATTTGATTGCTAGTCAAGTAGTTACCTGGAGGCTACTTTCGCTGGAAAGGGGGAGCTGACATTTCCGTACTTGGGAGGCCCGTAAGGAGTCAATGGTTTTCATCTCTCCCCTGACTCGCTGCGGTTCATTGAATAGCAGCATCAACATGGACAAATAAAGCCAGGCCAGTTAATTACGAAAGCTGGAAATTGAAGCGTCAAGCTACCAAAGGCAGAGGAGAGATTGCCCACCTGCACTGGCTAAAGGTCTATCTTGTTATTCACGCATGATACTGAACCAAAGCAATGTTAAACTTGAATATAGAATGCTAACGTCACGATTGGGTAGCTATGAATCGAATTGAACAGTGGTCCCCGATTGAAGCCATCTATCGAGGGACAATAAGTAATAAACCGAAGCTTTGCCTCTGTGTAGTATACTTTACAATCGTTGTCCGAGACTGGGCCCATACATGAGCCTCGTGGACAGCTTCTGCAGATGGAATTGATCATAATTCATCCCCCCCCATCAATATTGGAATTCTGATCCGAACCCCGTTTATGTACTCTATGATGTGAGAAATGTCCGCAATCTCAGAATCCCATGAGATATTTTCGATTCCCAGTGCTACCGCCATGTCCCGCCAAGATGCCATCGAGTCCGCGTCCGGGACAAAGAACCAACTGCACTTGAATCTAAGAGCAAGCGTATCCTCCTCAAATCGGCAGGTGAAGCAGCCAACGCCATGACCAGTGGTGTCGTACAGCATCATGGACCGCAGCCTGGGCGTTCGCAGCAGCATGTAGACGGCGTTCCGCACCAGACGGTTCAAGTCGTGGGTCGGGCTGTCCCCTATGGATCCTTTTGCCGACAAAATAAGGCTCTCCAGGTTTGGCCACAGTGTGGTACTGTTCGCCATGTAGGACTCAAGCGTGTGGCCATCGTATTCGAGAGAGAGGCTCTTGAGCTCAGAGAGCCTGTACCAAAGGATTCTGAACAACACGCCGTCGGGTTCGTAATCCCCACGCCAGTACCGGAGGAAATACGTGTGCACCTGGGTAATATGCAAGTGTCGCAGCGACATGGGCAGAGAGAACAGTACGTGGACAATGTCGAGGTCAAGCGGACGCTTGCTCTTGCACGCCACCAGTGGCCGGAGCTGCCAGTCCAACATCCGAAGGCAGGGCAGACTCCAAATAATGGCACCTAGGGCGTCGGGGTGGAAGCGTCGAACAGTCCTGCGCAGGACAGACATGGCCGAGATGACGCTGACGCTGGGGAACCACTGCCGGCAGCCTCTCGTCGCGGACGACCTCGTCGGCTCCATGGGCGCGCCTCCGTGATTCAAGCCGAGTTCGAAATTGAAGTCTTCTTGGGCAGCGCAGACGGGCCCTTGCCAGTCATACTGTGACAAGGAGAAAAACGCGGCTGGGAACTGCGTGCTGCTCAATACCCACGGGCCCGGTACGGGCATCCCAGGGGTGGCCGGTATTCCGCCGTATCTTCGCATTCTTTCCGCCATCTTTTGCCAATAGCTCTTTGAGTCTGCGATGATTTCGAGGGCCACGCCGTGGCTCGAGACTTGGTGTCGTGTCCAGGCCGCCAAGATGCCAAAGAGAGAGGAGATGCCGGAGACGAGGGCCATGTCGTCCAGCGTCTTTTGATGGCTCAGCTCGGGAGGATAAAAGGAGTCACGGGGCCCGCCGCCCCAGATCCTCCGCATCAGCAGCAGGGCTGTTTCCTCCTCTGTGGCGCCCTGGTCGTTATGAAGTCGGATCGGCGGGTGTTGGGGGAGGTCGAGCACCAGGCCGACGCGCCGGAGGCATCTCTTCCGTCCTGGCTCTTGGAACGACGTCTCGAACATGTCGAGATCGCCTGGCGTGACGTCCAGGGAGCAGAACGTGTGCTGTTCGAAGAAGGCCTGCCAATCTCGGGAGACGCTTGCGTACCCAGCAAGGGGTTCGTCGTTGCTGTACGCAGTTTCCACGACGCGCGCCAAGACGTCGTTCCTAATCTGGCGAGGCAACATGTTCCAAGACATGGTGAGGGGAGTTTGCTGCTTTGTCGGTCGAAGCGGCCGGGGATGATGATGAGTGACGACATCATTTTTTTACCCAAATACACTGGATGCCTTTAAATGCTCAGGGTCATCAAACAAAGCGCTGTTGAAAATTGAATGTGCAAGAGCTACAAAACGTACCTTCCCGCTTTACTTCTTTAATGTGACATCTGGACATCTGGAGTCTCTGAGTGCTGCGCCGCCATAATCACAAGCCTCATGTAGTTTAAACTTGACCTAGAATTAGTCTAAATAACATTAAATTACTATTATGAGCTTGGATCTTAATGCCAGTGTATATCTTTGTGCATTATTGTGAGCCTGCTGCTATTGGTGTTAGAGGCCGCAGGCACCTTCCAAGGCCACCTTGGCCTACACGTCACCCGCACCTCAACAGCATCGACATCAATAACATCAATAACATCAACAAGACTAAATTTCATAGCTTCAACGAGCCCGAATCCAGCGGCAGCTTTAATTTTCACCTGTCCGGCTCGGCGCTTTGCTTATACGTATGACAGGGGCTTGCATTGTCGTCAGACCTAGTTTGGGAATCAAAACTGCATGTGCTGAAATAATCCAACATGCGGTCTTTTGCGAGCGTGGCGGGATAAAATCCCGTCTCGGCATGACGTCTACAAAGTTGAATGCAAATACGCACGCTCTGTTTGCCAAACTTTTCCGAGAAAAATTACGACGCGGTGGTGACGAGCCTCACAGTGCAGGAGCTAGTCCGGTGTCAAGGGGTAGAAGTACGGGGAATCTACAACCAAGAGGTATACAAGGTTTCATTGTTAAAGCCAGTTGTGGAAGTGGCATTTCCCTTTTGCTTGGTCTAGTTCATTTGTGATGGCAAGTAGTAAATCAAGACAGGCCATTTGAGAGGGAAACTGCAGCGGGACAACTACAAGCTAGCCATCCCATATAAAGTTGGACATGTAGCTAGGGAATTTGGATGTAAATATCGGCAACTATAGACTTGCTGTAGCTTTGAGGTCAAGTGCCAAATTGTGAGCCGCCACTTGCTATCGAACGAAGTTGCTACGAGCTCCCTAGTTGATTTAGTTTTCGCCCCAAGACTAGATAATCGCAGCGCCAGAGCTACTCACTATAAATCATGCCGAGCCCTTGATGCGTTTATTGAAGCCTTTCAGTTTCAATCAACCCACCGGCTTTGATGCCGTGAGCAAGCATATTGGAAATACTGCAATAGCAATTTACCAAGTTGTTTGTTGTTTCCCTCCGACGTCAAATGATAATACAAGCACAACACGCAATAGCAATTTACACAGCGGACAAATGCAGTCTTCACTGATGCTAAAGGGGGCATCGACTCTATCCAGACGAAACCGCCTACTCGCAATAAAAGTCACATGATACAGACATGATGCAAGCCTATTTCCAAACGACATACTAGGACCGCGGGGTCCTTTGTGTCACGGACGACAAAGCTTCTTCGTCTGAAGCCTTGAAACGCTTGGCATCCTCGCACCAATCTGCCGCCAATCAAAGCCGGCAGATAACCAAAGTCGCACAACGTCAACCCTACAGGGATTTCCCTGCCTTCCCCCAGCCATCTCCAACCCGGATCCCAGAGGGAGCATGTTGTGCGACGTCACTTGACGGCTGTGAAAGACAGCTCAGACCGGCTCCCACCGGAGAAGCTCGTGTCTACTCCCGCCGGCAGAGTAAATTGGCGAGCCTCTACGCCCAAGATGCTTGGTTTCGTGGTCGTGGTAAATTACCTGGACGCTCCTCATTCCCAGCCACGGCGTCGGAGCGGTAACAGCAACACATGATGGATGACGGATCAAACGCCGCCGACGCGTTTGTACACCAGAGCACCCCGTGTGGAGGATACTCGTGGTTGAAATATTGACTTTACAAGGTGGGCTTTTCAGAGACGCAGACGCTTTGGAAACATGTAAGCTGTGCATAAAGAGCGTTTCTCCGCACCCCGGACGCCGTCATGGCTCCCGTCGCCACACAGCACGACACGTTGAAGCGGCATCATGCCCAATACACGACCCGGCAAGGATCCCATGCAAGTCGCTCCGCAAATCTCGTCATCATGTACAGTTTTCTATTTACCAAAACTCGATGCTATGCAAGTCCCACCTCCTAAAACAAGTTTCCCGGCACCACATCTGCGGCCCTCGCATAAAACTGGGTATTTCCCCCGCGTCAAACCACGTACAACACTACTAGCATGACCGTTAAAACAACGACAAGACGTAAATGTAAATAAATTATGCGCCATTGTTTCCCATTGAAGCTGTGTAATAATTCGACTTTGCCGCCCGTTCCTCATATACCAAAAACAGCACTAACAAACGTAAAAAGCTCTGAACTGGTTTCAGATGGCACAAATGGTCCCCCTTATGGGGTCCCCTCATGGAGTTTCATAAGGAGTTGACCTTACGACTGGTCTATCTTGTGTGAGCTGGGATATGGCGAGGGCGCGTTGCTGCCGGTGTCGGGGCGGTAGAGCTCGAGTTCATCTTCTCGGCTTTTGAAAGGATCAGACGGACGACTGTTCCTCGAGGCTCTCGAGATTCCCGAGTTGTGCGGGTAACTGCCACTGCCGTAATTTGCATAAGCACTGCTGGTGGGCGGCTTGCCCAGGATGTAGTCGTAGACGGGCTTGATGGGCGGCACACTGCCGCAGACGATGATGACAAATAGCTCGGATGCAGACCAGACGTAGAGTTCATATGTCTCCCCTGTTTTGCGTGTGAGCAGAAAATAATCACGGGCGCCCGCAAGGTCGAGAAGTCCGGGGGCGTAGCAGAGGAAGAACATACATGTAATATCAGACCGTCCGCTCAAGGACGTCAGGTACTTGGTCTTGACCGTCGCAAAGATGGCGGCGGTAAAGGAAAGTCCCAAGAGCGCACATAGGCCGACTTTCTTCCTCCATGACAGCTTCAGGTTGTACATAAACGTCACCGGCAGCACGGCCAAAACGACGTCGGTGAGGATATTCCAGCCTAAAGAAAAGGATGGGTTAACCTCTTGCGACAGGGGCATCTGAGCAGGATACAATGAAATTGACGTACTGGAGAGGAAGATGGCAAAGTCGGTCTGGACCGAAGGCGGCCAGCACTTTGCTTTCCCTTGCGCTATCAGGGCCGGATTCCAGAGGGCCTCGACGGGAGAGCACTGGGCAAAGGTGAAGATAATGTTGATGACGGTAATGACAAAGACTGAGCTGATGGCGAAGATGACGAGGCGCTTGCGCCAGTGTGCTGTCTCCCAGACGACCCGTAGCAGCAGGAGACCGACGGAGATCTTGCCCGTGGCAAATCCCATAATGACAAAGGGTTGTGACACCCAGCTCCATTTCCCGGCCTGCAGCCTCTGCTCCGGGGAGAGATAGAACAGATGCCGCATGCCGCCGATGCCAATCAGCCTGGTGAGAATAGCGGCATATGCGACGTAGAGCGCCTACAAGTGGCTGTTGGCAAATTGTTCTCGTCGACAAGGGGAAAAGGCATGGCTGGAAACTTACAAGAGTGAGGAGCATGGTCCAGTCGTCCCATCCTAACGATTTCCGCATCCGTCTTCCCAATATCCGCAGGGCAACAATGACGATGGCAATACTGGCCGTGACCCAGAGCAGAATCAAAGCTGAAGGGCCGCGGTCGACATCGCCGCCTGCAGGTTCCTGATTATTCGTGGACATGACGGCATGAAATGGCGCTCGATTAAGACCAAGTATGGGAGTCGGAAGACCCGGGGGGGAACTTTGCCCGTATGAGGCGAAATTGGCAGGCTTTACACTTGCAACGGCATGACCACCCTTTGATCTCTTGTTCTTTTTCTTTTTCTTTTTTTTTTCTTTTTTTTTTTTGCGATTCCTTGTTGAAGCTTGAACGGCGGGAAGGTTTGCGGAAATAGAGAGGTAAACCTGGCGAGGACAAGCAGGGTTCATATGATATGGTGCAGGCTTTTGGAGGTAAGGACGAAGAACAGGGCCGGGAGAATAGCCTAGAGAGGACTAGACAACGGTTTCTTCATGGCACACGAGATTCCCCATTCAACTATCACGTAGTGTGTGTTGATCTCAGAGTTTGGCGGTGGGTCGGCAGTCGATACCCAATCAGTCGAGCCATGGTCCTGGCGTTGCCGGTATCGATTCCAGGGGCGCTCTGCGCGGCGAGGTGTGCAGAGTCTGCGAGAGATGAGCCAGGTGCTGGACATCGTGGTGGATGGTTCAGACCCGACCCATGTACGCACAGACGAAGACGCTTTGAGGCCGAGACCACCACGCCACGAGCAGCCGAGGAGGGCGGTCGAGCGTTGCCCACGTACCGAGTGCGAGTTATCAGAAATCAGATCACCCTAGCGTGTCCGGGGGAGAGCTTCCGGGTTTGCGTGGGTGTAGGCGTGCTTGGCGGTGGCCCTTGGGATCGAGGGGCGAGTGCCGACGGCATCATCTTCGGGACGTGGGATTGATTTTTTATACACGGGCAACATCTGGCCTTGGATTGACATGATGTTGTGTCTGGCTCAATGTTGTCTTGCTCCTTCCCAAGGTGGCGGGTTGGACGGGCAGAAACGTGGTCGTCAGGTGACTCGGGTCCCCAGGCGTCAATTTGTTCCCAACTTCGCAGCCACCGGTCTCGCACGACGCCAACCGAAACCACTGCAGTCCTGAAATAGACGATCTTGTCGCAAAGCGGATGTTGGCTCGTCGGCTGCAACGAAGTTCCCACGCGACACTAGTTCTGGCCACGGCTAGGATGGAGAGTCCAAGTGGGCTGAGTGGCGTATCTGCTGCGAGCCGCGCCATAGACGACGACCAGGCTCTCGCGCAGGCCCACGGCGGAATATGACATGTATCTGACTGTCCGCCTGGTGAGGCCTAGCTTGCCTCCCGCTTTGAAGGTGCGATGCCTCTTTGACACTTGGCAGCTAGGGGCTGTTCCGTCGCGGCCGGAGGGCCATCGAGTCTTGAGAGCCATCGCCATCATCACCACCGACCGCGTCGGGCTAAATGCCAAAATTTTCCCATGTTGGCCCAAACAATCGCGAGACATTGCCGTGCGCGAGCTTTGGGTTCGTTAGTCGCAACGGCACCCCGAGTAGCTCAACGCCTCTTCCGACACAAACATGTCCAGCCCATAATCTTCCGGCTGCTAACTGATGTCCATCTTTTCAAAATAACCTTCAAGCCACAGCCTCGCGCCATGAGCTGACGACATACCCTACCCGTGAGACATGGCTGATTCATCCATGTCTACATGCGACGGCCTTTGTCTTTGGCCACATGAAGGCGCCGGGCATGCAAATCGGAACCGTCAATTGGAATAGTACGCCATCGCTCAGGATTCCCTGGCCCATGGCGTCGGGAAATTTCAACCGAGCTCTCGTTCCGCCACTGTTGCCATCGTTCGACATGGGCAAAGCGTACAACCACTCCACTTGACAAGCGGCATGGGAAACATCATGAACAAAATGGCCGACGAGGCATGTATTCGATGCTAGCGCTATATGCCTCTACTAATAGATTCTTGATAGTTTGGAACCTGAACATTGCAACCAACCTTGTACATGGCGGTATATACACATGTATTTGCATGCATGCATGTATGCGTGTGTCCAAGTACCATATATACATATCGCTTGCAACATACATCTCCTACAACGCCTTGGCAGCCCATCCCAGGCGATTGTTTCCGCCGTCAAAAACAACAAAGGCAGACTTGAGCGCAATGTCGCCAAAGATGTTGATCCCAATGCCCGAGCTGCTCTGCAGGCCCCCGAAGCACGTCCTCCCGGTGCTATCGGTAGGCGCGTAGTTGAGGTACGCCCCCGGGACGGTGACAGTGGCGCCGGAAACGCCAAACGAAAAGCTAGGCAGGCTCTGGCTGCAGGCAAACGTGTAGCCGCCCTGCGAGCTGTTGTACTTGGCGCCGCTGACCTTGGCGTAGTACGCGCTGACGATGGTACTGGGAAGCAAGAGCAGCGTGGTGCCGGTATCGGCAATGCCCGACGTCGACGCCGTGTTCAGGCTGCCGCCGCCCACGGCGTAGCCCTTTGACGTGAAGCCCCAGAAGCCCTGGCTGCTGTCGACGGGCGTATACGCAATGGACCCGGTGTAGGCGGTGCTGTCGATGTAACCAAAGTTGTATTTGCCGTCTACGAGCACGCGGTTAGCAGATCATGTCGGTTGCTTTTGCTCGAAAAAAAGGGAAGGGGGTGGGGGGTTACCGGCTCCGTGCTTCAAGTCGGCAGTAAAGAGAGCAGAGTCCAAAGCGGGCTTTGCACTGTCGAAAAAGGTCTTTTGCTTGGTGGGCTTGACCGTGTTGATGGAGCTAAAGGCCAGCCCGAGAAGCCCGGACGAGGCCGCGTCCTGCGAGAACTGGGCAGACACCTGCTTGGCAGCCTCGACGGCCTGGGCATTCACCGTCAAGCCACCGACGGTGACTGCGTCGGTGTAGACGACGCCACTGGAGCTGCTGCCGTCGCCGTACGTGATGCTCCAGGTAGATCCGCTGAGAGACTGGGCGGTCGAGCTCTTGCTTGGGTTGTACAACGTCTGGCCATTGACCTGCGAGGAAGGGGTCAAGCTGCTGAAGACCCAGAGATCGCTGGAGCCTGTATCAAAGTCCAGGTTCAGAGTCTGGGCGGGTGTGCCGATTTGCACGGGGGCCAAGTACTCGATGTCATATTGCTGGGGAGAGTTGGGATCCGAGCCCGTGGTCCTCTTGCTGCTCTGGCGGTTGAGGGCGTTGGTCACGTCGACGGGGACAGGCTTGCCAAACTTCCTGTAGGCCTTGGCCAGGGCCGCAGGGCCGCTGCGTGTGAAGTTTGCGTTGTGCTTTGCCGTGACGGAAGCGTTTCCAGCAGGCGTGGAAGAAGGGGTTGTGGGAAGCGCAGTGGCGAGGCTGCTTGCCACGACGAGGGAGACGAGGAATGAACCAAAGGTCTGCATGGTTTCGAACGAGTTTGGTTTTTTCAAAGGCGTATCAGAGGATTTATTTTCTATCTGTGATACCGGGAATCAAATCAACAACTCGTGGCCATTGCCCCTGCCTATTTATACTTGATTCTGATAGTGCACTGCGGCCCTCTTGTCCAATACGACGCACCGCTTTTGCCGATGACGACTCCCGCGAAGTCGTCACGAGAGCTCGACGATACAGGAAGTTGGGAAATGAAGCATGCTCCCGCCCGGTTTGTTGGGAAAAAAGTTCCCGAAAGAAGCTTTGCACAGAGGGTTGTGATGCTGGGGACGAGTTACACCATCACATAAACTTCACGCGCGAACTGACGACAACTTCCTAGTTGGGAAGGTGAAAGTCCAACCTCGGCCGAAACGGACTAAGCAACTCCTCCACGTACAGCCTAGGCTTGCAGAGCTGATGCCGCACTATCCGGACACAATAGAGCAGAGGGCTGGTATTACGACAGATTGCCGGTAGATGAGGTTATATTTAAACAGTTGGGGGAGCGGGGGACGCATTGTGGTGGACTTTTTGTGAGTGGTGCGTCGGTCGCCTATTTGGATTCGATCAGCAGACGTCCTCGACGATATACCCCGTACTAACTCTGGAAATGACTGACCTGCACGCGGTGAACACGACTTTATATTCGTCCATCTTTCCATATACCTCCTGCCATCGAAACTCATTTACTTTGTGCTGGTCGGTTGCCGCAACAGAGCAACACCAGACGCGGTAGCCGCAGAACCGTCGAGGTACTCAAATATGCGACCCTTGCGAACAACAATTGCACTGCCGGATCCGGACCCCAAGCCAAGAGCCCCTTGGGGCTGATAGATCTCTTGGCCTCTCACCCAATGACATGCTGCTGCCGCTATTCCCCGAAAGGCAATTTTATCTCTTCAGTTCATCCAAGAAAAGGGATCGACACCCGGCGGCTGATTGCCAATTACTCAAATTAGAAGTTGGTCGGAAGTGAAGCTGCCGAAGGCCAGGGATCCTCGGTGCAAGAGGCTGCGTGCGCGGCAATCGCAAGACTGGGATTGGATGCCGTCAGCTTAAAAAAAGAAGCCCGTTTGTTCTTTTATCTGGGGTAAGCAACCCTTCCCAGAAAACAGGTTGGTTAGAGTTTTTTCTTTCTTTTTGCCTTGGTCCCCAAATGGGGTCTGGAACGCCCGTTTTACAAGCCACATTGTTCTTAGACTGCAAGCCTGATAGCACACGACTTTTTCAGCTCTGGCGTTTTTCTTTCTGGTCAACGACCCAAGTGGGCTTATGGCTTTATCCGACCATGAAAATGCCCGTGCTCCTTTTGCAGGTTTTTGCAAAGCGTGTATAGTGCTGGCGGTAATCGAGGTTTCGCCAGCAATAACTTACATAATGGGGAGCTACTGAAGTTTCGCTAGTTCACAAGCCTCCTATCTTTTCGGCTTACACGGCTGAGGACTACTGAAACTTTTCATCGCGGTTGTTCGAATGCCACCCGTGGAATCTCTTGTTGCGGGGGACGCCGACTTTTGACCGCGCAAGGCCGTTATGCTACTGAGCTGCCTAGGCCGGCTACCATTTGCCCAAGGGTTGGTGTAACCGCAAAAAGGCTCCCTCGGGTGTTCCCTCCTCCGCGTATGACAACGTGTTGATTCTTCCAGGGAGCACAAGCACGGCATGTTCTCTGCGACTTATGCCTAGCCAAGAAATCAATCGCCGGCCTATGCCCGCACACCATACCTATCGACGGGCAAGATGGCGATGTGACACATGACTGGCAGAGGAGCGGGCGTGAGAGCCAAGCATGGAGGGATATGCGGAGCTGCTGCCTCTCTCTTCCTTGATGGCAGTCCTTTGTAGTCTGTCGTTGATATCCATGCCACGGAACAAGTTGCTCATCATCCTCCCAGATCCGGCAGCTTTCTTGGCTCGAAAACGCAAAGCTGCCCGCCCGTTAGAAACGGGTTCCTGTGCTTGTTTCCGTTGGGCCTCGTCGTTCCCAGCCGGCTGCTGAAGTCGCCGTGCTTGAAGTAGGCGTTGCACCACATTGCACGCATGTAGCACCATTCATCCAAAACTTAATTTGCCAAGTATAAATAAACACACAAACCAGCGCTTCTAGTTCCGGAACGTCCCTGCCAGTGGTTCATACCCAGCGGTGTTGATTTTCTTTTATTTTTCAACCTATTCCAATATTCGTGCTAGCACGACATCACGAAGGGCCCAGTTGTACGACACCGCGTGCCTCATCGCACGTACCCAAAGTAAAGGACCGTCACATCTGCATCTATTCTATCAAAGATATCAAGATTGTATTCATCCACAGCACATCTCTCAAAAGTCCCGGCATATCGCGGACACTTGGCCAGTAGCATCACATGCCCGCTTATCAAATACACGCCAACACAGCAAGGTATAGTATACCACGGCGCGATATCCAGGTCCCTTGCGCGAACACCTTTGGCCTCGGCAGCCAAGACGATTCCCAAATGTACTTCTTCCCAAGGCGACCCATGCATGACAACAGATGTCCTCCCTCGCCTCCAAGTCGCACCCTGGGTATCCCAAACTCCCTAACCGTTGCACAAATTTAAAAGACTCCCGCTACCCGTCGTATCACGACCTCAACAAGCACAGCACGACATGTGCAGTCAAATCACTCTAAGCAAATAAATCAAGTTTAAAATCTACCCCTCTTGCCGTCAAAATGCAATGTCTGGTATCAACTATCAAACTAGTCCAAAGGCCAAGTACCCCAAATCACACACCTGTAGCTATCACTCCTCCCCAGCACCAGCTCCCAGACACCTGTGCACATGAACCATCCATCAATGCAAATTCCAACCCATATCTCCAGTGTCCAGCTCGCTCCAATATTCCTGCAAATTGCAACCCTACTGTCCGGACGGTCCCAATTCCATGTCATCCCCAACACCGAGACTCACTCCCCGCCTCTGATTGGCCACCCTTGTCTGTCACAAGCTCCCTGTCATTGGCCCACGTCTAAAAAAAAACCCATAGGCAATGACCGGGTACACTGTTACCAGCATCACACGGTTAAAAGAAAACAAAATTTGATGTTACGCCAAGATAAATATAAAAAAGCCATAGCATATTTTTCATCTTCTTCTTTTCAAAAATTCCCCATGTCCATAAACTACTCTCCCCACAAGATCTAATTTCGCCAAAAAAACAAAAACAAAGAAAGAATGGCCGAGCCCACGCCCAACGACACCAAGCAACACGACACGGAGAGACAATCCCCGGCATGCGCGCAAAAGACATCGGCCTTCAAGTCCCTCGGCTGGCTGGACAAGTTCCTCGCCATATGGATCCTTCTCGCCATGCTCGTCGGCATACTGCTGGGGAACTTTGTGCCCAGCACCGAGAGGGTTCTCCAGCAGGGACGCTGGGTCGGGGTGTCGATACCAATCGGTACGTCGGACAAGATGACTACACGCCGTCTGGTGCCATGCGCTTCTGACACCAAGCTTTAGCAATCGGGTTGTTGGTCATGATGTACCCCATCCTGTGTAATGTGCGGTACGAAACGCTGCACAGGATTCTGGGGCAAAAGGCCCTCTGGATGCAGGTCCTCTTCAGCATCGTCTTCAACTGGATCGTCGCACCGTTCTTCATGGTACATGGTTTTGCCCCCCCCGTACACTCGTCGGTAGGTGGCTTCGGGCTAACAATGATTGCAAGCTCGGCCTGGCATGGGCTTTTCTCCCCGACGAACCAGATCTCCGCAATGGCCTCATTCTCGTCGGTCTTGGCCGCTGTATTGCCATGGTGCTTATATGGAATGGCCTTGCGGGTGGCGACGCCGAGTACTGCGCCATCTTGGTCGCCATCAATTCCATGCTGCAGATGGTCCTGTTCGCGCCCATGGCTGTGTTCTTTATCCGTGTCATTGGACGCCCAGACAGTGACGACGTGGCCGTACAATACTCTGTTGTCGCAACGAGCGTGGGCGTGTTTCTGGGCATCCCTCTCGGCACGGCAATCGTCACCCGCCTTGCCTTGCGGCATCTAGCCGGCGAGAAGTGGTACAACGACATCTTTATGAAGCTCCTGTCGCCATGGTCCCTGATCGGGCTGCTGTACACGATTATTGTGTTGTTTGCCGCCCAGGGAAAGCATGTCGTGCGGCAGATTGTGAGTGTTGTGCGTGTGGCCGCTCCGCTGGTAGTGTATTTCCTCGTCATCTTCTTTGTTACGCTATGGGTGACGAGGAGACTGGGGTATGGCTACCGCATTGGATGCACGCAGAGTTTCACGGCTGCCAGCAACAACTTCGAGCTAGCCATCGCGGTGGCGGTTGCAACCTTTGGGGCGGATAGTGAGCAGGCGTTGGCGGCGACGGTTGGGCCTCTGATCGAGGTTCCTGTCTTGGTTGGGCTAGTGTATTTCGTGAGATGGATTGGACGGCGGTGGAAATGGGAGGAGTAAGCCAAGACCAAGCACTGTTTGCCGCTCGTCCGTTGATACTGCCAGCCATTGCTGTAGACGGCGCAGGATAGAGTCGATGCTTCTGAAAAAGCCCATGTCGCCCCTCATGGGAGCAGCCACTTTTATATGCCAGAGCCCAGGAAAATAAACTCTTCCGCGGATTTGTCGAGAAATATTGTCGTGACAGCAGAGAGGGCCTCATGAAAAGTTACCGCGTCCTTCGCTCTCCAAAATCTGGAACAGCATAGTGTTCTTCACCAGACACTCTTGCTGGCCACGACAGCCCAGGCGCGCCTTTGCAGCACCCAGATCCCCATGCCCCTGCATCTCAGCAATGATGGCGGCAGCCGCACTACACGACATTTCCATGGGCGACGAAAAGCCCGGCACCAGGCCAGCGGCGTCAGGCGAAGACGTGGGTGTGGCAGCCCGCGTGTTGGTCTCAACAGTCGAGGGGCTCGGCGCCTCGGACGCCGCAGTGGTGCATCGTGTTTTACCCTCACAGCAAGAATTCTGCTGGAGCGTTGCCGACGCCAACACATCCAGCGGCGTGTGCTGGCGGGAAGCCGCTGAGCTGTGGCTAGAGCTGGGCATGGGCCCCGTGTGTCCGCCGAGAGCAAAGGCGTGCTGGTGGTTTCCAGGCATAGACTGCGGGTGCATGTGCGGATTTGGTTTGCCGCTGCTCACGTCTTGCTGCGGTACAGCCTTGGCGCCTCTCGATGATTCATCATCCCTCTGGTCATGATGAATAGGCCGCATGCTAACGCTTGACAGGGCCTCGGCTGCCTCTCGGTCCTGGCACACGGCCAAGAAGTCATCGACGTCGCCCTCGCTGACGCCTAGGCTTGCAAGCATCATCTTTAGCCTTGCGTTCTCGACGGCCACGGTGCGGGCGGCCTGCTGCATCTCCAGCGTGGCCTCGACGCCCCGTCGTTCATACTCTTGCACCTTGCGCTCGAGGTTTTCCACATACTCCTTTCGGCGGGCACGGGAGCGGCGCTGATTGTCGCGAATGCGGATTGCGGATGCGGACTGGTCTTGTTGCTGTGCCTGGGAGTCGGTACATTGTTAGCTTGTGGTCTACGGCGTTGGCATTGCAAGTCGATCAAGAGCAAACACAGGGAAGGCTGAGAGCCGCATCAGGTTAAGAGTCGTCAATTGCAAGCAGCAATGGCAATGGATGGCATTGCTATCGCAATTGAACTTGGCGTCTTCGCATCTGGTCGTGACTTGTCACCCCAGCGTCACCAAACACTGGGCGCGAAGAAATTCACCAAACCTGCGTAAAGAGCGGGGGGGATAATAACACCACGCGGAATCATACCTTTACGTTTGCCATTGTGTGTTCAACACCTGCCAGCAATGCAGCGTCTGTACGGTACGGTATCACTGTGGTGTTTTGGACCAAGCCTGGAAGCAAAGAGACAAAATTCTGACTTGCATGGCGAGTGGAGTGTCAGGGTCCCTTGTGTGTCTTCGTGTCTCGCTCCGTTCTTGAGTTGCTTGTCTCGTCGCTTGATGGACCAGACGGTGGAGGCGGAAGTGGAGCCGTGGCCATGGCATTGCTGCTGGTTGACTGGCAAACGCGCGGCGGGGTCGGGCCAGCGCCGTCTTACTGGCCGCTCAAATAGTTACAAGTGCACATCATTCTGCTCCAGCCATTCAGCTCCGCTCAGCTCCTTGTTTGGTCATCACATTTCACTTTTTTTCTTCAACCCCACTGGTCGGCGGGGACTCGGTGACAAACACAGACGATGCACACACAAGCTTGTGCACCAACCAGTGCGCGTCGACGGCTACCATGGCCAATGTACCGAGTACACTCCATTTTACCAGCACGTTGGCTGCCTTTAAAAAATGTATTCCATTCTATGAATACGGGTATCATTCTACATAAACGCCTTGCCCACGCCTTGCCCAAATTCAACCCCATCTGCCGCGTAGACCCTACTCCCTCTAGTATAGAGTCTGCCGATCCCTGGAATCCAATCATTGAAACAATCGCTTTCTTGTCCTTGTCGAGAATCTCTCCACGCCGCTGCCCTGTTGCGCGTGCCACAGCTGCTGCACTCCCACACCTCGGCTCTCCCCGGTCAGCTTGTACCGTCGCCATGCCTCCCGCAGGTGGTCAGGTCGCATCGGGCCGCGCTTGACCTCGGACTGCTCTGCCTCCCCTGCCTCGTCGTCCTTGTCCGCATCGTCTGTTGACGGCGGCGGCGTTGGCAGGTCCGTCTGCTTCTCACCAGCAGAAATCCATTCGCCTTGGACGTTTCGGGCTGCCTCAATAATCTCACCGGCAAACAGCTTGGCAACTGCCTTTACAGCTGTGCTGACCATCTGCGGCACCGACTGTGAGACCGTCGCATTGACTACCTGAGCTGCAAGTTAGCATAGACATCATGATAGCAAAACAGCCCGGTTGCAGGGGCTTCCTTACCCTCTTGACGACTGCATCTGACAGCTTTGCCGCTCGCCATAGCTCGTATCGGTTGTATTGCTCGCTGTCAAAGGCCTCCACCAGCATGGCTCTCAGCCGGATTTCTTCCTGTTTCTGTTCCTGAGTGCGCGCACCAGAGTCTTCCAGCGCCATTTCTCCATTCTCGTCGTCATCGTCATCATCTTCGGCCTCCTTGTCCCCGCCCTGTCCGCTCACGTTGGTGGGCGCTTTGCCACCAACTAGACTCGGCGTGCCTTCAACCTCTTCGCCCTTTGCATTTTTGGACTTGCGTCCTCTCTTCTTCTTGGTGGCCCCGCTGGCGGTTGTGCTGACGGCACTGCCACTCACAATAGACGTAGCATCAACGGATGGGGATCGCGCGTACGGTGATCCGGCTTCAGGGGGGAAAGAAGTCTGCCGTAGGGGATGGGCAGGCGCTGAAGACTGGGACAGGTTGGAGGCCTTTCGGCGCTTGATGGGGGGAGCATTGACATCGAGAGCAGACGATCGCTTCTTGTTGGGAAGCTGTGCCGGCGATGGATTCGGCGGTGACATGGCCAAGGGCGAGGTGGTGTAAGGCGGCGAAGCCATGGTCAAGTAGAGTGGCTAAATCGTAGCCTCATGAGCGTGCTACGTGACTCCAAGAGACCACCCGTGTGCGGAGGAATATGGCGGAAGAGCTCGCAGAGAGACGAGATGCAACTTCGCTGAGTTGATGCTAACGTACGCGATTGTTATCCCTGGCACTAGCTCTAAAGGGGGGCGCCTGCACGTGATCATATCATGCTTGTGCTGCAAGCCTTCATGTCTGGTCTACCCTGTATTCTGCGCCTCTAAACTGGCTTTCTATCGCGACTTGCCTGTCATGTGATGCTAAAGTAAAACAACTTGATCTCATTAAGTTTGTTCATGGGCCACGAATTTTCATGCAATTTAATAAGCCCTAAGCAGGCATCACACAGTCACACCACTCTTGTGGCCAATTCGCAGCCCATTTCATTGCAAGCAGAACCCTTCTGTAATTCCTCGACGTTTTGTCTAAGCAACCAAACCTCATTCAAACAGTGCCAAAAACCACTACCGGTAATTGGGGAACCATAAGACCAGAAACCCACAAAAAGCAAATTCACCAGCAGGATGCCTCTTGTGAAGAAAGCATTCTTAAAACTCCGCCCTTTTCTCCTTGCCGGCTCACACGAGGAGCCATTGTTCCGGCTTGTCTGACCATTATACACCCCAAAAATAACAGGAGTACTCGTACACTATACACTGATACATCTTATAAAGAGAAGACTCAAGAAAGAAAAGGCACCAGAACCCCTGTCAAAACCCTCATGCTGAAATATAAAATAAGATAAACTCCCCAAGTTTTGATACCCCGTCTTCCCACGTTGACATAAACCAGAAGACATGTTTCGCATCTATTCTCCATCTATCATTGCATCGAGGTCATTTCTTTCACTTTCGAGAGATTCTGCTGTCACGGTTTCTGTTGTATTGTTGTTGTCGTCCTTCTTCTTGCCATCTTCGTCATCTTCTTGATTCGTCATTTCTTTGAACATTTGATCAACGCTCCCCTCATCCCTCCTGGAAGTCTCATCAACATCGATTGGGGTGATTGAGCGTCTGGTCTTGCTTATTGAACCTCGCTTAGGGGCCCAGACATCTGGACCCCATATATGCTCTGCATCTTGCCGGCCCCTGTCTGTACGTCCGAGTATTTCAAGAGCCCTGCTCTTACCAATATCGCTCTCTAGGTCAACCTCCTCTTCTGGCAGGCCTCGAAGTAGCCCGTCTTCCAAGCTTAAAGCCAAATTGTTAGTAAAAACGGGGCCCCTGGGGCCGAGGAGCCCGGGCTGCAGGCCGCTATCCACATCCATAGGCTTGGTTCTGGTCTGCTTCTCGCTGGATGAGACACCAGCGTGACTCGGATGTTCGCGTGGGGAGGTGCCCGAGTCGGCGTTTCCGCCTGATCCTATACAGAATGTCGGCCCACCATATGCAGAGCTGCTAGACGGGGGCAACAGTGGTCCGCTAGGACTTTGTGCTGCCGCTGCGGCCGCTTCAGCATTTGCCGCTTTGCGTCGTAAGCTGTTCGCTTTTCCTTTGGCATGCTCGGGTAAGTCGTCGGGGTTGTCTACACCGTACTCGGCCAACATCTTCTGTAGCTTGGTAGGACGTGGTTTGCGTGTGCTAAGAGAGACCTCGAGAATGGGCGGCGCCTCCGGAGCGACAGGACACCACTTGTGCAACTCCTGGCGAAAGAAATTGGTCTCGTATGAGAGGAGTACTTCGGCGCCTTCAAGTTTTCGAAGAAAGAACCGCTGTGTCTCCACCTCGGCTTCAGTCGAAAGGAGTGGATGACATAGCCGTGCAATATGGTCGCGGAAGTATTGCGCATTGTCAATAATGCGGTTTAGCACATCCTCCTCCTCCGGCTGAAATGGCAATTGAGGAATCTCATCCGTTAGATTAATAAGGTCCTCCAGCTTTGGGCGGGCTGCGTCGCGAGGAATCTTCATTCGCCAATCGCAAATTGGGCATGTGTACTTGTCGTCTTCCT